CTAAAATTCCAGCTAAGATATGATCATATTTTCGACCAAGACCATCAGGCCTAAAATATCAAATTCTTACTAAATTTATTTATCCCAATTTAATTGTTTAAATTTTATTCAAAGCAACAATAAGCTTCCGTGAAACTGTTCAATAGCTTTATCCCAACAGGGATTTATGTTCAGAGTAACAATAAATGCTACCGAGCATTTGAAAACCATCAAAGAGGCTTTTTTAAGAAAAAGATGTAGGTCTATTATAACAAAATCGATTGCTAACAAAGAGGGCTTCACCCCAGGTGTTCTTGAAGACTGGTCGATGACTGTAGCCCCTTGCATGACTGAACCCAGTCTCTCTTTCTTTATTCCTAACCCAGAACGAGGGGAAACAACGTGATAGATATCACAGAATGAATATCCACCCCCCGCGGTCCGGACAACCCTCGTTAGCGGGGGTTAAATTTACTCACTGTTGCTACCTACTTTCCTGGTATCAAACCGCCCTTGTTTTCCAATAAACACAAAGCGAGTGCACTTACAATGACTGAAAGTTCAAAAAGAAATGTCTCTTGAAGATACCCCAAATGTTTAGTCTTACCTAAAGCCAACATTCGAAGGTTGATGAACGATGAAGAAGGTAGCACATTGGAAACTGATAAACACCTTGGTATTGATGAGTATTGGCTCTACTAACCGTATGAGATACCTCCCTGTTCCATTTCCGGTCATGTTTCCACGGGCTGCCAGTTCCAAAGCTCTCCCTTGAGGTTCGATTTATTGATTTCTAACTTCTAGGTAAATAACTGGTGCCATGTTGCGCTACACACTCTCTGTGCGCCAAGTGTACTCGTGATAAAGCTCTAACACTCCTATACCGTCCGGTTCCAAGAACCAATCGGGAACTTCTATTTCTCAATTGAAATCTTTTGTCTATTTATTGGTTATCGAGCATTGGAATTCTCTGATATTCTTGGACTCATGAAAATCCAATTCTTTTTCTCCATCTGAAAAATTCAATTTTTTCTTTTTAATCTATACCATTCTAATCAACACTTTGATCAATGAATTTTAAATCATTGCTAAATTATTTATTTATTTTTTATTTATTAATTTTTCTGTTAATTAAAAAAAAAAGTGTAAATATTTTTTTTTTTTTTTTATTTCAAGTAGAATTAAAATAAAGAACTACGTTTATTTATTGTATCAAAAATAATTGAAAGAAATAATTATTATTAATAATAATAAAAATTATTTATTAGTAAATTATTAAAAATTGCAGGAAGCCCCAGTGATGATTCTGCGCTCCTATTAAGGAGGTAGGTTGCAAGAAACCTCTTCGTCGTATTCGTTACCAATAGCAACGATTCAGCTGCTGTTCACCCTTGAAAAAAATTCATAAATCCTTAGAAAGTCCTTTACGAAGATTAAAATAAAAAAAAAAAAACTTTTTCTCAATATTTAAACTCCAGTTATAGCACTAAACTCATATTTTTCCATCAAAAACTATTTATAATTCACTTGAAATTTAATTTCACTTCAAATTTATCTAAATAAAACTATCGATTATCCTGTGATTCTTAAAAGCAAAAAAAATCCTAGGAATTTAGAATGGAAAGAAGAAAAATACTAGGAGAAATACAATAAAATATTCATGCATATTGGACTCATTCAACTTCATCAAATTCTCTGCTCCTATTCCTGTTATTAATCAGCCGCACCCCACAACACTCAGGCGGGTTTTGTCCCATTACCCTGCCGAGTTGAAGAGCCTTTTCAAGCTGATGCTTGCCTGTCTCTCTGGCGGGCATCCGCGACGCTTCGACCCTCGGAAGAAGCTGAAAAAAAAGGTAACCACATCTTTTTCCGCCGATGACTCTTCGTACATACGAGACTCCAGACAACTGGACAATCCTTGAAACCACATGAAACCCAGCCACTTAAGCAACATCGCGTCTCACTACTGCCAGGATACCAGGACGTGACTGTTGGTTAGTTATATAACCCGTCAGTGGTGCGTTACAATCATAATATCTATGTTGTAGTAGTGGAAGATGCATTGGTCCACGAACCTACTGTTCAGATTTATGCTTTTTCTTTTTTTCATTTTTTTCATCATACCCTACCCTCTTCCACAGCTTTTTCGTTGCTTTTTTATACCGTTCGCTCGCACCAATATAACTCAGCCGTCACACGCGTTCGATGTTACGAGGTGTATTGATTCCTCAACAGCGACTGCGTCCTGCAGCATGTGCTGATATGTGTACCAGTTTACTAATTAATACAACATGATATTGATATTGGAAATTATATTGCTCTGGATTCATATCAATTCTGCAGATATTAGATGCTATATATTTGATCAGGTGATCGTTTTAAATCAGAAATTAAAATTATCCTTGATCGAAACTTATGTCAAAATGGGTCTGGATCTACTTTGTACCTTAACAATCAACTTTCCTCTCATATTATTAAACATGCCAATTGAAACTCTGACAAAATATACCCTTTTTATTTACTAGCTTGATTATTTTTCATAAGTAACATAATCTTTTTTATTGTCTCTAAAAGACAGGATAATCAACAGAAGATAGTCTAGACTATAAGATAATTGAAAACATCTTGAAGGCCATTGAAAAAAGTTAAAAATTTAATGATATGAAAAAAAAATTATTTGATCCTAAAAGTAATAATTTGTTGGAAAATTATATCATATTTCAATAGATAAATGCTTGCATCAGACAGAAAATATTGAGAAGATTTTAAAATAGGAATCAAGCTAATTATACTGATGATTCTTGATGGATAAAATATTGAAGTTGAAGATCTAGTCAGTGAAAGCTAGAATAAGAGATTTTTTTTCCAATTAATTTTTTATAAGTTTGATTTCTGCTCTATAACTATTTGCATTCATAATTTAATTTTATTTCCTTAGGAAAAACGATTCACTCGATAATCCTTCTAATAGAATATAATTGACCTTCATGTGCAGTTACTTGAATCTAACAGTTTAATTGAAATGCTGAAGTAAAAAATATCTAGACTGAAGTAAATTGCTTTAATCAAAGAAGTAACATGAATTCATTCAGTTAACTAAAATCGAGTGCTCGATTTTTCTGGTTTAAAATCAAGAGCTAACAGTGAAAATTATCATATAATTTATTTAAATCAACTGGTATTTGATTATTAAACACGAAATAAAAATGTATTATAATAGGTAGTCTTTATATAATTTTTAAATTAAAATTTAAATCTTGAGCTATTAAATCTGAATAAATAAACATCTTATGAATGGTAAAAATTATAAATAATTATCTAGATGAAAAACCCAGCTAAAGAACCATCCAATTAAGCTTTCTCTAAACAAAATGATTATATATTTTTGCTATCTAACAAAACCTATCACAGCTAACTATCGAAAGCTAATAGAGTTGTCTAATTATAATTAAATTAAATAAAACCAGTAATATTCTTACTCAGAAAAAAATTTTAGCACAAAGAATCTAATCTTACAGAGCATGAAGTAGTAAGATCAAAGTATCCAGCAAACTCGTTATGAGTTCCTAGTAAGTGGACGCAGAAAATCATCGCAAGACGCGAACCACTGATGCCATAATCCCAGTGTTTTATTCTATTTTATATCTTACAATTTTCTGGACCAATGTTCGATTGACAAATTATTTGCACTATTCATAACAGTAACAATAACTACCATCATTGATGATGAACAGAAGAAATCAATATTTTAGTTGATTATTACTTTTAAAGTAATAATTATAATAATAATTTGAAGATAGTAATTTTTATGTGAAGATTTAATATTAAGTCGTTAATGACTTGAAAAAAAAACTTAAATGATTGTCGGAGTGATTCGATTGCTTTCCGAATAGGAAGGAAGGGAGAAAGTATCAACTGGTCCATTGAATTCTTGCTTAATACTTCACCAGCATGATACTTATGATTGCCTGATGAATAAACGTTGAGTCTCATCTCGAAATACGGTCCATTTCCACAGCATCTTGGTCTTATCTCCTTCAGTGTTCTATTTCTTATTTCGTTGAACTCCATTTCTGATCTCCATCAATGATTTTTGTCAAAGTTTTTATTCGAAATGTGATGATAGTTGATTATTAGTCATCTTAATTGTACATATATTTTTGATGTAGATTAATTACAAGAAAAATTAGTTTTCATAGTATCTAATGCTTGCAAATAAGTAGTGTAATCTAACTTGCACATTGCAGCAAGCAACACAACATGCTACTCTCCTGATAACTTATAGACAATGGAGCGAGTGACGAAGCAACGGCTGCAGCAATGCCAGAGCAACCTGTATAGTGCTAAAGAGTGTCTACTAGTGCAAAACTAGACAAAGCTAAAATCCACAGTAAACCAACCTTTCCATTTTATTATTTTTTTTCGTGGTAAAAATTTTTTTTTGCTAATGAGTAATTGTTGTAGACTATTTGATAGGACCAAGTACCCAAATTCTAACAGCTTTTTTACCAGATGAACGCAGTGAAGGACTTGGAATATCATCAATCATTTTCAGTTGAAAAAACTAAACTCACTTTTCAAATTTTACAAATTGAAGTTATAATCACATTGGTGTTGATAATAAGTTTGATGGAGCTGAGTTTTGTTGAACAAAGTACAGAAAATTTAATTGTAAAAATGAATATTTGTGTCAGATAAGTCTTTCTGAGTCAAAAGCGTGCTATGGAGCAGTATAGATATTGGATCGATGAGTATATGATTCGGTTTTATGTTTAATTATAAAAAGATTTTGAATAATATTATGATAAATTTTTAAAATAATACAATTAAATTTATCTCAATAATTAAATTTAGCTAATTGTGATCATCTTTATTCCAAAAGCATTTGAAAAAGAAAGAATTGTTCAAATCTGTTGAATAATAACACTTAATTTCATTATTTTCATATAATCTAAGATCTTTTTCTTATTTCACGGTCAATAAAAAGTATATAAGTGAAAAAATAAATATATAATAAATGTATATATTCTAAAAACATATTTATTCATAATTAACATAGGAAATTCATTATAAGATCCTATCTGTGCTCGTATAACAGCTTGTTTTTGTACATTGTATTTTATCTTGATTATACAGCCAGACTCAAAGAGATTTTTTGCATTTCAAACCATTTTTTTGCTGAATCATGTCTTTAAAAGTTGCCTGAGGCTTGATAATGAACTATTAAGGTAAAAATAAAGTATCAACGTATCAACAAGATCAAATTATACGTTAAAGAATATTCAGATAAATTTGATCATTTTCTTAGATCAATATTGATAAAAAGTGCTTTATATTCGTTAATGATAAATGCATGTCATTTTAATTATGACAGCATATTGAAGTATATTCTTAACTTTTCATGATTAAGAAAACTCTGAATCATCATCAACATTTTATCATCAACCAAAGAAAATTAACTTCAATTTTTATGTATCACACTATGCAAAAACTTTGTGAAAACTTGTAAAAATATGATTGAAGCAGAATTTTTTATTTTTTGGTCAGCATACCTATTCTATGATAAACTATCCTAATATCGATTGAAGTAAATTAAATTGTAATAATGTGAAAAAGATCAAACCATCAAAATAGTAGAACACAAATCAATTGAAAAGATTTGCATAACCACTCAATACATCCTTGTAAATTCCAGCCCATAAATTAGTTCGTTCTGGCAACAATGATTTCTTTAATGCAAGTTCATTACCTATTTCCAGATACTTATTATCAATACCCATTGGTTCCCATTTCACTTTAGCTGATTCCATAGTGATTGAAGGATTTCTGCAATAGAAAAATGTCAATAAATGATTATATAATTTTTGAAGTAATTATCATGATAATTATTCATTAATAATTAAATGGAAAATTAAATATGTGCATAATTTATTATTTTTCCAAACATTATGAGCCAGACCGAGTTATTTCTTAACTCAGCTGTTTTTAAGATCACTTAATTGACTTATCAGGAAAACAAACAAATCCAGATGTTTTCTTATCATTAAGATAATGAAACATCACAGAGGTGAATAATTAATACGAAAAAAGTTAAAAATTTAATAACATTTTAAGAAAATAATATTTAATATTACCCTTCTTTAGCAAAATTAGTAAACATTTCTACGACTTCATTTATTAATTTTTCTGTTGTTGATCCTGCAGCAGGTTTATTCTTCCAATAATCTGCATAAAATTCATAGGCCAGTTCATCACCATGCATTGCTCCTATTAATTTTATGAAATATGGATAAGTTGGAAATGATATTGGTCATAAAATAAAAAAGCTATCATTACCATCTTCCAATTTAAATAATGACTTCATAAACCCAAAAGGTGCATTATAGGTAAAATAATATTCATACACTGGAGCAGAATTTCTTGAACTCATTATTCTACTAGTCAACTGAGTACCATATCCAAATAAAACGTCCGTTAATAAATTGGTCAGTTCCGCAGCATTAGAATCACTGACAGGTTGATTATTGAAATAGAACTTTTTCAGCATGTCACCAATCATACTTCGCCGGGCTGGATCAGTTTCATTCAGGTCAATTGGAATAAAAAGATCAAAGTGATCATTGAACTGTGAAGCCATTGGTAGAACCACTGAAAAATTAACGATGAATTAATATTAAAAATGATCAACAGAAAAAAATACATCAATATTTCTAATTGATTTCAAAATATCTTCAATTAATTACTAGGTGTAAAGAGCCCAGAGTCTTCTGAAGTAAGACCAACTATTACAGGAACATCAGCAATTTTTCCATTCTTAAGCAATTCCCAAGGATCAGCTGGGAGGAAGACTTCTTGCCCTACAGCTGTTTCAACAGATGGTCTGAAGAGATGCATTTCACCATTTAAGAAAGTCTATAATAAATTTTAGCATTGTAGTTGTTACTTTAGAAATTTATTGAAACAAACTATAACTCAGTGATATTTGAAGAATGTTATGAAATTGGGTCAAAAAATTTATTAATAAGATCATACCATTGATTTAGAAAGTTCACCAGCAGCAAGAACTATGTCTGTTGTAGGAATTTCTGCTAACTTTTGAACTAACTCTTCTGTCGACGATGCTTTAATTCCTAACTTGTCAGCAAGATTCATGGCATCTTGTTTAGGAGTGTAGGAAATAGCCCAAGAAGCAGCTACCGAGCCACTTTGCATAATTGCATGTTTGAAAAGACCTTGAGACATGGGAGATAGCATGTGATACTGAACAGAAGCAGCTCCAGAGCTTTGTCCGAAAATAGTTACTCTCTTTGGACAGCCTCCAAAGTTAACAATGTTATCTCTCACCCATTTCAAAGCCAAGACTTGATCTTTCATGCCTGCATTGCCAGGTGCATTAGCATCTCCAGTATTAAGAAAACCTACAATACAAATTTAATTCACTCATTCTGATTATTAAATTATCTACATCTAGATGTTTTGAATACTCACCTAAAGCTCCAAGCCGATAATTCATCGTGACTAAAACGACATCTTTTTCTACCAAGAAATCTGGTCCCCAAAAATCTTCATCACCAGAACCACCATTGAATCCACCTCCATGGATGAACACCATCACAGCTCTTTTAGCATCTTTATTTAAGTCAGGAGTGTAGACATTAAGGAACAAACAATCATCATCACCAGATACACTTTGACGTATCATACAAAAGAAGATGCAACTATTTCCGTGTTTCGTAGCATCACGAACTCCAGTCCAACCTTCTGCTGGTTGTGAAATCTGAGAAATTAACAACATTTAATCTAAATATGAACCAACAAATCAAAGTTATGAGATAAGATTTGTTACCTGGAATTTATTAGCTCCAATATTAGGTTTAGCGTAAGGAATGCCTTTGAAGCTATATACTGGTATCTCATGAAAGATGGTATTTCTTTTAAGACCTTTCAAGGTACCTTGAGGTATATCCAGCAAAACTTCTTCATCTGCTGATGACAATTCTAGTAGCAGAAAACACAAAAGTAATTTTATTATCCACATTGTTGTTTTACCAATGATAACTCATCTCTGATGCTAAAACTCCCTTCAATATATACTTTGTTGCTAGCCTATGGCTTACAAACAAATGAAATACAGGAAATTACGTAAATGTGACACAGCATGACATGCAAAATGAGACTTTAATTCGGTTCAATCATTCAACATCAAAATTTGAAATAAAAGTATTTATGGATATCCCATACACATATTGATATAGATTGTCAAATTGCACACATAATTTGTTCACAAATTATTACAGTTGAAAAGAATAATAATTTATTTCAAAATTTTCCACCCACATTCATGTATACAAATAAATGAATTTCATGATCCGTGGCTTTCAATCAGATTATTTTAAATTATAGACAAGTCGAACACATTATTGAGCAAGGTCAAATAATGCTAAATAAAACTTACATCACTTTAGAGATGTATTTTTTTATTTATATGTTCGAGAAGATCTTATGATGCAATAATATTATTGTCATATTTAATTACCAAGTACCAAAATGATACTTTTTATCCATTTTTACATATAAAATTGATCATGTCTAAATGTCATCAGGTCTTTTAAAGCTTATGATGATGCATCATTGAGATAAATTTATCATATTAAGTATAGAGTGTTACTATCTACTTATAGAAAATGATATAAAATTCACATCTAGCTATTTGATATGGTTTTACATTGCAAAAAAAAATTAAGATTGTTTCCAATGCAGCAACTTTTGATGGACAACATCAGCTCTAGGCTGATGATGGTGATAATCAAGCTGTCTATCAGGATGTTAATTACATTTAGTGACTGTTTAATAAGCCGTCAATCAACCACTTAATCTATTGAAAATTTGCCAAACAGAAGATAAGTTAATGGAGCTATCATAGCGCCATGCGTGACAACTAATTCTGATCCGGAGAGCATATTTTTAAAGAATCAAACAAAAACCAAATGCCCTTTACTTTCTTAAGTCACCAAACCAGTTTGATTTCATAATTGTCATCTAGAATAATCCCCCACTATGACTAGAACACCTCTCATTCACAAGCAAGTAGTTGAATGTTGTTGAATGAGAGTTGTTTGACATGATTTTATAAATAAACTGTCATTTCTTATTGATGTCGAGAGTTTCCATGGCGTTTTAATTAAATCAACTCGAAAAGAGAGTTCTTTACCTCCAGTTATTATATGAGAGCCTAGTATCCAAGCACCACTCAATGCACCCTCTGGATTCTAGATATTCCAAAAAAATCATGCTGAATTTCTTTCAGGTCTAATGACACATGATGATGAACAAAGCTTGATGGATGTTCCTTTGGAGTATAATGGGTCGAAGAGGGTATTATGTCCTTCTAAAACATACAAAAATAATCAACCAGTCGACAGATTTGATTCATCCATTACATTACGACAACTACGATCAGAAATGGGTCGTATGACTTCAGTACAAGACAAACCACTGGATGGATATATAATTACTTCTGATGATGATCATCAGGTAAATCTTTGTTATTACAGTTTTACTTAATTTTTTACTTTATTTAATTCATATTTCAGAGTAAAAGTGCGTTAAAACATGGTCGAGCAGGCTTTCCAGAGGTATAGATTTGAAAAAATTTGCGAGTTTGTTTTCATTATTTAACAATTTTATGCATAATTTTTTTTATTTAACTAAATTAAATAAATAGGTAGTAAAAGTATGAAGATAAATAACTGAAGAGTTTTATTAAATTTATCTCTATCAATATTTTAACCTAGAAAAATAATACTGCTTTTAATAAATGTTTGTAATGTTTTGGTTTATATGAATAATTTTAATTAATTCAAGCTAATAAACTGTTAAAAGACCAAATTTGTTTATTGAAATAAAGGAAATAAATTTTTTCAGAATGAAAATGTTTCTCCACACGATATGAAACGAGAATTTCTCACTGGATTCTATGGAAGTGCTGGTGAAGCATTAGTAACTATGAAAAAAGCAGTATTATGGACAGATGGGAGATATCACCTTCAAGCAGACCAACAGCTCGACTGCAACTGGATTCTTATGAAACATGGTCAAGCTGGAGTAAGTATTTGTATGCAAATAAAAAATTATATCTCTAGAATATAACGTTAGAAGGTTCATGAATCTTACTACGTACCGTTGTAACAAAGAGCGTCTGTGTGTGTAGTAGGGATGACTCATCGTTCAAAGTTTAGCGCTACCTCAGGCGCACAAGTTCTCAAAGTTGACACTAGATGGAGAGGACGAATTTGGTTCTCGTACACAGAAATGTGACTTGGAGTTTATAAGTACCAATTTTTGACTCAACAAAATTAAGATCATACTTCACAGGATCATTTCTGTAGTATATCTTCACACTCTCTTTACTCTATTTTTGAGTATGACATAGCCACGATGAAGAGTGGAAACTCTTCTCCCTGAGCGTGAGGACGACTCGGGAATCCGACTTGTCGGAATCCCAGTCATCGATGATCGTTCACCTTCTGCACTCAGTGTGGGGGGCCCGGGAGGAGAGTTTTCTGAGTGGTTACAATTTATAAATACACAATAACCTAGCTTTCAAGAACTGGAAGGTCGGTCTTGTAGGAAACTCAAGACTCAGCCTTTGATAGTTCAACGTGACTGATACAAACAGTACTAAGGTTGTAACTATCAATAGATATAGCAGTCGAGTATTTCTACAATGATAGAGTCGTCCATACTGCTGTCGTACAACAGCTCAATAATAAATTTTAAAATACTAAATGTTATTCTGTTAAATGTAAATATACAGAAAGGAATTAGTTAATTATAATACATTGAAAGTTGACATTCTAAGCCGACGATATGTACAATATAAAATATAATCAACGAAATTTTATTTCAACAATTGACGTTTATTAATTATGGATAATTAAAAGACTCCATTTAAATCAATAGTATTATTAGATTCATCAATTAAAATTGCTATTATCTATAATTATGTCAATGAAATAGATATTGCTTCATTAAATTATCCATATAAAAATCATGAACTCACATTTGTAATAATAGTAATAAAAAAAATATATATTATTGGTTTACTAAAAAACTATGCAGATATTCATCATATGATGATTCTGTTTATTAGTAGATCATGTGCAGTACTGAAATATTGTCATGAATATTAATTATTCAATAAATGTTTTCCCAATAATTATCTTCATTAGAATAATAGTGTTGTATTAAATTAAAAATTTATTAAGCTTGATTGTAATTATCATTGATAATTACAAGTATTAATTATCAATACTAATATTTCAGGTTCCTACCCTAACCCAATGGTTGAAACATGAATTTCGTAATTACACAGAAGTTAGAGTGGGAGCTGACCCGATGTTAATTCCAGCTCATGTTTGGGATACATGGCAAAAGGAATTAGGTAACCGATATTTATATATCTAATTTAATGTAACCCAACAATTACCATTAGCAAACAGTCGAACGTAACATTAGAACTATTAATTCAAACTTTTCAAATATTCTACTTCGATAGTTAAAATAGTAAAGTATAATTTAAAAATTCATGTGCAGCACAATCAACTGTAAGTCTGGTAGAAGTTCAAACGAATTTAATTGATTTAATCTGGCAAGTGGGTCGACCAAAGAATAATACCTATGCTGCTTATCCGTTGGAAGATAAGTATTCTGGTCAACCATGGCAGGAAAAAGTTCGACAAGTGAGATTGAAAATGGAACTATTCAAAGCAGATGCAATTGTTATAACAGCTCTTGATGAAATTGCTTGGCTGTTGAATATTCGAGGGTGGGATTCACCAAATACACCTGTTCTCAAATCCTATGTTATCATCACTCAAGGAGCTATTTATCTCTATGCTGAAAGGTTTAAAATTTTACGTTCTGTTGATATACACTTAAAAACAGATGGATGTTATTATGCAGATTGTGTGAGGTAAGTGAAAAAAATTAATATTCATTTATTCACCTGATTATTAAGTTAAACATTTATTAATGGATTAAATGAAATAATTATCTATATTAGATTACGAAATTATGCAGACATATGGAGTGATTTGAGAACAATGTCTCAAACGTGGAACAAGGTCTGGCTGCCTTCCAATTGTGGTTATGCTCAAGGAGCATCACGAAAAATTTATATGTCTGTATGTAGATAAATTTAAAGTTCATCTTTAGTGATAAACGATTTTTTTAAATGTTGTACACTTCTCAACACTTCATGGGTTCCTCGTAGAAGACTCCTCTTTATTAGTCACCTTCTCGCTCGTGAGCACAATCTCGAGAAAAGCAAAATGCACTAGAGATTGCGTGTGCGCACACACGATGATTTAGAAGAGATAATCCTAGTTCCAGCTATACCCTCTTTGGCATGCTATCCTGTCCATTCGGGGATCGTTGAGCTTAGCTTGATCTTCCCATGACGTGTAGACACGTTGAAATTCGACACAAAGCTAACGATAATCCCAATCGTCTTCACTTTGATCTAAAATTTTTTACATCTTAATCTAGTCTTTTCTTTTCAATTCAATACTTTCCTTTATTCCCGTTCTATTGATCTTCCTTCCATGCGGTTGTAGCTGTGAGATATACCAAACACAGAAGGTAAACGCGTCGTTCCAGCTGCTACTTCCTTGCTCATATGTTTCCCGGAGAGTTAAGACGCCTTGGCGCCCGCGGCATCAGAAAATACGGAGCAGAACCTGCTCTTTCACTATCACCTAGTTTTAATAGTACAATATTTAAATAAATATATTGATTATTATTATGAAAGTAATTTAAAACAAAAAATAATTCTGACCATTTTCTGTAGATTCCAGAAGCAAAAACATTACCAAAGCCATCACCAATCATCGAAATGAGAGCAGTTAAAAATGAAGTTGAAATCAATGGAATGAGACAAGCTCACTTGCGAGATGCTGTAGCCATGTGTGATTTTTTAGCTTACATGGAGCAACAGCTGGAGTATAAAGCGGCTGGTTGGGATGAAATGCAAGTAGCTAGAGTTGTTAATGATTTTCGTCTTGAGATGAATCTCAATCAAGGCATTGCTTTTCCAACCATAGCTGGCTATGGTCCACATGCAGCATTGCCACATTATGAACCAACGGAAAGAACTAGCTTGATTATTGGTTTAAATTCAACATTGGTCATTGATTCTGGAGGGCAATATTTAGATGGAACCACTGATGTAACAAGAACATTTCATTTTGGGGAACCAACTCAGGAACAAAAAGAAGCTTATACTCGGGTGCTCATAGGTTCTATTGAATTAGCTTCTTTAGTATTTCCTAGCGATGTTCGAACAGATCAGCTAGATGCTTTAGCAAGGAAATCTTTATGGAATGTTGGTGAAAATTATATGCATGGAACAGGTCATGGCATTGGACACTTTCTATCTGTTCACGAACGTTAGTTGCATAATTACAAACATATTTGCTCATTTATTTAGTCATAGTTATCTCTAGATTTTTAGTCATTTTATTTTCTTTATAATTTATTTCTTTCATTTAACTTTAAAATAGCACATAGATGTTGAAGTCATATAACTTTATTAACAAAAAAAAAGATGTTATTTAAAATTCAATTTTTTTTTTTTGTTAAAGAAAATACTCATTTAAACTTTTATGTATAAACTGTTAAAATTTTTTTAGCTCCAATTAGTGTATCATATATCAGTAGTACATTATCTACACCAGGTTGTACTGCTAATTTAGCTCCTGGAAATTTTCTATCAAATGAACCTGGATTTTACAAAGCTGATGATTTTGGAGTTCGTTTAGAAAATATATTAGAAGTTATTAAAGCAGATATACCAGTAAGTTCAATAAAAAATTTTCAAATATTTTTAATTACATTAATTCATTTAATTTTTTTTCCTAGCAAAAAGAAAAACAAGTTTTTTTGAAATTTCGAGAAGCAACCTTGATTCCTTATGAACCAAAGCTAATAGATCCATACATGTTGAGTCCTGCACATGTGAGTATTCTTAAGTATAACATAGTATGGCTTGATTTCATCGTTTGGTAGACGTATTAATTCTTTCCTATCAACATCAATATCATACAGAGACGATGGTTAAATGAATATAATCAACGAATAAGAGATGAAGTTGGACCTGAACTAAAAAAGCATTTAAGAATGAAAGCACTTGAGTGGATGATAAAAAAAACAAGAAGCATTCCTGAGTGGGGTAATGTTGACTTGCAATATTTTGTTGGTCACGCTAATCCCATCTTTTCAAAACATTCACTTCTCCTCGTTACCTTGGTAGTATTTTTTCAAGTTTGGAAAGGTTTGTATCAAATCTTAAATGAATATCAAAGTGGATTATTAAGTAAAAATATTAATAAACTTTAATATCCAATATTCCAGATGATTACACGATATTCAGTTAAAACATTAAATGATTGAGTTATTTAAAAAAAAACTTATGCACCTTTATGACAAAATTCGATCATTTTATTTTTTACTATTTATAAGAAGTGATGATGGGTATTATTATTAATTGATTAGTCAAATAAAGTAAATTATATACTTTTATATTAAAAAGTATTAAACTATTGTTAATTTATGAGTAAAAAATATAAATGTAGGAGAATGAATGCATCTTGTAGGAAACAAGTTAGTACCTTCAAGTGTTAGTTTAAATTAAATAAAAATATTTAGATAGAAGAATAAATAAAGATGTGATAAACTAATAAGTGAGACGTAACCAGAGTAAATTTTGCACCTGAGCTTCAAAAAAATCCACTATCAAGGCCACAATGTAACTAACAATAAATTTGACTTTGAAGTTTTTCATCGATAACCGAGGGCAATAACGGATTATCTGTGGCTTAACTGCACGAAGCCTCGAAATAACTGAATTAAGAATCTAAACCACAGAAAAACGTCAAATGACCACTAACATCGGCTTTGTGGAGAGTAGATAAAAGCTATAAAAGTTGGAAAAAATTCGCAGTAAATAAGGTGAGGGGCTGGGCATACGGTGAGACCATGATCTTAAACAATAGTAGTATTCACTGGGAAGCCAGAGTCCTTCCAGCAGGTTCACGTTTGCTGGGGTGGAATATACCTCCTGAAGAACTAGTGCACATACCAGAACATTGGCTGGTCTATCCGGAGCCAAACCCCTCCCTTCACTATTTATTAGCTTTGGTTTACATCATTTTTACGTTTGTTGCATTGTTGGGCAATGGGCTTGTTATTTGGATATTTACTGCGTAAGTATACTATTTATTCTTGTTAATTATTTGTCGTATTACAAAACGCGAGTGTAATTAAAAAGATAAAATTAATTCATGAACTTCAGTGAAATTAATTGGTGAATAGTGTATTCATTTTAAATATATTTTTTCTGTTATTCTGCAAAGGAAATTTTTAATATTGGTTTTTAATTAAATTCAAAAACAAATTAATAATAATGATAATGAATTATTTTTAGGGCTAAATCTCTCAGAACTCCGTCAAATATGTTTGTAGTCAACTTAGCTATTTGTGACTTCTTCATGATGATTAAAACTCCTATTTTCATATATAATTCATTCAATACTGGATATGCTCTTGGACACCTTGGCTGTCAAATATTTGCATTTATTGGCTCTTTAACTGGAATTGGTGCTTCGATTACAAATGCTGCTATAGCATATGACAGATACACGTAATAAATATACATCAATATTTAACTAAATATGAATTATTCAATATTTTTTATCAATTCTTGATTCAACAACAGCATCATAAATTTTTGTTACCAGAACTATAGCAAGACCATTAGATGGAAAATTATCAAGGGGGCAAGCTATGTTATTCATTATGTTAATCTGGGTCTACGTGCTTCCATGGGGACTTATGCCAGTGATGAACGTTTGGGGCAGATTTGTTCCAGAAGGTTTCTTAACTAGCTGCTCTTTTGATTATCTCACTGACTCCAATGAAATTCGTTATTTCGTTGGAACTATATTCACGTTCTCATATGCTATACCAATGCTTTTGATTATTTATTATTATAGTCAAATTGTCAGTCATGTGGTAAATCACGAGAAAGCCCTGCGAGAACAAGCAAAGAAAATGAATGTAGAAAGTCTTCGAAGTAATGCTAATTCAAATGCTCAGTCTGCTGAGATTCGTATTGCAAAGGTAAATAAACATGCTTCAAGTAAATATTATATACTCAACATAAAATAAAAAACAAATAATAATAATTGTTTACTTTTATTACAGGCGGCGATCACAATCTGTTTTCTATTTGTTGCATCATGGACGCCCTATGGAGTAATGTCTCTTATTGGAGCATATGGAAACAAATCCTTACTGACACCAGGTGTAACAATGATTCCAGCATGTACATGTAAATTCGTTGCATGTTTAGATCCTTATGTTTACGCTATCAGTCATCCAAGGTACCGACTTGAGCTGCAAAAACGCTTGCCATGGTTAGAAATTAAAGAGCAAGCCCCTGCTGCTGACACCACCAGTACTACTACTGAAGCAGTAAATAATGCAGCAAGTTAAATCTATTACCCTTCTTCCTGATGTGTTAAAAAAACAGCTTCAAACACAACTATTGCTGTTTGTTCTATTAACAGTTGTAAATAGTTGTTACAATATTGTAAGAATATTTGTCAACTGTAATAAAAAATTTCCTTGCAATTCATTAAGACTATATATATAAAATATTTATTGTATACTTAAGTTATTAACAAAATAGACTACATTTTTAATTTATCTATAATATCGTTGTCTATCTCAGACTTAACTTGTGGTTTTTTTAATAATTTATCTTTTTTTAATGATGTTACTACTTTACTTGGAGTAGACTGTTTTTGTGAAATTGTACTATTTCGCAAATTAACTAATTGTTGATCTATTGCCTTAATTTTGTCGCTGCTTCTCTTCTTGAAGTCATTCAAATCTTTCTGTAATATATCAATAAAAGTAATTAACAAATGAATGTTATAAAAATTGCGTGATAAGAAATACATATACATACCTTCTTTAATCCTTGGTTTGTCTTTGTATTGGCTTTTCCCTTAGATTTTTTAGTTTGTACTGTGAACACATTCTTTTTCGGTTTTAACGTTTTCTTGTTCTTGCCCATTATGATCTGTAAGACATTTATTATTTAATGGATTACTTTCATTTTCAATTTTGGATTTTTTTCTCACTGGTTCCCCACATTTTATCATCTCGTCAGTTAAATAGAATGATACTCGCATCATCTCTTTATTTGGAGCAACATTTCTGACGTAATGAATCGTTTTCAAAGATTCAGAAGTTAATGGAATACCTAAACTATCTTCAACTAATGATTGAGCTACAGGTGCAGGATCATCATCTTTTCCAACTTTAACAAAACAGTACAAATGAATCAGAGGAGAATTTTTACATATTAAATCAATCTCTTCTTCATTCACCCAATTTCGAAATACATCAAGAAATTCATTTGCTATTGCAGGAAGATTCATAGCGATATGCTCGTTTCCAAGTTTACTCTCTTTTCGTCTTTGTAATAAATGAGTTTTTACGTCTTTTTTTAAAAAATCTCTACCATCTTTGTTAAAACAATTAATGTTTTTAGCTTTGTTAGCTTTAACATTGAATTCAAGCCATTTAAACGATTCTGGATTCAAATCATTCGCTAAAACTTCAACTCCTTTTTTGGCAGCAGGAACAGCAAAAGGACCGACTCCAGCAAAAACATCATACAGAACATCTTCTTTATTCATAAATTCTAATAATTTACTATGTTCTGTACTTAATCGAGAATTCCAATAAACTTTGGCGAAATCAAATGTAAACTGACATTTATTTTCTTTGACTGTCGTTACAGTATTATCATCTCCAGCAAGAATTTCCATTTGAAAATTTCTAAATTCTGTATCAATCACATTTAATTTATTAACGACAGTTTTAGTATGTGGGACACAATCTAAATAAACTTGACCAATCAAATTCTTGAAAGGTAATTGATTGTCCCTTAAATTTAAATGTAAAATATGACCAACTTTTGTAAAGGATGATGGTATTTCTACATCTTGAGGTAAAACCGCTCTGAGTATTTTTTCAACACTCCAATTGTTGTAATGAATTGTTATAGGTACTTTATCAATTTTTTTTACATATTTCATAATTTGTTTCCGATCAGTTTCATCAATATCATCTAAACTTTCGACCTTTTCGGGATCCAAGTATATAAGAAAGTCATCTTTGATACAATTTACTGATTTATAGGCTCTCAGTTTTAGTATATATTTTTTAATGACCGGCATGATAGAGTGATTTATTTCAGTTCCTAAATTAAAAGATGGAACTTCAATGGTACTTGTGAATGCTTCACGATCCAGTACTGTCATTCCAAGAACACAATCTGGGGGAACCAGTGAGTAAACCATTTTTTTAGAGTTTTTAGAATAATTAAAAACAGATGTTGATGACCTCAAACAGTTAATAATTAATCCTCGGAACATGAAAAGGTTCAGACACTGTCAATTTTTTTCTCAAGATTTATCAAATATACATCTTTGCTATATATTAATGATGTGTAGTTCAATAATATGACAGTGTTTTTAATAACTCAATAAATGCACATACTGATCTCATCGGTGGCCTAAAAAGTTTTATTACATTGAAAATGATTTTACGAAAAAAATAGCAATGTCTGATCCTTAACTATAAAAAAAATAATGTGTACTTTACATATGTGTACTTACTTATTTGTAATACCACGTGGATTAACAAATAATAAACATTGATGATTATTCTTCAACAAATTGTAATTCTATTAATTATAATAGAAAATACAACATAAGTATTCTTCTGGAATTAAGTTATATCAAATTTTTAATATTTTAAGTATTTTCAATATGATTTAACAGTAATTGTTTACTTTAGACAACAAATAGGTGTTTATCTCATAGCGACCATAACCTCTCAATGGAAGTAATCGATAAAATAGAAAATGTAATAGTCAAAAATTATTATCATAAGTCGGTAATGATGATTCGATTGGACTATTGTTCAACCACTAGACTTCGTGGTAGTAGTTTTTTCCACCAATCACATGCAAGTGAGATATATTTTGTTGCATCTGTTTAAAAGAAACGGTTCTCTGTTTCTAGTATTTTGGCGCAATTTGTGTAATGAATGTTTGGAAAAATAATAACAATATAACAGTTTACTAATTTACTTGCTTTTTAAACAAAAAATATTCCGAAATGTCTACGGCAGCAGCAACAACAGCAGCAGTTCAAGAGGAGGATTTAGACGATTCGAGTCTTCAAGCAAAACTGATCGGATGTTTGGAGGTATGGTCCTTTGTTTTTTTTCTGACGTCATGTGATGCGTCTTAAGGCCCAAAATTGATACAGATGTTTACATTAACAAATTCTTTTTGGATTAGTTTTCACCGTGTACCGCATAATATAATCACGGAAAATATGTTTACATAAAATTATACCCTTCAAACTACCATCGACTAAATATTGATACTTTTCTATATGATATGTTTAAATTAGTCATAATAATAAAACCTTTCGACTTTTTTTATTATTATATCAACTGATAAATTTTTAAAAAATTTATAGGGCAATGGAATTACTGCTGGTGACATTGCAAAATTAAAAGATGCTGGCTATCATACAGTTGAAGAAGTCGCTTACACGCCGAAAAAGAATCTTTTAACTATAAAAGGTATAAGTGAAGCAAAAGCCGATAAAATTCTGCAAGAGGCATCGAAGTTGATGGTGATGGGTTTCAAAAGTGCTACAGAGATTCATCAAATACGAGCAAATATAATTTATATCTCTACAGGCTCATCTGAGCTTGATAGATTACTTGGTGGAGGAATAGAAACTGGATCAATCACCGAAATATTCGGAGAATTCCGTTCAGGAAAAACACAACTCTGTCATACTCTAGCAGTTAATTGTCAATTACCCATTGACATGGGTGGTGCTGAAGGGAAATGTTTATATATTGATACAGAAGGGACGTTTCGAACTTCTAGATTGATTGCAGTAGCAGAAAAATTTAAAATATCTCCAGAAAATGTTTTAGACAATGTAGCATGTGCTAGAGCATACAATACAGATCATCAAACTCAACTGTTAGTCATGGCTAGTGCTATGATGACTGAATCAAGATACGCTTTACTAATTGTCGACAGTGCCACTGCTCTATATCGAACGGATTACTCTGGTAGAGGTGAATTATCTGCTAGACAAATGCACTTAGCAAGATTTTTAAGGATGCTTTTGAGAATAGCTGATGTTCATGGAGTAGCTGTGGTTATAACAAATCAAGTAGTTGCTCAAGTTGATGGAGCAGCCAGTATGTTTGGTGGAGACCAAAAGAAACCCATTGGTGGCCACATCATTGCTCATGCCAGTACTACTAGGCTTTATCTCAGAAAAGGACGAGGAGAAACCCGAATATGTAAAATATATGATTCACCATGTCTTCCCGAAGCTGAAGCAATGTTTGCGATTAATGCTGATGGTATTGGAGACGTTAAAGAATAAAGAAAGAGTTAAAAAAATATTAGAATTATCAAATTCATTAATTTCTATTTTGTTTACTTAGATTTAATATAAATTTATATGTCTCATATAAGTTAATGAATATATGATTCTTAAGCTATCGAGAAAACTAATTCAAAGATAAAAAATAAAGTTATCATAGTCTTATATCCATTTAATTCTTCAACAAAGTCTAAATGTCTAGATTGTATTGATAATTTGATGAAAATCATTGTATTATAAACATTAAATACATATAATAAAATTATAGTTATTTTTATATGAAGGATTGTAATTTAAATAAAGTAATTTTTATCATAATTTATAGTGGATGTAATATTTATTTATTTATTTATTGATGTTGATAAAAAAAATCCTGATTTATTATTTAAATTATCTTTTTTTTACAATACTCAGATTATTTTCATCAATAGTGGTTTGTTAATTCCATGAATACATATATAAATTTTATTGTTGCTTTATCATATTCACGAACAATTTGAGTGCAGTAGATATATAGCAAGTCATTCAAAAGATTGAAATAACCTCCAATCACACAGATTCAACCGACTCTTTTTACACGTCATCAAATTTCATTGTTTGGAGATTCAAGTAGTTTACTATTAGAAATATCCGTTGAAGGTACCACAATCTTATTTTAAAATATCAAGTAAGTACATCTCAGTCATCTATTTTTTCTAGTTTTTATATATCTATCGTAATTGTGAGTTACCATGCATCTTTAGAGAATTCAAAGTAATCAAAACAAAGCTGATCAATTTTTTAGATAAAAAAGTATTTTTATTCATTTTTTTAATGAATTTTTTGTTGTGTTTCTATAACAAAAGTATATAATTTAAACAATGATTAGAAATATAACTTATAGGTTATTTATTCATAGCAAAAAATATCAAATACAAAATTATCGTCAATTGCCGCGACTCTTTCATAGGAATTCTAACCAATTTAATAATAAACTGCAATCATTAGCAACAAAAAGGTATAGTGAACCTCCGGTAGATCAATAACAGAAGTAAAACTTATTATTTATTGTTTATTTTTCATAGTTCAAATAATTGTAAATAATTGTAACTTCTTGTAAAAATATTTCTATAAAAACCAGTTATCAAAGAATTAAGTAAATTGCATGCTCCATAGATTCTAAGATATTATTAAAGACTTATATTTTTTTTACTGATGGCCATGGTATGCATTATGGAGTTATAATTTGATATTTTTATGGATTTCAATTTACTCTATTATCTGGGAATTTACTCATATGTTATTTCTACTGTATAATAATACATAATCACGAAACGACATTGATATATTTTTTACTAAAGTGTAAATTATGTTAATAATAAATGATTTTTTTACAGGTTTTATAATAATAATTGCAGCAAAATGAGTGATGATATTTCACTATATACTTTACCAAATAATCAACCAGTAGTATTACTTGAATGTGAACCAGCATTTAATGCACTATCAAAAAATGAAAAGCTTTATGCACATTATTTGAGTCAAGCTGCTTGGAATGGAGGACTTATAGTTTTGATTCAAACTTCACCTGAATCACCTTTGATATTTGCTTTTTTGCATAAAATCTTTCTTGCTGAGTCTATTGATGAATTGAAAGAAGCATCTCTCAAAGCTGGCGTTACTGAAGATGAATTCACTGTAAGTATTAACAATAATAATTAATTTCAACTTGAATTATATAATAAGGGTGCAATATAATATATAATGAGATTTTATATTTTTTACAAAATAATTACATTCCAGGCATTCTTAGTGTATGCTTGTGGAATCTATTCAAATGCTGGTAACTACAAATCATTTGGTGACAGCAAGATAATTCCAAACTTACCAAAAGAACAGCTGGAGAAAATAATGAAAGCTTCTAAAGCTTTTAAGCAAGATCCAAAAGGTCTAGAGGATATTTGGAATAAAATAAAAACTTGTGTATATTCTTTGGAGGGAAAAGTTAAATCACTTGGCTTAGGAGATAAAGGAATCACTACATATTTTTCAGCAAACTGTAACGATAAAGATGCAGACTTAGTTAATGAATTTATGCAAAGTAAAAATATTGAAGGCTACAATACAAGATGTTTTAAAACTGTCGAACATTTTATTGAGTCTAATGAGAAAAAAGAACGTAATGTGTATGAAATCAAACTGGCTTCTTTAGAAGAAGGTCCTGATGCCAATATTACATTTCCGGAGGAAGAATTCAAAGGGTCTGTATTCCGAGTAACCAGAGGAGACTATAGTAAATTATTTGGCCCAGTTATCGATCATCTTGAAAAAGCTAAAATTTATGCTGCCAATGAAAACGAAAAAAATATGTTGGAAAAATATATCAGCAGTTTCCGAACAGGATCACTTGATGATCACAAAGCAGGTTCTCGCTTCTGGATAAAAGACAAAAGACCAGTTATTGAAACTTACATTGGTTTTATTGAAACATATAGAGATCCAGCAGGTCAAAGAGGAGAATTCGAGTGCTTTGTGGCAATGGTTAATAAAGAAATGTCCCAAAAATTTGCAAATCTCGTAACCAGGGCTGAAGAATTTTTGACAATGTTACCATGGGGTAAAGACTTTGAGAAAGATAAATTCTTAAGGCCTGATTTCACATCTCTGGATGTTTTAACCTTCTCAGGATCAGGAATTCCAGCTGGAATAAATATTCCTAATTATGATGAAATCAGACAGAGTGAAGGATTCAAGAATGTTTCCTTAGGAAATGTAATTCCTGCGAGTATGAAACAAGATGTCATTCCATTCCTTTCTGATGAAGATCAAGCATTAATGAATAAACACCGAATTTCTAGCTTTGAAGTTCAAGTAGGTTTACACGAATTACTTGGCCATGGAAGTGGAAAACTGTTGAAAAAGTTGCCTAATGGAGAGTTTAATTTTGACAAAGACAAAGTAATTAATCCATTGACTGGTAAACTGATTGAAAAATACTTTTTGAGCGGTGAAACATACGACTCTAAATTTGGTGCGATGGGTTCTTCATATGAAGAATGTCGAGCTGAAGCTGTTGGACTCTATTTGAGTCTTGAACAAGAAATATTGAAGATCTTTGGTCATGAAGGATCAGATGCTGATGATATTGTTTATGTTAATTGGTTATCTTTGTTGTGGGCTGGTTGCGCTAAGGCTCTAGAAATGTATGAACCAGGAACGAAAAAATGGCTACAAGCTCATTCACAAGCACGTTATGTATTGATGAAAGTATGTTTAGAAGCTGGTGAAGGATTTGTTGAAATTAAAGAGACTGAACCAGGAAAGAACCTACGACTGACTGTAGATAGATCAAAGATTCACACTGTTGGTAAGAAAGCTGTTGGAGAATTTTTGAAAAAACTCCAAATTTATAGAAGCACAGGTGATGTTGAAGCAGCTAAAGAGATGTATGATCATTATTCTGCTGTTCCTGAAGATGGTTCACACCCTTGGGCTAAATGGAGGAGCATTATTTTAGCTCATAAACAACCGAGAAAGATTTTTGTTCAAGCCAATACTTTTCTTGAAGGTAAAAATTAAATAGCTTTATTTCATCATATAACTGTAAACATATGGTTATTTTTTATTTTTATTTTTCACAGGTGACAATGATGTGAAATTGAAAAATTACAATGCCGATTTCCAAGGATTGATACAGTCATGGATTGACCGTTTTCCAACTTCGCAAACTACTGAAGTTCTTATTGAAATGTGGGAAAAAGAACAAAAGTATTTTTCTAACTGCAACCTCCCTAATTAAGCTTTTATTATTTATAATAAATGATGTTTTTCAGTTTTTATTGACTCAGTTATAAGTTTTCTATCATGAAAATAAAGAATAAAAATATTTTATAAAATCATCTGAATCATTTTTGTAAATACAAATTAGAAAATACTTTGCAGTTTGGACAGTATTGATGTACGCTATTCAAGTAAAAACAATGAAGAAAGAAAAATTCAAAGTTATTTCATAATCAAGAGTTATTGAATATATTTAACTATAAAATTTTAAAAATTCCGCCAAAAAGTCACACAGGCGGCGCTGCATTCCATTTCCTTTGCACAAGCGTCTGAGCGAGTCAGCATGGCAATTTTGGCGGAATGTCAGTGTTTTGGAGGCAACGATGGAGTCAGAAAAAAAATTAGCAGAAATTTTCAAATTATTCGAATACGAAGTAAAAGAACCTGATGCATTAAAAAAATGTAAGATACGGAAATGATTTTATACTTATTGATAATAAAAACAATCTTTCTATATATAAATTACTTCATTCAAAATAACCGACGTATTGTTTCTACGAAGCATGTGGTATTCATAATAAGTTCCTAAAATTATTACTGAACATTCATTAATTACTAATTTATTTACAAATATACTTTATATTTATATTTTGAATAAAGGCAAAAATATAATTGTACCGAGCTTCACAATAATATTTGCGCTGTCTTAAGTTTCAATTAAAACGGTAACCTCAAACTGGTGAGTATAAAAAATAAATAAAATAAAATGTATCTTGCAGGTGTGGAAATTTGCGAAAATTTCAACATTGATGCTGACGGTATAACGGACAAATGGTTGGAGTTTATTCAAAGTACAGAAGACGATAAAAATCTCGATGTGACTGTGCAAAGAGTTGAAGAATTCGAGGAGTGGTGTGTATTCAATATAAAAGAACGATTTGATAAACCTAAAAAACCATCAGTAACTGAATTCAAGAAAGAAGATGAGCCGAAAGAAAAACTTGATATCGATCTATCGAGATCAAGTACATTAAATGCATCAAAACCAATCGTGTATCCTTTTTATATCAACTTATTTATGTTCATTTCTTGATTCATTCAACCAACAAGTCAATCGTAGATGCACGTTTTTATAAATGATATAAGACCTTATAAATAAATAGGGATGATGAAGATATTCTGGAAATATATGGATACAAGAAAGAACTTTCGAAAAATGTAAGTACAATAATGATTTCTTCTCCAAAACTTTCATGCTTAATTCTTTGTTTCGACTTCAATTTAACTGAAGCCTACTGATTCGTTTATAATTTGATGCCAATTTCTTTTAAATTATAGGCTTCTTTCCACATTTGTACTTCACGTAAAATTTATCTGAACAAAAATTACATACATTCCAGTGTTGCCAAACTGCTTTATACATTGAAAAATGGAATTATTCAATATTATCAATCAATTTACTCCTGAAACAACTAATTATCAGTTACAATGTTCAGTACATTATTAGCTTATCTAGCCAGACACGTACGAGACTTGAAAAATAATGAATTGTAGAACATGACGTTCGATTGAAAAGCACAGAAGTCATTTATATTCGACTGAAACTGTTGACATAATAAATTTACATGACTTTTTAGATTGGCGATTTTGCGAGTATATGTACAAGATTCTTTCGATATGTCTCAGACTCTTGAGCGACAGTATAAAACAGTTTGGCAACACTGGGGATCGTACGAATCTCTGCCGTTGCCACGTGAACCCACCAAAGATCTTGAAAAAACTGAACAAGCGTTTCCATTGCCTTCCTGAGTTCGATGGTTCTCATATCTGTTACTCATCTCTGGTGCTTAGCAAATAGCTAACAATTGATCGTGCGGAAATATTTGATAGAGGAAATCAAAACGAATAACATTCCTTATCAAATACTTGTGATAGAGAGTGAGTACACACTATAAATTCTATCATTCTTCAGCAAGTCAAATCAAAATAAAACTTCTCATTAAACTAGAAAGTTTATCTTTAGATTCGTTAGAAAAAGAAATAGCTAGAAAAAGTTTAGAAATATTGAGTAGAAAATCATTATAAACACGTGCGTAAGACATTAGCCTATCAGTTTGATGATGTAGTAAGTGTTATCAAAGAAATAACAGAGATACAGATGTTATTGTCTTTTTTTTGCCCTGATGAATAAGACAAAATTGCTAACGGTTGATGATAAATTTCACATGCATCATCTAGGAAAGGTTCCTGAATAACGCGGATGATTTACGCAGGTCACTTTGGCAACGCTGTCTCACATTCTTTGTGGTCTTCAGTATAGAGTAGTAATGACGTAACGAGTCTACCTGTGGACCCAATTCTTCTCTAGGCCCCCGTGGGACGTAAAAGTAGGATGTAGGCGAAATCCTCGACGTAAATCTCCTGATGATGTTTTTTATTTCTACCCTCAAAACTTTTTTTTGTCCTCGTTTGACCTCCATTTCAAAAGCCTCATAACATTATTTTTTCACAGAATATAACATTTGTATAATAGCATATTGAGTATGTCATCTATCAGTTTCTTGGTATCAATGAATAAAAAAAATTTTTTTTTCGAATTACCAATAAAATTCAACAATTACGGAAAATAACTACGGCACTGTCTAGTGCCACTAGTTTTGCACACCAAGCGTGTAGTTCTCCTGCGACTGGAATGAAGCAAGCTGGTGTAGTTGGCTTATGCTTCAACACAAATGCGTGATGTTGCCACGTCTTATCATATATTACAGTAGTAGTAGCTGATTATTAATCTATATATACTACGACTTAGAATTCATATGTAACAAATTTTTGAATATACTAGTTGAAATCTGTTTTAAAAGTCAAATGGTGGTGGAATTGTTATGCTAACGATTGCTGTACAATTTGGAAATAATAGAAAAATATATACATCATTTTGAACTAAGTTGAAGAAAGTAAAGTGTAGTGTGAGTTAACAGGAAACAAAATGAGTAAAAAAAAAAGGAGGAAAAATGAAGAATGCGTGTCAGAAAGAAGCTTCAGAGAGATTTCCAACGATTTCCCGACAGGTGGTTCTCGTCCCCCAGGCCCTAGCGTAAGCGGGGCCCCTGTAATTCCTTCCACAAAAATCCTCCAGGTAGATTGCCGCCATTATCCCCACCTTATAAGAAATTCTCCCTCAAAGGTAAAACGGGGATTCAGAGTGAATTAAGTGGGGAGAGTGCACGATTCCAGTTCCCTGAGTTGTCTCAGAACAAAGAGTAAGAGAGATGTAGTAGTGGTTAAAGGGAAAAGAGAGAAGGAAGTGGTAAAGAAAAAGGAGAGGAGGGACACCACGGTGTACACAAGCGATTCCCCTCCACTTAAATCCGACTAGATTTCTTCCAAAGGGCATAATTTCAGTTTTCAAGGACGCGTCTTGCCGCTAGCGTCGCGTTACCCAAGCTCCTCAAGACAAAGCCGATGCTTTCGACAGTTTTATTCTACCAAATGTTTAAATAAAATATATTTCGTTTTGTGTAATATTTATCGTATATTTTATCTCATTCATTCCGTGGTATAAGTGTGTACAGTCAGCAGCACGATTTTCCAAAAGTTCTCAACTTTCCATCCGGTTTCTTGATGGCGTCGTCGAATCCAAGCCAGTTAAGCTTTGGTGTACCCCATCTCACGCTTTCTCTCTTCTGGAAGATCAACCGCCAGAATAAAAGATACTCGTGGAACCTCGGTTATCTTCGTGTGTTCATTCAATATGCCTTGTATATTCATTGCTCGCTTGACTATTTAGTGTGATTTCTAGTTATTCTAAATGGATTTTCTTTGAAAATATTCTCAAAGGTGGTATAGATTCTTTTCACTCACAAAACAGCCACATCCCCAGGACTTCCCCCCTACTTCAGATCTGCTGAATAGAGTGACGCTAGAAGACGCTACTTTATAGACGCGTTAGAGTGAAAACATTATCTGTTTTTCTTTATAATATTTATATATGATCGTGTATCAAGGAATTTTTACAGTGAACGTGAAAGCAGTGAAAATATTATTGTTGGGAGACACGATTATTATGTATATATGCGCATCTTTAATTTGCTGCGTGTGATTTTTTTTTCAAGCGGAACAAACAACCTGTTACTTTATGTTCGGGAGTTCCGGTTGGCTTGACCGTTAGAAAATTTTCCGCCAAGTTCTTGTTCGTTCACTCGTTTCCTTGACTTTGAGTGATATGTGATTGTACGTTACAACTTCAAAACATTTTTTCCATTACATCCATTTTATTATTTTTTTTCTTCTAATATTTTATTTTTTTCATTTGTAGGCTGGTTTTTTACAACTTTTATTTTATTCCTCAACACGAAGAGGAAATTGTTCAAGATCCTTTGAGATGTCCAGTCAATTATCATTGGTTTTACGACAGGCAACTCTTGGAAACGATCATGGCGCTTTTTGCAAGACACCGGACGCTATTCCTTGCCTACCTGTTGCTTCCCTTTTGGGATCAAAGATACTCGAGTTATTTTTCATTACTCGTTTTTGATTTTTGACACTCATTTGATCGTTTCCTTTGTGTCTAGCAAGTTAATATTGTAATCGAATAATTTCAATCTTGAGTCGAGTGACAATATGAAGTTCATCCAACGTTTCATTAATTTTTTAATCATTCTGTTAAATACATTTATCTCTTCTATTTTGCTTATCTGGATTTATTATAAGTAACCAGACGACGATGTACATTCCCTTAGCGTTTCGCTTCCTCGAATCGATTGCGTCTTACGATAAAGAAGAAACACCAAACAACCTTCTTTGTTCAGTAAACGACCCTCTTTTCAACATTCAAATACGTTTCTATCACCCACGGGAGTATGTAGTTTTCTTTATTCTTTTATTTTTCTCACGCTGCTACATTCCCAAAGTCATCAAAATAATCTGCATTTAAAAAAAAAATTGTTTACTTTCTCTTACATGTAATTATTGAATTTTTTTGGCTTCTATTCTCGTATACATGGTGGTAATTTGATGAAGAAAAAATATCCAGACCGCGTGGTCTAAATATCTAAAATTGTCTCAAGTTCGTTGTCTGCTTCCGGCCATTTTGCAAACCTGCTTCAAAAGACGCTCTACCTGACACAGAAAGGAAACAACGGAGGTTTTTTTTTCGGTTTCGAAGATCCCGTTCTTGATGGGGGGTAATCTCGCGACTGACTCGGCAGGTTCCTCAAGGATTTACTGCTGAAGAAAATTTGGCACAGTTGGTTTACTATTAAGAAGGAGATTAAATGTTTGGTTTTACTTTCTTTGTTCTTCATGACAATGTTTCTAGGAAAAATGGGTAATAGGCTTTAGTGTATTCCCTTGAGGGATTTATTTGAATATTTGTTCTGTTTTCTTTCATCGACAGTTGACGATTCAATAATAATTCCTTACAGACATAACTTGTCTCAACCAATTAAGTGCAATTGACGAATGGCCGCCCAATCTCTCTTCAGCTCTTTCTTCCCTGTATGTCCTTCTCTCTACCCCTTATCCCGTAATTTCTTGTGACTTGCACGCAATGCCCGCGTATACGTAAGGATCCAATCGGAAGACAAATCGATCATATATCTTTCTGTTTCTCGCTTTGTCTCATTCTTCTCCCCTCGTTGTTTGAAATCTCGAGCGAGTACTCGCCGTTTACGTCCCGCATTGTGAAACGCGAGTAACTGGTAAAAGTTCAACGTCATTTCCCACGGTTCGGAGCAATGACGAGAGGGGCCGAGAGACGAGTAGACATGGAGGGAAAAGGGAGAACGTCATGGTGGTGATGGTGGTGGTAGTCGAGAGTACGCTGGCAAATGCCTTGAGAAAGAATAGAAGAGTAAGGGAGAGAGTCCAATGGGCCCCTGGCAGAAAGAATAAAGCGGGAAACAGACGCGGTTGTCAAGAAGAGAGACAACAGATTGCTACAGAGGGGAGAAGAACCGAGATCGGTCCGAAAACCACGATCGAGTACAGCGAATGGAGGCTTCTCCTCACTCTCGCTCCATCTCTTCTACATTGCCCCTTCTCTTCTGCAGACCACGATATTCACTCAACGGTCAGTCCAGGGCCGTCCTTTCGTGGGTAACGTTACAAGAAATAATTTTAATATTGCTCAAAATAAAGACAATATAGTGTAAAACGTGCTAATAGTTGAAAGAGAAATATTTCCGCGCCAATTTCTCATATTGCTTGCTGAAGAATTACATGAAACTAACATATTGAGGTGTGAAAGAAAGAAAAAGTTCTGTAAAAAGATTCAAGTAAGAACTCGTTACCGAATGAAAAAAAAGCTGCCAAGTGCCCGAGGGGACGGAAAGAAAGTGAAGAGAAAAAAATAGCAAAAGACGGCAAAAGAAACTTGAGCGTAATATGTAACGGACAACGAAGCGCGTTCTGAATGTGCCAGGTTAACGGCAGTTAACCTTCCCGCATCTTATTCGAGGACTTGCTATTCAACGACTCGTGTACATTTAGTGAATAATAGCAATGACAAATTTTATCGACTAGCTACATACTTTATTTATATTTCATTGTAAAACCTACCGATATGTATTTTTTTTGTTCAGTTGTAGGAAATGAATAATTAATATTATTGTTTGTTCTGTTCGTTTATAACAAAGAATAGGATGAAGGGAATTTCATACCAAATGTAACTCAGTGAGTGATGGTCTAGTGCACATGCATTAAAATTGTGACTAGATCCACACTCATTAAGTTCGTTTGGTTATCGGCATCGCTATTCGCCATATTTATAAAACAAAAAATCGATAGTTTGGTTTTGAAATGATTCATTACTCTAATTAATAATTGATCAGTTTCTAGATTTCAAACTAAACATTTTATTGCTCATGACTGTTCATGATAATTTTCCTGTTGATTCATCAAATACAGTGATTATTCCATGGACGAGTATGAATTTGGTGCACGTTTTTTTTAACTATCGTGACTAGATACACACTCGTCTACGGAGTCCTGTTTACAGCCATCTAAAAGGAAATTTCAAGACCAGTCATGAGTTTAAAATGAAAAAAAAACTAGTTCTTTCAGACTCCCGGCCTCGTTTTGATACTACATTGAATTCTGTTGCTGATAAGTCTTTCATTTCTAAGCAGATTCAACAAAGAAGCCCTGGAGAAGAAGAAATTATTGTGGATGACAAACCATTGAATAGTGAAAAGGTCAATTCTACCGACTTGTAAGTAAAAATGGTTGTGTTAATTAATTTAATTACCAAACTGTTGTTTAAAGATAATAATCATAAATTTGGAATTTTAGACAAAGCAGTAAAAGTGGAACAGTTCTCTTGAAGTTTGGACAAAATGTAGATGATTGGAAAAATTCATTCACACGCGAGATAAAAATAACTAAAACTAACGATCCTCACGTGACACCAAACGAGCCATTTCTCTACAATCAGATGAGTGACTTCGTAGTATTAAATGAACTATGTCGAGCGATGGCTGGGGTCTTTTATAACATTTGGTCAAAAGAAAAAGAACAGCTTGTAATAACGTCAAATGTGAGAGAGAAAACGCTTGATAATTTCCGAACATGGGGTCGAATTACTTGTGATGACGAGGGAAAACTCAACCCTGCTTCTATTCTTTTAGTGGGTGAAACCGAACATTGGTTTCATTCCCTCGGTGAATATGAACCCGATGAGTTGGCTGAAGGTGCATTTGACCTGGATAGGTTTGCTCAGGAATTTGATAATGATGAAGTGAACATTGAAGAAAAAAGTGGTTTTGGAGATCCCGAGGCAGAAGATATTAGAAAGAAGAAAGAATGCATTCCATTAGATGTTAGTCGACTTCAACGTTTTTCCTTTTTCCCAGGACAAATTGTGGGGGTTGAAGGTAGAAATCCAACCAGAGAAATTCTATCGGCTTATAAAATTATACCTGGCGCAGCATTTGGACCTGAAAAGCCTCCACAATTAACCGAGTCAATACAGATTGTTATCGGTGCTGGACCATTCTCTGCTCCAAAGTCAGGAAACGATTATCAACCACTCTATAATTTGATGAGTCAAGTTGCTCAAATGGAACCGAACGTATTAATTCTTATAGGACCATTTATTATCGATGATGGCGTTTGTTTAGAAGAACAAAAACACAGTAAGACTTATCAAGAGATCTTTGAAAATTTAGTTACAAAAATTATGGGATATGTTGAAGGGTATGGTTTTTTCACTTCATTCCATTCAAATTTCTTAAATTTTCCTTCAGCTTATTATTTTTTTTAATGAATTACAGAAAATGCACACAAGTTGTGCTTATTCCTTCATATGAAGATGCACATCATGATGGATTTTATCCAACGTCTGAATTTTCACTTCGAGCTTCACTTAAAAAACGAAACTTACATTTAATGCCTGACCCTTGTATGATTGATATTGAGGGTTTAATTATTGGAGCAACATCTGTTGATATTATTCGACATCTTAGCAGTGAAGAAATAAGCCGGTACGGTTTTCTAAATATCTACGTATTGAAATTTAATTATTTCGAGAAGTCATTGAAAAACATTAAATAATAGAACAACAATTACAATAACTTGCAATTTTCGATGTTAAAACATGATAAAATTATTTAATAATTTTCTAGGAATATGCGAGACAAGTTGGGTCGTTTAGCTGAACATTTATTACTACAATCATCATTTTATCCACTCCATCCACCCTCACCAGAAGTACCTCTTGATACCCTTTTGTGGGCAGATTGTAGCATGATGGATACTCAACCCCATATCCTTCTGGTACCTTCAGCTATGCAGCATTTCCATAAATGGAGTCATGGAACGCTCATTTTAAATCCTTCTAAAGCTTCAAAAGGGATATTTACTCGGTTGAATATCCGTCCTGTTGATAATCAATGGTCGGAAAATTGTGTTGATGGCGAAGTTCTGAGAATTTAATTGAAATAAGATACTTTTGATATATTATTAAAAATAATATTATTTATTACATTGAAATTTCTTTTTGAATAAAGTTTTTTTTATAATATTTCTCAGTACGACTCTTATTAATTACAAATTTTCTCCAATAATTAGAAGATACTAAAAGCTTATAAATTAAATTAAAATCAAACATTTTGATGCATTGTATGAAGGGTTTCTAAAATAATCTTTAGGGGTCAGCACCCTCCTATTGACCAAACAAACCCAGTCAGCTGGTATTTGCCGGTAACACATCGCTTCAAACAGTGGCGCCACCCACACTTTGCCCAGTCTCGAAAGCTTAGCCTCCAAGTGAGTTGTGAAATCGGCCATTGCTTGGGTTATTCGTAAATATTCGCGTTAAAAAATATCAACGTGAGTAATTTAGGCTCCAATCTACGTTGCGAATGACGAGGGTAAGTATTGATATGGCTGTTTTTTTTCTCTTTAATTTTATTAGAGTGTCCTTGACTTGTATTTGTAAACTAGAAGGCTGAGAACCATGAATACAGTCGCCATCTTTGTTACAAAATCTGTATATTTATGATTTCCAATGCACTGCATCTCTGTGCATATTGATGCAATCTATTCAAAAATAGTTTAATTACCTTGAATATTCTATAACTATTAATTTTCAATAAAAATTCAACAATTTATTGATAATTTGATGGAGTTAATCGTCAATAAATGCATCAGAAATTATTGTTTCATAATAATGATAGTGACCTTGATTTCTACACTGCAATACATAATAAAAGATCTGCATTATCAAGTGTCTGATTGATTGAAAAAATTCTAAATTTTTTTATTTGTTATGCAATAATTAATAAGACAACAGATTGAATAATTATCAATAATAAATAAAAATCTTTTTATGGAGATAATTGATAAAATGTGACCATGAATATTCAATATTTTTTTTATGATGAGCTTTTTTATGAATACAAAATTTAATATTATTCAACATTTTTACAAACACAGTTGCATTTTATTCAATGCAACATTCACTTTCTCTAAAAATTACCATTTTTCTTACACCTGTCACAACTGTTTTTGTTTTTTTTTTTTTTTACAAAACTGTCAGAAGTTGTTTAAATATTTCTATGCATAACTATTTTCGATAATACAATTAATAGTGTCAACTGTTGAAACATGTGTAAATGAATGTTTTAGAGTCACAATAATTAAATACTGAGAAATAATTCTTTTGAGTGCACTGCTCAATTTAATAAACCGGACGTTTAATGACGACCAAAGAGGGTGAGAGAGGAATTATATGCCAGCAAATTGTACATCTAAGTCATATCATTTTATTCTATAGCTTTAATTCCAAAATTCATGAATTTTTCTTTTGCTAGACTTTTCAATGAAATTCGCATACCTTTTTATGATTAATTACAATTAAACAACACAACAAAAATGATGATTCACTTACATTAATGCAAAAAAAAAATTACAGGATAGTTTTATTATAAAGATTTTATTTTTAATTATTGTTTAAACCACTAAAAACATAGATAAATTACTGAATAGGAAGTGAATTATTTTAATAATAAATCTTCAAGGCTTTGGAGTACAAAAAAAAAATTTAATTAATCCTGATGAAATGTATTATTTTTTTAAAATTAAATGCAATTAATTTCATCTAATATTCAACCCTAAAGCAATGTTTTTGATATGGAATTGGTGATTTAATTATCAGAATACGAATCTCTTGTTAGCCTGGGGAACATTTGCCAACCCTTGCGAATTATAAAAGCTCAAGCTTTGTTGTATTGATAATTTTCAGACCCCACAATTGAATTTGATACTTCTCGAAACAGTCGAGTGTTTCTCTGAAAAAGACTAGCTCATAAGAATAGAATGAACTGATTCTAAATAATTAGAGATTACTCGTCATATACAATGGGAGTGAATAATGAATACTTCAGTAGTTGTATATACTTATAAAAGAAGTGGAATTATAGTTATTACACTTAAATAGAAATTACTATGATAAGAAAAGATTATTGTAGTTATTGTTGACACAAATTTAAATTATTTAGATTTTATTTTATTATTTTACAATATTCAAGTAAAAAATATTCCTGATAAACTAGTACTTAATTTAATTTTTTTTAAATAATAATATTGCAATTCTTCCTTACAAAAATAATATTTGCCATTAATGAACCTAGAAATAATCTTATCAAAAATGAATTATGTTAAGTACAGCTTTCATTACAAAGAAATGAAAAATAAATGACCTTTAATTAAAGTCTCAATTAAATGCACCATCGAAAAGGTGTAAATGAGTATTTAATGAAATACTTCATTGAAAAGGTTTATTTAGTACAATTAAATAATTAATTAATATTATCTTTATCGTTATTCAAAAGAGCTGTTATTTACATAGATTATGCATATTAGTGAAATCTTAATGACGCTTATCGATTAATTGCAATATAACAAACTTCCTCGTAAATAGCTCAATTAGTATTTTAAACGTTTAGCTAATGATTGCAAGTACATTGTGACAAAAAAAAACATACGCAATGGATATATTATGAATCGAGAGTAGTATGAGAAAGCGAGAGTGTCCATATCGATTCGGTGCTCGACGTGGGTTGCCTACCTCAACCCCAACTCGTCGCTTTATTTTGTACCATCAGACAGACTTGAAACCAAAGTGAAAGTGGTGATTATATTGAATATTTAGTTGAACTACCGAAATATTCGTTCAAAATAATTTTCTTTGTATACATATTCATATATTGGCAAATATAATACAATATTTATTGTAATTAGGACCACATAAAATCATTATTTTTTCGAACATATTTGTATTGTGACGAGTCAGACACGTCAATAAGTAACATCATTGTTGTAATTACCATTTTATGTAACTGTTACTTTCTCCAATATTTTGCTTCGTACAAAATAATTGTGTAATATTGATCTACTTTATCCTTTATTAGTGTTGTATAGGGGCACTTGTTAATTACTTTTTCTTCTTTTTCCATTCTTAAGCATTGCTGAGAAAAAATTTTTAATTTAAGCAATTAAAAGAATTTAATTTTATTAGCAAAGAAAATATTTAAAATGAAAATTATTAATATTAATATCCATTATTTAAATAAGATGTAAGCAATTAATGTTGGAATAATTTTGAATAAACTATGTAAATCAAAGATTTACCTATTTCATAATTTTTTGATTGATAATAAAAAGATTAATTGCTTTATCATATAAAACTATTTAAATAAGATTATCAGTAACCATAAAAGTGATATGAACTTGAAAGAAAATTTACTTACTTACTCATAAATATATTAATATTACTTTTAACTTATGATCAATGTAAAGTAGTATGCTTATACATACATGTTAATACGATTAAATCATTTACATATACAATTATATCTTGGCTGATAAAAATTTTCTTCATCGTTTAAAAAGTTTATCAAATAATCCATCTAGAAAATATGAGTAGACAACATAATATAATATTATACATACAAACAAGGGTAAAATAGAACACGTTTTAGATTAATATTTATTACAATAGAGATGGTTTCAACTGATTATAATAATATAGAATAAAATAAATAAATAAAAATCTAGACATTTTTTTTGTTATCATAACGATTAAAGCTGAAACAAACTAAATAAAAAATTAATTGAAACCAAATTGATTTTTAATTTCTTACAGAGCGTAGGAAAAAAAAGGTTGATTTTATTTCAATTAATTCATAATCGTTGAAAATGTTGGAACAAATGAAGCTTTTTTATTAACTAAAATAAATTGGGTTAAAAAAAAATCAATATACAGAAAACTTTGTAAAATAACCAATAAATGATGTTTCAATCAAAGCATAATAATAAAAAAAAAAGACATCAACATGTTTCATTATTTAATTTCTTTTAAATAAATTTTCAATTCGTATTCAATGTTTAATGTATTTGTATAAAATCATATTAATAATAATAAATATATACAACACATTAAATAATTAAAGAATATTTAAAAATAAAAAATATAACTCATTAGTTGTTGATGAAAATAAGATCATCAAAAGGATAGCTTAGAATCAATTATTCATCAATATCCAATTATTACTCACTTCCTCAGCTTTTCTCTGAAAGTAAAAAATAATCAAATGCCGCCTGTATAGTGGCATTTCGTTAAAAGTTACGTGAGTAATCAGAATGAAAATGAAAAAAAAAAAGAAGAAAATATCAATCCGGGCTTCAAGTTCTATGTCTACGCTGGTGGGCTGTTTTGGGTGGACGACGCCGCAAAAACAGCGAATAACCAAGTTCAAGGCCATCGACGTTGGCAACCCCTTACTTCTTTCCTTGCCTTGACAGTCATCATTCCCTTCCTCTCGATCTCGACGGTGTTAACACCACCGCCCCCGCCTAAATATAGAGCACACTGTTATGTACGCGTAACTAAGCCATATAGAAGCTCCCATGCGTCTGTCTTTTCATCCTCAAAAAGCTCTAGAGATTTTTTCCCAGCTCCATCGATTTACTTGAACCTTCAAGACATGTACTCTACTTTGTATAACATATCAATCTAACACTCTATGAATCTATTTCTAAGCAGTGTTAACGACCTTCTTGTCTAAACTAACAAGTCTTGCAAACTGTGATATCATTGAGACATTCTATAGAAGTAATAAATTTTATAATTTGACTTAATGTTCTACGATTTTTTTTATGGTTTTTTTTTTTTATTTTCTTAGACAAAAGTACTATTTTTACATATTTTAGATTGAAATTAAATTTGTATAAAAATAAAATTTTTTTTTAGTAATAATTTTAACTTTGATTGAGATGATTATTAAAAAGATAAATAAAAAGTTGAAATTTTCCGTTACGAGAGAGTAAATTTAATGAGAAACAAAAAAGAATTAAATAAATAATCAAAGACTTATTTAGTTTGCGAATTGATATTTGTTGTTATATAATAATGATATAAAGCCATAGAATTTTTGATCATAAAATAACTGGACTGATAAAAAAATTCAGTTGATTTATGATTTTTTATTGCTTTTTCATTGTAATTTAACGACCAAAATGAATTTCCTGCTACAACTATGTTGGTTGAATTTGGAGCTAACAGAAAAGTTTTTCCAGTTATTTATAGATTTATGTTATTTTTTTCAACGACATAACAACAGAATTTATTTCACAAAGAATTAAATTAAAAATTAGTAACTTTCTCTCAACAATCTTAAATGTTCATTAATTCTTATTGCATTACAAAAAAATTTTGATTACAAATTTAAAAAAAACATTAACGAAATAAAATGTGATTATATTTTCCACTTCAATAAATCTTTTTAATTAATTAATAATTAAAAGTATCTTTCAGTAGCGAATATTGATTTTTTTTATTAACTCTACAATCTGTAATTCGTATCAGTTATATTTTTTTTTCAATACTTACCAGTATTAAAAAAAAATACTGAATATCATTAACAATACAACTCCGAAAATGACATCGTTCTAATCAGTTGTAAACTATGTACACACTACATGTACAAGTATTTTTTCAATACTTTCCTCGTAATTTAAAGCCTAAAAATCAGTGGAGTATAATTTTATCTCCCTTTTGAATTTTCTAGAAGGTTTTCATACACACATTGTTTAAATTTACGTTTCACATCTGTGTCTTATGGATAAAATTATAATTTATAATCGTTCCGCAATTGCGATGTGTATTTGAACATCTGAAAGAATTCAAGATCATGGCAAAAGTCTAAAGGTCAATTGAGTAGAGTTCGATTTATTATAAAATTCATCTACATAATGTATTATATCTATCTATTCACATATACTCCATCTTTCATTACATTTATCTCGCAAATAATAAAATAATTATCATGATTACTGATTATTATAATAAATTAAACATTGCGATTATTTAACAGATAAAAAATCAATTAATTGAATGAAAAAAACGATTTGAATGATGACATATCATTAATGTAAGAATGTCTGATATTATTAATCTGGTGAAAAAATTCGTATGATTCGGGGGCTATGTGATAAACAGACAAAGAGAACTTACTTGGTATAGTCAACGTAGAATCCCTGTGAATTGCAAATTCGTTGCCGCCCTCTTCACTCTCTCCTTTTCTTTCTCACAAGTTAGCCTACTCCCTTAACGTTACCGTTGTGTCACACAAAACAGGGAATATAATACCTAACCGGGGCGATCGCACAGTCGCGCGCGGTCTGTCGAGCCGTTAACATCACTTGTCGCGTTTGTACAAACCACGCGTGTGCGATTATTGCACCTTTTTAAACTCGTTTTTTGTTCCATACAATAGTCAACGCATACCAACTCGATTTTTTACACCAAAAATTAACAAAGGATCTTTATTTATAAATATATTTTTAATCTAAAAGATAATTTTTTTTGTTTTTTAAAAAAAAAAGAAGTTAAGACTTTGAATATCAGTGAATGAAAAATAAATAGTAATTTAATGGTGATTTTTAAGGTTTATTATTTGAATTAAAAATCATCAATTACGGAGGAAATAAACAGGGATGTACGACAACACAGCCATGGACGCATGGATTTACGATGTGGTAGGTGCGATGTGTTGTGTTATTCTTCATGTCTTTTACTATCCTACTAGTCTGTTAAGCTCATCTATCATTGAATAAGTATCATTTTCAACTTTTATTTAAGCCGAAAAAATTGCCAAAAATTTTTCTTTGCTGCTCATTTTTATTACCTTTCCTCTTATCTACCCAGACTACAACTTCGCAAATCTATCTTTTTTTTATTTTTTGTAAATCCAAATAAAAGAATTCTTGGATTTATATAATTCTTTTGACAAAAATTTGTCTTGATAAATTCGGCTGTATTTCAATTGGTTCTTTTTATGTACTGTATAAATGTCTAGAATGTCTAGAAAATGAATTGTTATTTATGTAAAAAGATTCATTTATCATTCAGTGATTTTTTGGAGCAGTTTTGTGGTAGAAATGTTTCAGTCATTAATGATTGGTTTGAGAACATGGAAACGCCTTTTTCTCTAGATTCCACTACATACATAACTAAGACACCAGATAAAAAGGAAAAAAAAAAACAGTTTATTTTGAAGATTCCACAATGATCTCACTCGCCAAAAGAAAAAAAAATGATTTTTTTTCTTTTTGCATCCATCAAGTTGCTTGTTTTAATTTTTTTTTTTTTCATCTTTATGACTGAAATATGTCTGCATATTACAACAATTAACTTCTCTATCGATATAATACTCTTATATTATCCAAAACAAAATAAAAAAATATTTTTATTGCTATTTTATGGTAACATGTAAGATAAAACATTTTTTCCACATTTTATCAGACAATTTAAAACGTGTGGTATGATTGGACTAGGTAAATATGTCACTCGAATGTTTTAAGATTAATCTGAATTTCAATATGAAAAATTTTCATAACAGTTATTTAGATTTGACTTTAACAAAATTTTCAAGTCAAAGAGACATTTTTACCATGACACCTTACGAAAAGTGGAGAAGGAGATCTGACATTGGTTGATAAATGTTTTTGTTAGCTGGGTATATCTACTTATATTATCATTTATAACCCTTTAATCCTTATAACGCTTATATAATATATTCACTTTGAAGTTGGTATGAAGCTACTACACTACTGGAACCAAATATAGTATTCATCTCAAGATTAATCCATATGGCATTGAACAAAAGATACACAAGTGTTTTCACGATGTTGATATCATCAGCAGTACATTTTTCTATCTCGACACAACTCAATTTCCTAAATTGTCTCAATATTATTATCGCTACAGATTCAGACTTGAAAAATCTTTCATCAACTTCATCAGCTATAAATAAAGGTATCTCTAAGTCACCAACCGCATTGGAAAAAATATAAAATATGTGAAAAATGTTGGGATGCTCATCATGTCGGTATAAATTATCTATCGACTCATCGATTGGCATTGATAAAATCCACGAGATGCTCTGTTGAAGGTTTTTCTCGTAAGAAGGAAAATAAGAGGGAGACTGAGAGATATTTGCGATAGATTGAAGGCACGTCTGAATGTCTAGAGAGTCAGCCGACAACTCTGTAGCATCAACAGCGGCATAGTTAAGTTTGTAGTGAGTACATATCGACAATCACCAGGGTGATGAAGGCGTCGCCGCGCGCGGGGGGGGGGGAGTCAAGTTTAAGGCCACGAGACGTCGGTGACGTCACTCGACAGCCGGGCCAGCCCTAACCTTGGACACTATGTAACCGGGCAAATTCTTCAATGTTTTTCAAGTACCATTGATTTAACTACATATCAACTTTTCTCTCTTACTCTCTCATACAAAATCGCTCATGTTTTTATCATTTTTTTATCCTCACTCTTTTATTCACGCTAGACCGGTATTGAAATCAGGCTATTCAGGATGCGAATGTCAAACTCACGTGCGCCAGAGTCAAGTGATTTACACATCTCACTGTTTCGATTCGTCAAGAATTATCAATGTTAATATTATATGATAGATAAAGAATTAACTGTATATTCAACTTTTATATACTATCACGCTGACCTCCGACAACGTGAAATTTATAAAAAAAATAATTGCGCAAGGTTTAAAATAAAATTTAAAAAAAAATCATTTGCATTTAAAGAAAGCTTTGATTACGTCATGATGGTCTGTATTATATTTATATTTATTTATGAATAGAATAAAAAAAAAAGGCAAACTTTCATTTTTTTAACCCAGTTACGTCTGGCGAAAATGATAAAAATAAGCATTAGGATACTTGAGGTCGAAATGCGGTCCCTAAATGTATATGTGGATATACAGATAGGAGAGGAGTAATAATCTAGTAATTGAGCCAATACACGAACATTTCCGACTGACCTGTGGTGTGTGCTCTCATTTATATATACATACATATAATAACCTACTATAAGAAAAATTGTATTCCTCTTTCAATTATGTCTTTACATTCTTAATTGAATGATAAAACTTCTTGATGCATTTATATTTATCGTTTAATTTATCAGTAAGATTTTTAATAAAATTCTTTTCACAGTGAAATGAATTTCATTGCGTTTGTATATATTTTTAGAATGATTTTATGGATTGATAAAAAAATTGTTTCAGTTGAATCATACTTTTCGAGTTTTATTAATGTTTAAATATTGTAGAACAATAAATATATTTATTCAAATAATTTTTTATTGAGAAATAATTCAATGAATTCTAAATTCTAGATTAAAATGTTTCAAATGAATTTATCTAATGAAGAATAAATAATACCATAGAATATTTTTATCTAATTTAAAAAATATAAACATTGATTTTACAAAAAACTGTATGACATGATTAAAATAATAACATTATCAGAAATGTAATTTTTGATTGTACCTTATTTGAGTGTACTTGGCCTGCAAAATGTTGATTATAATTCATTATCATCCTACTCAATATCTAATATTCTGTAAAACCAACTTTGTCAACTAATTTCATTTGAATTGACTCTCGATGCTCTGTAAAATTCATCAAAGACCTATAGTAAATCAACAGGAATAGATACACCCACGATAAAATTATATTACGTAAGCAGTAAAGTAACAAAAAGGATTGAAGTATATAAAATTATTTTATTAAATAACACAAGAATTACATGTCTTTAAAAAAAGTATTCAAGTTAAGTTGGAGTAAATAAAATTTTTCAATTATTTTACTCAGACTGACTCTGGCAATAACTTGTTAAAAAATGATCATTTGTTTAAAAAAGAGGATATTTATAGCAAACCTAGCGTGACAAATGAAGATCTATTCATAGTGTTTATCGAAATGATGATGTATTCATGAATCGATATTTAATAAGTCAAAAGAAAACAGTATATAATCATTAGATATATTTCATAAAAATGTTAATCAATAATTACAAACAAAAATTTTTTTTTTTTTTGAAATAAAATTACAGTGTTGAAATAAATGTGAACTCCATTTTAATATATTTCAGATTATTGAATAAAATACAATTTTAATTTATAAATCAGATGAAATTATAATCAATCAATGCTAATTATTAATCTGCTATTTATTTAACACGCAACTGAAACTTTAAAATAATGTGTTTAACTTAAAAAAAAAAATATATGTCGATATTTCTTTTACTTTGACACTATTTTTACAATTCAATTAATTATTTCAAGCATCAGGAAAAATAACGAATTATGATATAACGATGAAAAAGTATTTATAGATAACTTATTATTTAGTTGATAATAAATATGTTTATCCATTTTATATGCAATATATTTTATTGTAGCGAATTATCGATTATGCGGAACATGATGTAAGACTTTCGTCATTTGCGGAGAATAAAATAATTTTTTTTTGTTTGAGAACAAAGAGCTTTTTATAACAAGAATAAATTGTAGAAAATGCGTGACGCTGATTTTTTATAGACAGAGCTTTCGGGTCCATATCGATCGAGACGTGCTTTTTCTGTGAAGTGGAGGGTTGGAATGGTCAGGGTCATAGTCTGGATAAATAAATTTAGACTTTTTCTGTGGCTTTCTAGCAATAAGAAATATATATTTCAAGAGAAAGAGAAAGAGAGAGAGAGAGAGAGAGAGAAAAAATTTATCAAATTGAGTAATTGATGAAATAATTATCTAACTGATTAAATGAGAGCATTTTAATTAATTCAATTATTAATTAATCAATTTATAAATTAATTAATGAGGAATACATGTAAAGAGCATTAACGATATACTGTTGGAAGTGAAGAAAAAGTGTGAAATTCACACTTGTCTACATGATATTATCGTGAAAAAATTTTAATGAGGTAATTGAGGAAATAATTATCTATAATTCTAATCTAATATACACGTAATTTAATGAACCTTGTTAACACTTGCTCTACATTGCTTTCATCGTCTCCTGGTCAATTTTCATGTAAATGGGGGAGATCAGACGATCTAAGGACTTTATCACATTTCATTATTTCTGAAAATTTTTTCGTTATTAATCATATTGAAAACAATAGTGATTTATTACACTAATAGAAAACAATCGAAAAAATTTATAATTTTATAAAACTAAATTTCCAATTTCATGGAATAAAAAATAATTGATTTAAGAATATTAATTTTATACATTTAATGATAAGTAGTGTAATAAACAAATTCATATGATTCATTGAAAAAATTAAATAGCATCATTTATAGTAATGGATAAAATGCATTAAGAACTGAATGATTTAATCAAAAAGTCTGCAAGGTTTTTTAAGTGCTTTTCATCTAGTTAAAAATAAATTATATTTTTTTTTCTCTTTATTAACGAGCTATTCACGATGCATATCGAAAAAATATTCAAAAAGTCACTTCAAAAATTTTTAAATGATTCCCTTTGGTACTCAAAAACTATTTTGATATTACTTCGATATTCATGCAATTTAATTGGCCATAAAATTCAAGAAAGACTATTTAATTATTAAATTACATACTAATTTAATTATTGATAAATATAAAAATATTTTTAGTAAATAATTCTATCTATTATTCAAACATTTTTACAATGATGAGAGATGACATTTAACCAATCACATTCCTCCTTTATTAATTTTATGTATATAAAATTAGCTATCAATATTTAATTTGACTCGACAACGATGCACTTGGTAACAAATAATATGCAAACTGTTCTGATAAGCAATTGAGCGAGGTCAGGCACCTTAAAGATAAATGGTAGCATGGCATTTCCATTTTTTTGTATTAATCACGTAATCTCATGTGCTTGAAAAAAATAAATTTTACATAGATAAAAATAATTACAACTAATTTAATTATAGCAATAATTAGCATTGGTTATAATCACATAAATTAAAACATTCAACACTTTTTGAGCTTGTAAAAACTTCTTTGCTTTTAACTTTTTTTTTATCTCACACTTACATAATCAACCAGTTTGAAAACGAGCCCGACAAGTCATCAATGCTCGTTGTAGAACCTTGAAAAATTTCGATGTAGTGATCGCCGGAAGTTAGGATACTTACGATCATATTTAATAATAACAAGATCTTCCTATTCAATAAATTATTAGTGATTAATTACTTTTATCCAGCTGTTTTGTTATCATTAACTGCATAATTTACTTTTACTACTACACATTTGCACAATATCTATTTTTTTTTTTATTACAATAAGATTTATTTAAAAGGTTGAATAATTAATCTTCTTCCAAAAATTGCAATCTTCTCTCAACTCATATTCGACTGCTATAAATAAATATTTTATATATGAAAAATATTATATCATTTTTAAAAATAATCATTATTGTAAAAAATCGAAAAATAATATTTTTTCATACTTTCCTCTTGCATAATGTAAAAAAAATTATTTTAAAAAAAGAATAATAAAATTAACGGTGAAAGAAACTGAAATAATTGTAATAAAAAAAGGGAAAACCCATATAAGATATTTTGCAGTGAGTTAAGAAGAAAAAAACAATTGATTATTGATGAGATAATGCACAAATTATGATTCAATTGGGAACTGTCATCTTGACTAGATAAAAACAAACATACCACTGCAATGTTGATGGACTGATTCTTATCATTTTATCTATACAATTTCTATGAAAATTTTTGATCATATTAAACCCTTTTTAGTCTTACGTAATATTTCTGTAACAAACAAATAATAATTTTGCAATAATATTAATAACAATAGTAACGGTAGTTGATTAATAATAATTTTTTTATATGCCTCAACTTACCTCATTATCAACATAATTAATTTTTCCAAGATCATAGGCTACAAAGGATTAAAATAAATCACGGTCATTGTGCGCTTTGGTAATCAAGATTTAAAATAAATTTTACTATTTTTCCATTAAACCAAAATTTCCCTTTCAATGCATAGTAACACCCTCTTGATGCACAAGTAGTATCTCTTCCACCTGCATAGCAATTTATATGATAATACATGATGGTCAATTGAGATGTATCCATTCTCTTCCTGATTAATAAAATGAAGAATCCCGTGTTTAGCAATTGAAGATCTTATTTTCGTCGATGAAATTTGTACGAAAAAATAATTCGCAGCGGTAGATTTCAAGGCCGATGCCATTGCGGTTAACGTCGTCGACGTCGGTAGTTTCCGTCGACGTTCGGAATCTAAAATTGCAATGGCGCGTCAGACTCGGCCTTCGCGATCGTACGGCTCGGTTCTCTCTTCAGAAAAGCCAAGTTCAAGGCCAACAAGACGTCTCCTTTACCCTTCTTCTCCACCTCAATCCTCATCTCCTCCAATTTGTTTCTCTTCTCTTTCTCACCACCCCCGCATCTGACGGATTTGCCGCCTGCTGAGTACATACGCTGTTTCCACCTCCGCCATATTCCCTCTTGAGTCTTTCGATAACGCACGGGATCAAATAACTACTACCCGGGAGACACTGTCGAGACTTACGCAACCCCGGCCGTTACTTTCGTTCACTTCGACAACACCAAGGCCTCCGGATGTTCATGTTAGTCTGAAGAGTACAAAAAAACATACACGGTTAGAATGAATTGGTGAATCCATCAAAAACTATCCAATTGAAATATCATGAGAAAAGCAACAAAAAAATTGTATTTAAATGAAATGATGAATTGAAAAAATTGGTGGGAGTTTGCTTGGTTGTTTTATTATTTAGGCTATGCAATTTTTTACTGACAGTTAACCTTCAATCTGATGTTGAGATTTGATGATTCAGGCCACGAATGTGTGTGGAGTTCAAGGTCAACTAGATGTATATTCTTTCTTATTCCATCTTTAGTCGAGCTTCTAAACACTTATTTAATATCTCCATCTATCTATCAACTGGCAAGAATTACAGAGTAATTACTTTCAGTTTCGTCCTTCTTCCCGTTTAGTTCTTCTTGTTCGTCTATAAGCGATTTCGCCTGATGAGTGAATGGTGTAGGCACGAGAGAAAAAAATGAAAAATTCTTGGTAACCAGTTCTAAAAATGTTCCACATCCCTCGAGCTTAAAAATAGTAATCTTTAAAAAAAAATGCAATGGTTCGTGAAGAGATTTTTTAAATCTCTGGCAAAAAATTTTGTTGCTTAGTCTTTGATGCATTCGACAAAAAATGCAAGGCATAACAGATGTTATCTCAGCATTCTTCGATTAGATAAAATTTACAAGATCGAGGTACTCTTTTATAGATAAGATAAACATTTAACGAATTTTTATTAAAAAATGTTTTTTTTCTTATTATTTCAGGTCTGTATGATGTCAGGTCATTCCACGGACAATATGATTCCATCAAATAATAGGACTGTACCAAATATTAAACAAGAAATAGAAAATCCCACAACTCCAACTCAAAATTACCACCAGGTCTGTTCACCGAGTACTACAATTCAACACCAAGAGGTAAAGATGACGACGGCGGCTTTGAGCCTGTGCTTGATATGTGTGTGACCCTTTTGAATGTGCTAATTACTATTTTCTACTTAACCTAAATATATTAATAGTCCATTACATTTAATTCATTTACGTTGCAGGCACTTTGTGAAATGGATATGACAGATTATGGAGGTGGTGGTGGTGGTGCAAGTCCTGGTAGTCCTGAAATGCAACATTGCTCCTCAACTACACAACCCTTAGGAACTCCTGAGGTATAGGAAATAGTCTTTCCCAGCACGATTCTGATTAACCTTTATTTTATTCGTGTTATATAATAATTACTCAACTGAGGGAACACTTTATTTGATATCAAATTTTCTCTTCCACTGTGAATTAAATTTGGCAAAAAATTATTTCTGTGAGCTAAAAAAAAACTATTTATATAAAGATTAATGACCACCAAAGTTATTGATAAATAAGAAAAAACTTCATCAGAAAGGTTTCATGATGAATTCGCAATTTTTTCTATCAATTAGCTAATTTATATTATGTAGATACTTTATTGTTATATTGATTTTTTTAACTGTTATAATACAAAAAAAAAATCAAACTTTCTACTTCAATTTGTATCCAGTTAAGCTCAGCTTAATTTTAGACAAAAATATAATTATCGTTCTTTAACTTCTACATGAATATATTATAAATTAAAAATTTTAATTTTAACTAAATAAAAATGTTTTAAAAATATTTAACTTTGCTACAAGTTAACATTAATTATTGAAATAGCTGTAAACTCAAATGATGCTATTGTGTAGAACTCCATTATTATTCTTTCAAAGCTAGAATGAAAAACAACTTACAAACGTTAATTCTAACTTTTATTTGACTTAAGACTTTAGTTTTCACGCTACTAGTATTACAGTTATTCAAAAATAATACACTCGAATCTCGATAATAATACACTCCAATTTTCAAAAGCACAAATTAATCTAGTCAAGAAATCGCGTGTACTCAAAGTGAAAACGTTTTTATTACAACATGGTAATAATAGGATAACTTTAGCCAATTATTTTTGTATTAAAACTTTTATAATTTTACATTTAAACTTGTAAATTACAATTATAAAATCCGTGCTCACAAAATATTTATATTTAAATTTTATTAAATCAACATTAATTTACTAAGATAAAAAATAAATTAAATTGATTACTAAATAAATTTATTTTAATATAAACAAAAAATCAAAATAATTTAATTCTTCATGTTGGAAGATTAATTGGAAATGTTCATGCACAGAATAATTCAACAAGTTCAAGGATTAGATATTATCATCATCAACAAATATTATTAGTAACAATGAAATAAAAATGCTAATCACATCTTAACGTACTAGTACATACCTTTTAACTATAAAAGAAAATATTTACGTAATCGTGAATCGTTTTCAGAATTCTAGTGTTTAAATGTAATTAAATTCCCTCTATGTTTAACGATGTTTGTTTCAGATTAAGTGATGAACCTAATGAAATACTATTATTATTATAACTTTAAATTAAGATTAGATTAAATAAGATACCTTCGTTTATTTTAGACATATAATTTTTTTACTAATTAAGTGGATGTTGATGAATTTTAACATATATGACACTTGAATAAATAAAAATATATTAATATCTAAATAGTGTGGCAATTCTTATCTATTAATTAGAATTTAAAAATTTCAGAATGGAATAAAAGAAGAAGACATGGCATCAAGGAGATCATGTTTAGTATGTGGAGACGTAGCAAGTGGTTTTCATTATGGAGTAGCTTCCTGTGAAGCTTGTAAAGCATTTTTCAAAAGAACAATACAAGGTAAATAAATTTCTTAGGGAGTTATTTAATAAAAATCAAATTGCTCTATCAGACAGCACCAATTTATTTAATAAGCTTTCTGTAACTATATAATATCACTATTTGTTGCTACTAAATATATTCATTTCGGTGCTGTCTGAAAAAGGAGCGTGAATATTATGATAAAATAGCGAGCAATTTTACAGGAAATATCGAATACACCTGCCCTGCCAATGGAAAATGTGAAATAAATAAGAGAAGAAGAAAAGCTTGCCAGGCATGTAGGTTTCAAAAGTGTCTAACCCAAGGAATGTTGAAGGAAGGTGTTAGATTAGATCGTGTAAGAGGTGGTAGACAAAAATATAGACGACCCACAGATCCATATTTACCAGTAAAAACAGTTTCCATGATAGGTAAATATTATTATTACTTTTATCTTGTGGCTTCTGTACTTTGTGTTGATTAATTAATAGAATTTCTCTATTTATTTCTACTTTATATTTGAAACTTTCAATGTATATAATAACGATGAAAATTTTCAAACTACCTATAACGAGTTATTTACTCTATACTAAACATTTATAAGTCTCTGTTTGAAAAGTAAATCATTAGTTTCAAATTCTTAATTGGTAATTTGATAAAGTATTTCAGATATTTTTTTGATTGTTAATAAATATGCTTTCTAAAAAATGGTATTATGTGTTTAACAAGGGTGAATGATTACTATTTAATTTTTAAAGCAAATATGGGAATGCCAGGAACAGAGGAAACCTCAAGTAAGTTGATGTGTTTCTCATAAGACTACTTGAAAGTATTCTTAATAGCCACTTATCTTTATGTTATTAATCATTCATTTTTTTTTATTGATAATGAAGTCATATCTATAATGAAACCATATGTATTGCTAATTAACATGTTTTATGTTAAAATCAGTGAAATAAGTTGATAAGTATTAATTTTTTTTTAACAACTAGTTTCTTCGATTGTAGATAACAAAATGATTGAAGCCCTCATCGCGTGTGAACCCGACACTCTACAGGTATTCAATGCATCATCTCATACAGCTGATACTGATCAACGAGTACTTTGTCAATTATCTGATCTTTATGATCGTGAACTGGTTGGAATAATTGGTAGTTATTATTCATCAATTATTATTTAATTCAATTTAAAATAATTGATTTTTATTTTTCTTTTATTAATCATCATTATCATTTATCAAATAGGATGGGCTAAACAAATACCAGGATTCAGTAGCTTGGCATTAAATGATCAAATGCGGCTTTTGCAAAGTACATGGGCGGAAATATTGACATTTAGTCTAGCGTGGAGAAGTATGCCAAATACTGGGAGATTAAGGTTTGCAGAAGATTTTACGCTTGATGAGAGACTCGCTCGGGAATGCCATTACATTGAGCTTTATACTCACGTGAGTTTTTTATCTTTCGAATAAACTTAATTGTTTAATAAAATTACCAAGAATGATGTATATTAATTGATATGATAATTGAACAATTTTTTCATTTATTAGCATAGAAAGAATATTTGTCAATTTCAAAAGTTATTTATCTTTGATTTTTATTGTATTGACATTCTTAATGGATTTTGTATTATTATTTCTGATGAAAATAAACTATCAGAAATAAATTTGTTCGTTATGAATTGTTGAGAAATTGATATTTTATTAATAACTTAGTAAATCAACCTTAATATTATGAGAAGTAAAGTTATTAATAAACTTGTTTACATTTTATTCATAAAATTCAGAATAAAAATAAGACCCTGATGATTCAATAAAGTAACTTTTTCGATAAAATAATTTTTAATTTTATATACTATCATATATTATTTAATGTTCTAAAGATAAACTACGATTGAAAATATTTAATGATGAATGTATTTATTTTTTCAGTGTATTCAAATAGTGGAGCGAATTCAAAAATTAGACTTGTCAAGAGAAGAATTTTTTATCATGAAAGCTTTAATATTGACTAATAGTGATGTGAAACTCGACGAACCTCAAGCATTGTACCGTTTTCGAGAAACAATTTTGAATGCATTGTCTGATTGGGTAACGACAGTGAGACAACGTCAAGCAATGCGAGCAACGCAAAATATGTTTTTAATATTCCCAAGTCTAAGACAAGCTGACAATATCGTGAGGAAATTTTGGTCAAGTGTTTATAGAACTGGAAAAGTAACAATGAATAAGCTGTTTGTTGAAATGTTGGAAGCTGCAGCTTATCGATGAGACAACGAAAGCTCGATCGACCTTAAAATGGAGATATAAAGGACGATCGATGCTACCATATTGATATGAAGAGAAATAATAATTACGCCAGAATAAAATAACGTTTAATGCGTTTAAAAAATGTGAGAATAATTGATTGCTAATGCAATGTACAGTCATTATGACATGTTAGTGAGAGATGTGTATGTAATTAGATACTAGTGCTCCGATTTATTTCATTGCATTATGAAGACCATATTGATTATAAGATAATCAAAATTTGTGTTTAATTCATTAATTTTAATCGTTATCCCATTAATTACTGATCATATTATTCAATTAAATGATGCAACTATAGCATCTCTAATGTACAATATATAAATATAATGAAAACAATTTCATTCTAATAGAAAGTTTAACCGATAATAAACATAAACATTTTGTCAAGTACCCCTTTTACAGGTACATTAATGATACAATGTGGTGAAACAGTATTGAGTGGTGATAACGATAAATAATTGTAAAATAATTTGTGCAGTATCAATGATCTTTCAAGTCATGAAAAAAATCAGAGCATCGTGTATGGTTTTGTAGAAATGTACAAAGGATTCAGTGATACCAGAGATTATATCAATACGAGTTGGTTGAAGAAAGAATGGCAGGAACGTTCTGTAAATGGTTACCCATAGGTTGCTAGCTTAAAAAGTCCTCGGAAATACGCTTCGAAAGTCACTTTATTGATTTATATAGTGATGCAAAAAATAAAAAAAAAATTGCTGGTTATTATCACTCGGCGCCGTTTTACGTGCCATGTGGAGTGTATGTATGTTAATTCAGGGATCTTTATTATCTAGTTATTACTGTTAAATGAATTAAGAGACCGTGTGTAGTACTTTATTTCTATCTCTAGAAAGAATTTGGAATTAGCTATTGCCAATTATTGATCATTGAAATGAAATAATGCAATTATTTTGTTTGCATTCGTAGCACGTATCATACCCAGTCGATTATTTTTAGTTTATTTTAGCTTCATTTTATTTTATTTGTTCTTCAATAGAAAACAATTTTTCTTATATTATAAAATAATTGTTCTATTTTTTCAAGCTTATCATGTTATTTTGTTGTTTTATGTTTTTATGATTATCAAAGAAAGATCAATATATTTTTTAATTTCAGATTTTAAATGCAAAATCGTTACGGTCTAATTCACAATACGTAGTGTGTAGAAATCATTAAATTTTAATAATAATAAAATAATATGGCTGTTAAGCCACGGCGAATTTCACATAATACCACAATTAACTTGTTATCAGCATTTCTTTATCTTATTTTTTGGGTTTCTTTTACAACTATGAAATATTTAATAATCAAGCTTCAAATTACGTACATTTATCTACTTGTTCTTTAGATTATTTAAAAGAAGGATATTATATTGATAAGTCGATATTTTAACAAATTTCCTTTTAATGAAATCTTTTAATTCTTTTAAATTTATTTCCGAAGCCAGGACGCTTCTCTTTTGAACTGTGATATTTGCGATACATAAAAGCATAATGTTCCGTAGCAATGATAATTATGCAAGTAGTTCGTCCATCGTGGAGTCAGTCTCGTTTTGAAGTACGCTTCAAAAAAAATATTTATAAATATATATATAAATATATAACTATGTATAAAACTGTAAGTCGTTTAACAGTTGTAATTTACTCATTTTAACGTGTTCAACAATAACGTAAAATAAACCCACAAAATAAAATATTATTTACATAGATACAATTGTTCTGTAATTATTTTCACTGGTTTGAAGACACTGTTTCCATATTAGTACTATTTTTGTGAAAGCATATTCGTCGTGGTCGTAGAACTGTAGTCTCAGGGTTTCGAACAAATAAATCAACAAACAAAAATTATGCATAAAATTGTATAGAAAAAAATAAATATGTACATTCAAAAATATGTAACTAAAATCTCTTACATTTGAAAAAAACATTGTATTTACTTTAATTAAAGAAAAAAGCATTACGAACAATTGTATTAACATTGGTACAGTTGCCACTTCGTGTTCGATTTCATGATCCATTTACGACGTTCGTTGTTTTTTTTTCTTGAAAAATAACTATCGTGTAATGAGTTTGTTTTTACTGTACTATTTTTAATAAATAGTAATATTTAATTATTAATTTAGTTAATAAATATTAAAACTCACTAAGCATGAATGTCTAAATAAATAGAAATATTTTAAATTATTGAAATCGAATGGAAAAGAAACGACATTTTTATATCTAAAAATGGAAAATAAAATTAAATTCTATCTTTCACTTAATTGTCTGTGTTTTTATTTTTATTTCATATAGAAATTTATAGCATACTGTTATTTCATACGACAATCATTTTTAAAAGTTAAATATTTTTGGCTAGATGTTAAATATCGTTTATTTTGTTTAAGAACGTCGTTTCGGATCAATCGAAACGTAAAATATTAAATATTATTAACTAAATTGAACTGTCACATAAATTAACTTTTTCATTGTTTGGACATAACATCGATTTATACAATATCAAATTTTTTCTTTCACTGCAGTTTAAGAATAAAATTGATAAATGCTAAAAAGAAAAAAAGTATAAAAATACAAATTTACACTACGTCTTAAATAAAATTTTAGAGACTAATTCTTAAAACTTCCAATTAAAAAGTGTTTTATGAATCGTTAACAAAACAATATTAAAAAACAGTCTAAGAAGTAATTAAATTAAAACTTGAAATAATAAACAAATGTGATTATATATACGTATGTAGTCATATATCAATTAGGGAAATAAAAAACTATATAAATAATTTTTATATACCCAAATTATAAATACCTACGATAAAATAGGCACGAAAAAAGTAGCAAAAAGAACACGAAAATGACACTAATTATAAAATACTTGAATTTATGTGTTTTATTCCGATATCTCAGTACAGAAGGAATGAATTAATTGTGCGAAAAATTATTTTGAAAGTCGTTCATTAATAAAAGAAAAATATTCTCGAATTTATATTCATGACGTTATTTATTATAATGAATTGTTAGTCTCAGCTTTATTATTAACTCATTCATTAGTTTATTCTTATAGAATTCAATTATCCTAATCTTATATTATAAACAAACGATAATTGTATTCAACTAATCATCAAGCCAATCTATTGAATTCCAAGTATATTAATATTATGTACGCATTGTAATGAGACCAGATTAATTGTATTTTGGATTTATAGGATACCTTTCATCAGGTCAATTCAATATTCAAAATATTTTGGGAATATTAAGAAGTAATTTAGTCAATAACATAACATGGGCATTAATTTCATGCATTGGATCACTTTGTTTACACTATTTGTATCAAAATATACAGCCACTATCTTAATTGTTTTTTTTTTGCGTAAACATTGATGTCTAAACTCATAACTTTATGACAACTTACCTTATCAGCTTTAATGATCAATCAGGAAACATAATTATGCATCACTATCGTTTTATTTTTTCTTTTTTCATTGCAACATTATTGGAGCAACGTGAGAACGTGTTATTGCGTCTAACCGCTGTTTTAATATGACGTCATCAATTATAATTCGCTGAAAAATGACGCAATATCATGTGTCGTTTGCTTACATATGATAAAGCAGTATTTAAATAGTTAATTTATCAACGGTCTGCTACCAATATTACAATTAACTGGTTTCAAACAGAAAAACTCCAAATATTTCTTGACAATATTCAGAACTTCGTGAAATGAATCAAACAGTCATGACTTTCAACAACTGATGTGATAATACTTTTAATTTGGTGTAGTGTAGAGTGGTGTTATGCAGTAAAAAATCATTAAAAATGGCTGATATTGTGAAAAACGTGACTCGATGAAAATGAATGGAAATAATCGAACATCCTGGCTTATTGAATCACGCTTACAATGCAGCATTGAGTCTTAGTCTTGCGTACTCATTCAAAGACTTCGAATTGTGTTAACCTCTCTGAAGTTTTTTTAAAAGAAATCTTTTGTTAACGGTTAACAGTCAATCATGTTTGGTGTTAACGAAGCGGCTAATAATCAGGGTGAAGAAGTAGAAGATATTGTGATGGAATCGTCAACAGACAGCTTAAATTTTCAATATCAAATTGAGTGCAAATATAGCAATCTTCTTCCCTATGTTGACGAATTAGACGAAGAGGCTAAAATTCTTTTGGCTGATATCAAAGGACAATTGGGTCGAGCTTTGATGCTTTGTCGTTTTGAGCCTGATTTTTATGTTTCACTTTATAAATTTCAAATGTAAATTTTACTTTTATCTATTATGTTTCAGTTTATTTAAATAATGATTTCTGAGATTCATTCTTTGATTTTCTTTTTCAGGTACTTGAAGGTGTACCATTTTCGATTCACCAAGGATGATCATATTTTATTTATTAAATTGATGTATGAATTGATGACTATGTCAAATCCAGAAGGTCGTTCTATACTTGTCCTTGCTAATACATTAATTGCTCTACTGAAGTATGTAATTATTTCCTGAATAATTTACCCAGATGGTTGTTTGGTAGCATATCAAATCAAAAAAAATGAGGGAAACTTTAAACTCAATCTCGTTAAAAGCTCGTAGTAGCCTATGTACATTTACTACGTGGCAATTTCATAATCATAGATAATTTATCAACCTATGGCGCTCATTCTAAGTTGGTTTTTCAAGTACCTTATCCCTGGTACTTACATTCATTCAAATGTTGAAAAATGAAATGAGAGCTTCTTCTAATTATATAAAAAATATATAAAGAATGAGTTTATAAAATTGATTATTAATTCTATCATAAATAATGTTTGCAATCTTATGTTACTTAAATGAATTCTGGGTATATTTATTTACTTAAAATAGCGCTTCAATTTCTAAAAAAAATTGCAGAAAAAAGGAATTGATCGCACCAGGTGAATTGGAACTGCCATGGAGACCTCTTTATGATTTGATGATCAAAATTTATGATAGATCAAAAGTATCAGCAGCTATTTTAGGAATGCAACGAGTTAATTTATCTACCATCAAATTGTTATATAATGTAGCTCACCAAACAAAAACATATTTTCCAGTAAGTAATAATATTTACATTTAATAAAATAACAGTAGGTATAAATTTAATATTTTTTTTACACTTCTACAGGTATCAGCTACACGGGAAATATTAGAAGAACTCAGACCTCAACTCTATCTCGTTAGCAACGCAACAATGGAAAAAACTTTTCAACTTTTAGATAGTTTTTTACCAGTCGAATTATTACCTGAAAATCATGTTTTCGGATACAAGCTGTGGTTTGAAGAAATTATGAAAATTTGGGAAGTTTATTATAACAGTCCAATATGGGAAACCTCGATGATGTCTATTATAGCAAAGCTTGCAAAAAATAATATTGGATATATCGACTGGGAGCCATATGTTCCATTAATGTTTACTCGCTTCATGAAGAGTTTAAGTTTGCCGGTTCTTTATAAACAGGTGCTTTGTTGCAGAACACTCAAAATGACTGCTCATTCAATAGCAGAGTGGATCGTATCGGTTTTAGGAAATGGATCAAGTGCCCAAATTCATTTAGAAAAATTATTGAAGGCAACTGAGACTTATCTTTATCAAGCAAATTCTGGACCATGGGTTGAAAAACTCAGAGATCTATTAAGTAAATTAGCAATTGAATTTATTCGAAGACTACACACTGAACGTTTTAAAAAGCGCACATGGAAAGAACCAATTCCCGACAGCCATAAATTAACAGATGCTGATATTGACGCTTTTGTCAAATGTATGATGCCAGTGGCGATGACTGCGATGTTCAGTCATACAAGTGTTACAATGACATGCACAGTGTTACGTCTTCTAGCAACAATAAGACCCAATATGGTGATTCCCTGTGTACTTGAAAGACTATATTCTACATTGGACTCAGTAACTGAACCGCACAAGCTGACTGCGGCTATGATGACCGTCACTGCCGTTGCTAGACCAATGGTCCAAGGTCGAAGGAATATTAACAAAAATTATACATATAATGAAGGGCCTTCAAGAGTAATTACTTTATTATTCTCATCACTGCCAGGTATAGATGCAAATGATTTCAAAAAATCTTATGTTACTTTCCGCTTGATTTTTGTCTACGCCATGGTAGTACCAATAACAGATTGTTCAAAAGCTTCCGGATCAGAACTACTTGATGAAAATGAACGTCTCACCTGTGAAGAAACATCTCAGTTTGAAGATTTCGTTCTGCAATTTTTCGAAAGGGTATTTTCTTTGATTGATTCCAGTACTCAAGAGTATGTGTCACATGAAAATCAAGATAATGGTTCAAAATCGAGATTAGAATCTCTAGTGGAATATTCTTTGACATCTGTATGTACAATATTACTAGAACGTATGAGCAATGAAATTTTTCGATCAGCTTTACACAAGTTAAGAACATTTGTAACGGAGCGTACGCTAGAAACACGAGTTTCGGGACCTTTAGCAGGATCTATATGCCGGAGTTTTGCAAGAGTTAATGGTAGCGAGACTTTGAGAGCTTTATTTCCAACAATTTCACAATCTATTCTTGACATATTGGACGACGGAGAAATTGCAAAGGAAGAGCGTATTGATGATCGGCTTCTTTATCCAATGTTACTGCTTTCTAGTATTGTCAATACATTAGGAAATAATTTATTACCTTATATGGATACTATATTAGAAATTTTAGATAAAACTTTACATTTAAAATCACGAGAAGGTAGTCAAATGGCTTCGCAAATTCTCGCGGATGTGCTAAATTCTTTCTCGAATCTAAGCGTGACTTATGATTCTACTTATAATGGAAGAGACTTTAACGATCCAAATTATCCTTATATTTTGGACTGGGGACAAGGAGCAGATACTCACAGCATTCAACTTCACTGGTATGTTCCGGGGGAAGAAGAAATTAAAATGATGCAATGTATTTTCACAAGATATATTCCTCCAGAAATTGCGAAAATTCAAGAATACTGTACAAATGAAAATTCAGGAATTACTCGGTAATTATTTAAAAATTTTATTTAGATAGAATGAATATTATTACATATTTATTAAAGTCAGAACTTATAATATGTTTTACTTATTTTAGACAAGATCTTTTAACATCTTTAAACATAATTTATGCAGTTCTTGATGGCTGTGAAGATTATTTACCGATTCCTCCAGAAGAATTAACTGAAGAAGCATTATCACGTATGTTTATACCTAACGTAGGGGTTAAAGGTGAAATAAAAATGCCAGATGGTACTAATGTTCGTAAATATATGGCCAAAATAATGACCGAACTACAAGCAACAATGTTAAAAACTTCAGAAGATGACACAAAAAGTTTAAATATTTTAGTTCATGTTAGTTATATTAATTTTTTTTTACATATAATTCTATATGTATATATATTGACGTGACTAATTAAAATATTCTTTTGTAGATTTGGAATATTTTATTACTTGGACGATGTCGTTCAGCGGACAAACATAAAAGACAATGGTTGAGTTGGAAACAAATAAAGGCAGATTTAAAGGATGAGTTAGTGAGAAAAAAGAAAATTTTACCAAACTTTATATCAGAACGTGTAGAACTTCAACATGAACTGCGTATTTATTCACGCATATATTATTTAACAAATTATCATAAAGCAATAATGTTCCAACTGTTTGAAATGGCAACAAGCAGATATGCAAATTTACGCGAAATTGCACAGGAAGTTATTTTCCAAGCTTTACCGTATTTCCCTCGCTCTCGAACAGTGTTTAAAGATATTATTCTTGATTTATTAAACACTGATCCAGAAGAAAATCATGAAGCTCACAAGGTAAGTGTGAAAAGTAATTATAAGACTTTCTTTGTTTCTTTAAATTATCAAATTATTATTACTAATTATATCCATTCATTAATAGGGACTTTTGTATCTCTTATTGGGGCCCAGGTCAAATGGGCTAATGTTAATAAGACAATGGTCATTTCTTCGAAGCATTTGGCCTGCAGTAGTTGCTGCTAAACCATCAGAAAAAATGTCTATAATTCGATTGAAAAATAGATTAGTGGAAACTGTTGATAGCAGCTTATCAACTATTCCATTAAAATTTGTAATACCTGAAAATTGTGTAACTATCGGTACTCAATTGTGGCATAATTCTCCAAAACCTTCTGCCTCTATACCTTCTGAAGCTGAAATAAAAGAAAGTCGTGTACAACTTAAGAAATTGGAACAACAAAATTTCGAAGACTATGATAACGTTCTCCTTGACATCGTCAATATTATCCAATCCAATTGTCATTGGCGACAACGTTATATGGGCATGAAGTTGATGAAAAATCTTTGCCATTTGGATCGTGTTTTCCCTATAGAAGTCGTTAAATATTATTTAAGTGCATTGATTAATGATTCACTGGAAGAAAGAAAAATCGCAACCGGGACAATTGCGGCTATTTTTAGACAACATAAACGCAGACATCCAAAGGTAAAAACTATTTTTAAATAACATATATGGTATTTTTTTAATCAATATTGATACTTTTAGATCACTATTACGTCACCGAGAGAAGAAACATCAAAGTCAATCATTCCTGATATCATGTGGACTGATGAGAACTTGAAACCAGGTGTCAGACCAGATAACATGTGGTTACAATATAACTCGAAAACTCGTCCTCTTACTGAAGATCAATGGAATGAAAATAGATTTGTTCACAACCATTACCTTGGTTATTATACCTGGCCGAAGACAATAGAAATTTATGCCCCACCATCAATAGATTCTTGCTATGTACCTCATCATACTGATTTAACTGAAACAGAAATATTGTTAGATAACTTTTTTACTGATTCACAAAATATTGAAAAGCTTATTAAGTACAATACTATTGAGGAAAGAAAAGGCAAAGATAAATTTAATATAACTCGTTTTACTCTTTATAAAGGACTATTTCGAAATCATGGTATTCGTCCTTTAGATTTATTTATTCCACATTTGAAAAAGCTTGTAGTTCAAAAACAAGAAAGTAGTCAACGGTGTGCTGCAGAAATTATTGGTGGAGTAATAAAGGGATCAAAACATTGGCCTTTTGAAATGGTTGTGAGGATGTGGGAATTGATAATACCAATAGTAAAAGAAGGATTGGAAAATGTTACGACGGAAACAATGGATGATTGGAAGGTCTGTTTTGCTTTAGCTTTAAATCGAAGAGATCCTAATAGACAACATTGGATACTTGAATGCTTAATAGAAGAGCCGAAATTCGAAAATGCAACATCATCATTTATTGAATGCCAGAGATTGCTTATTTTACAATCAGCTCTCATGCAACAAAGTTGGCGTGTTGCTGAATTAATGGAGCGATTATTAATACGTGTAGAACAAATGTTATTGACTAATCCATTTCAAAATGTTCGACATACACTAGGATTATTATTAATGACCATATTTATGGCTGATTATTCTACCGGCGATTTTCAATCAAATCCTCCTACACCGCGTGCCCGAGAACTGATGGATCGTATTTTACCACGTCTAATAAAACTAAAAGATGATTTTACCGAAAACGGTAATGAACAAGAAACCCTCGTACGAACAAATGATATAGCTATTTTGAAAACAGTTTGTAAATGGTTACTTCTTAGTTCATTGGTATTGTCAAAAGTTCCAATACCTGGTTCAGAAAAATTACTTCCGATTCTTTGCCAGTTAGAAAACTGCGAAGCTGATGATGAATTAAGAACAACATGTAAACGAACGCTAGCTGCTATGGCTGAAGCTATAACACTTCCTCAAAATATGGGAGAAATTTTAGATGCTCTTGTGGATATTTCTAATGCTACTTCATGGTCTACGAGAGCGTCTTGCTTAAGCTTTATTGAAGTCTTTGTTTTTCATAACATGGCAATAATTATAAGTAATCCGGAATGGGTTAGTAAAGTTCAAGAAATTGTACTACGGCTGTTAAAAGATGAGCGTCTAGAAGTTAGAGAAAATGCCGGTCAAGTCTTGTGTGGATTACTTCATTGTACTTTCTTGCCTGAACAAAAGATTCTCTTGGTAAGAATATCTTATTTATTTCAGTTCAATTTAAATGTTTATATTATACAATAAAATAATTTTTAATTTGCAGAAAGAATTTGAATTCAAATCAAAAGTAAGGGTGTTTAATCCTGAAGACTTACGATTAAGACACGCAGGAATACTTGGACTCTGTGCATTTGTACGTGCTCATCCATATGACGTACCAAAATATGTACCTTCTATTTTTGAGAGACTAAGCTCATGTCTTAATGATCCTCAACCAATTCCAGTAAGTCATTGCAAAATAGATTGATTTATATTTTCATTCAAATTTAGACGTTCGTAATAAATGGATATTTTTTTTTTAGTCAACGATACGAAGGACTTTGTTAGATTTTAAGCGAACGCATTATGATGGTTGGACCTCTCATGCTCAATGTTTCACAAAAGAACAATTGGAGGTTCTACAAGATCTATCTGTGCCACCATCTTATTATGCATAACGCTTATACATATCGTTGTAGGCTTTTTAAAATATTTTACATTATAAAAAAAATGAAAATATATTCATAATAACAATACTTATCTACAATTTATATTAATTTATATTATGTTATATCCATTATGAAAATATTTTAGAACCGTTTTTATCAAATTTATATATAAATAATGACCAACTTTTAATAGTTATTGTTTGTGCAATACATTTAATTTTTTATTTCTTTTAAAAACCTGTACGGCCCCAATCTGTTCTCAAGAAATTCAAGTCAATGAAACTGTAGTCTTTGAGGTATGCTTTCACCTATTTGTAATAATAAGGATCTGTGAGGGCGTCAGGTGAGGATGCGCGGTAGTTATTGATTGTTACATCTTACCTTTACATGTTATCTCATTGTTAAGGATTTACTGTTATTGTTAATGCATTTTTATTAGTTTTAATCAATTAAAATGATTTGTTAGCCTTCAAAAAGAATTTAAATATGTTTTTACCTAAATTTTTTGCGAAAATTATCTTTAAAATAAACAAATGATGAGTTTGAAGGTTAATTGTTGTTTGCCGGGTAATTGTGAATTCATTGTTTGAAAATACTTATCTTTCTCATAAAATTACATCTTAATTTTATAAATCGATTATAATTTCAGTAATACCACCACCATTAGCTCTATTTATCATCTTCATAGCTTCCTTATGTTGCATTAATTCTTATGATGGATCATTTGTATTTGATGATTCTCCGGCAATTTTGAACAATGCTGATATCTCCTCTACACCTTTGTTAACAATCTTTAAAAATGATTTTTGGGGCAATAAACTTACACATAAACAAAGTCATAGGTCATACCGACCATTTACTGTTTTGACATTTAGGTACTGATTCATTTTATTTATGCAGTAAAAATTGATCATTTTATTAAATTAATTAATCGATTTTTTCTATAGATTACATTATTGGATCAGAGGGTATCTAAATTCGGTTGATTTTCATATAGTTAATTTAATATTACATTCGTTGGCCTGTATATTAGTTTATTATGTATTCAAAAAGTTGTTGGATAAAAATTCAAAACAATTGGCATTTTATGCAGCTCTATTATTCGCTGTACATCCTGTTCATTCTGAAGCAGTGAGTATTTTTTTATAACTTGATTAATATTTAAAATTTTTTCATAAAGCCAGATGATTGAAAAAAAATTTGATAGATTTCAGGAATTGTTGGTCGAGCTGATATACTTAGTGCAATATTTGTTTGGTTGTCAATTTTATTTTATGATTGTTGGATGAAAGAAAAAAATTATTGTATATTTGTTATAAATATCTTCATTTGTACATTGTGCATTGCTTCTGCAATGTTGTTCAAAGAAACAGGAATTACTGCTATTGTAAGCATAATAATTTAATTATTAAAATATAAAGTACATTAAGAATAATCCATTATTATATAAATAATTGCTCCAAAATTTCAGGGTATTTGTTTCGCCTACGACCTAATAATAATTAATAAGAAGAATGTCTATGATGGTTTTGAATTGTTAAAGTTTAATAAACACTGCAACATTTTAAAAAAAATGGTTAAATCTTCAAGTTTCTTACGATTTGTAATTCTTTCAATAGTTGGAATGCTACTACTTCTACTACGATTTAGTCTAATGGGATTTTCAACTCCAACATTTCAACCTGTTGACAATCCGGCATCTTTTATAGATAATATTTTTCTACGTCATGTAAATTATCAATATATTTATGCTTTAAATTTATGGTTGCTGATATGCCCAGAATGGTTATCATTCGATTGGTCTATGGGCTGTGTTCCTCTTATAACTGGCTGGGATCCAAGATTATTTGCAATAATTTTATTATGGATAGTTTTTGGATTTTTATTAATAAAATTTTTCTTAATGAAGCAAAAAGATGATGATGCAAAGTAACAAGAAATTTCTATAATAATTTTGATCACACAAAATTTTAATTAAATTATTAATTAATTTTTTTTTGTTTTAGATATATTGCAATAGGATTAAGCATGATGATAATACCATTTTTACCAGCAAGCAATCTATTTTTCAATGTTGGATTTGTCTTGGCTGAACGAACTTTATACCTTCCTTCAGCAGGATATTGCTTTGTTATTGTTGTTGGGTTAAAAAAATTATGTGAACGATTTTCAATAATAAAAATGCCTTTGATAATGTATTTTGTCTTAGTGATCACATGGTTTGCACGTTCTTGGATAAGAAGTGAACAATGGAAAAATGAACATTTATTATTTCGTTCTGCTTTATCTGTATGTCCTCTGAATGCTAAAGTACATTATAATGTTGCAAAAAATGCAGCAGATTTGGGGAATATAACTTTAGCTGAGGCAGAATATTTAGAAGCTTTGAGGTAATTATTTGTTATGTATTGTTTGTATTTGAAAAATATTCAATCTTTATATGGTATTTAAATTGACAGATTGAATCCAACATACGCTCAAGCAATGAACAATCTTGGAAACCTTTTGAAAGATCAAGGGAAATATAAAAAAGCTGAGAAATTGTTAAGACAAGCAGTTGAAATACAGTGAGATTCGAATTAATTTTACTATTCTTTCATATTTACCAGATACTTTATATCTGATGCATTAAAGTTTAGACAGGATTTCGCTGCAGCCTGGATGAATTTAGGAATTGTTTTGTCATCACTCAAGCAATATGAAGAATCAGAAAAATGTTATAAAACTTCTTTATCCTACAGGCGTCATTGTCCTGATTGTTACTTCAATTATGGCCTATTGGTAATTATTTTGTATTCTATATTTTGAAACGACCAATTATTTCTAATTTATTTCATAGTTCATGGAACGACAACAGTATTTAGAAGCCTTAAAAACATGGTCTAAAGCCATTGATCAAGAACAAAAACACCGTCGAGCTTGGATTAATTCTATACGGTTATTAGATGATATGGGTATTTATTTATTTGAAAATAACTAGACAATTAATCCTTTAAAAATTAAATGGAATATTGCTTTTTTGTTTAGGTATGTCAGAAAAAGCTTTGAAACAAGGAATGAAAGCAAAACAATTAATTCCCGATGATGCAATGATTCGTCTCAACATTGCAAATATTTTGGGTAAATCTGAACGTTATATTGAAGCGGAAAATGAATTCCAAACAGCTCTGATGTTAGATCCTTATAATCCTACAATTTACACCAATTTGGGAGTCTTGTATCATCGTTGGCACAAATTAGATAAAGCAAAAATAATGTATAACAAAGCTCTAGAGCTTGATCCGAATCATCAAAATGCAAAATTGAATATAAAAAAATTACAAAATTTATTAACAAAAAAACATTTATAGGTATTTTAAAATTAATATAATACTATTGATTAAAACTCACATGATGTGTAAATAAAATGATTTTTTATAAATGTCCACCTTACGACAATTAAAAAATTATATAAGTATTTGAAATACATATATACATATTTTTTAAATAAATGAACTGTATTTAAAAAATTGCTTGTTTTTTGGTACGTGTTTTAACTGTTACGTTTTGTTCAAAAAGGTTAGTGTTGATTGTTTTCATTTTTCTTTTTGGAGTCCAGAGAATTTGAAAATGGGTAATTTCTCCGTACTTGAGATTTATCATAAATTTGGCCAGTAGATGCGATCGGTATATTTCCGAAGTGTAGTTTTTATCGAATATTTTTATTACTTATGCCTAACTCATTGAGGATTCTCAATAAAAATTTGTATTAGGGAATTTAAATACTGGGGAATGTGCTCCATACCCGAATTATTCTCGTTTACATTGGTAATAATTATTAGCAAGGTTTTTTAAACTTAAAATTGAAATTTCAATACATTTTCAGGTATATATAATTTCATTCATTAATTAAAAGTTTTATATTAATAGTACAATATTTTTAATATACGTATATATAATAATTATACCGTCTGTACAAATGTGTATCACGAGCACAATATTAAAATTATCTTCGAATCGACCAAAGAGGATCTAATTGACTTAATGGATCCACCGGTTTAGCCCTATCAGTTTTTTCTTCAGATTCCTTATTTACTTTACTTTGAGACGGCCCTGTCAATTGTTCATTACCTACAAAGAATAATTAAATAATTAATTGATTAATTCTATACTGTAGACATAAAATTTTTTCAAACTCACTTTGTCTCGTAAGTCCGTGCTGTACACCAACGCCTAAATTGTGAAGAAAATCATCAGAAGGATGACATAGTTGATTCTTTTTTAATAATTTACCTTTATTTCCTTTCATACTATCGAATCCATCAAATGTAGATCGTGTAGATGATAGAATTCCCCCTTTAAAAATAATATTAAATTTGATTTAATTATGAAATTAGAGTATTTATTTTTGTATCAACTTACGTTTCATTAGAATATCTTGTGCATGATATAGGACCATCCTATACCCAAAAAGTAGAAATTCTTTACTAATTAAACATGTACGGTACTTGGAATAAGTTGAAAAGACCAGAGGTACATCAACAACACCATGACCTGCTCGCACGTGACACACAGTTGCAGCAGCAAGAAGAAATAGTCCACTAAGTGGTCCTCCAATAAAACAATGAACTACAATTGGTTTTGGACAATGTCTCAATGCTTGTTCAGACATTATATCAGTAGCAAATGATAGTAAAGGTCCAGGACTACTTGGTAAACCAGTTGCAGGCCATGCCAAATATTGCATGTGAACTACAACTCTTTCAATTTTTCTTTCTGAATGAATTATTCCTATAACTCTTTGAACATAAGTCACATGATTTGTTGAACTCTTTAATGATAAAACAAAGCTGCCAATATTTAAATTACTATCTTTATTCATTGGCCAATAAATATCATCATTTAACTGTGAATCAGTGCATAAACAAGCAATTACTTCACTGCCTTGTTCCCAAATCATTGTCCAAAAAGCTTCAAAACTCGAAGGTTTTGGTGCTTGAGTAACAATAAATGTAGGTGTCCACTGAGTTAAATCTGTTATGTGAGACGCATTTATATAATCTAAAGTTTTATTAATTCCTGATAATCTTACTCTAGTTGAGTCGTAAGGAATCCAATCATTACTCCGATTTTCACTTGAATGTGCTATAGCTACGTTACACGTTTGCTTTTTATTCTCACGCTCTTCGAAATCTTGAACCTCTTTCCATTTTATATCAAGACTTGTTGAACCACTTAATGTCTTAACTGTTAGACTATCGATAAATTTTTCGTATTTTTCGATATCATTAATAAACTTTTGAAGAATTACTGGATCGCCAAGTGGATCTTTTTTTGGCTGAACATCATTATACCAAGTATCCCAGACAATTTGTAAATTTTCAAGCTTATCATCAATTTGAGAAATATTTGTATCATCGTTTTCTTTTTTATTAGGTTTTTCAACAACATCAAATGTTGAATCATTTTTCGATTCTTTTTTTGTTGGCTGTATTTCTGGCACCAAAGGTGCATGATTAATTGTAATATCCAAATCAGCAAGAAGATCCAAATTGGACTTTAATTCTGGAGAAATTTCAGATTTTTTTGACTCTGATGTCGTTGTAACTGTTTCATTATTTGATGATTGTACATAAGTTTGGCCATAATTATTTGACTCACTTTTTGCAGTTTCTAGATTAAATAAAAAAAAAAAATGAAATAGTAATTAGACGTCATTAAGAAAAGATATTGATACTTATATAGAATAAAGTTTTTACCTTGATTATAATTTTGAACACCATAGGGAGTTGTATAATAATTTTTTTCATCAACTGTCGGCTCAAAGGTTTTATTAGAATGTTGAGAAGATGGTGTTAAATTCGTTATAGATGCATTATTAGCACTAGTATAACAAGAATTTGATTGATCCTGTGTTTGAATATTTTGAGAAGGATTTGGCGTTGTTGGTTCTTGAGATGATTGAGAATTTTGATAACCAGAACTATATTCATAACTTCCTAGATTAGAGTTAAATGAATATCCTGGATGCCCTTTATATGAATCATTTCCTAAACCATGAGCTTGTTGTGAATCCCAAGTACCAGAATATCCTTGTGAGTAATTTGGATATTGAGCCATTCCTGTATGACTTTGGAGAGAATACTGATAATTTTGAAGATATCCCGACGACTTGGTATGACTCTGAATTATTTCAGGATCATTAGGATAATTAATAGAAATCTGAGAATTTGAGGGAACTTGGGGAATTTGATATTGATGATTATTAGTATCAACTGAGTAAGTTTGGCCATAATTATTAGCATAAGTCTGTGTGGAAGGATTTATTGATACTTGAGGATTTGGAATACTCGGTTGTACCACTGCTGGATCCATGTAACTCTGTTGAGATGAATGAATATAAGATGATGTTGGCTGAACTGAAGTATTATGACTACTTGTATAATAATATTGAGATTGATCCATGGCTCGATTTGAAATAATTTCATCCGGTTGATTGGTTGAATATTGATTAGATACAGTATATCCAGAGTTAGCCGTATGAACGGTAGCTTGTTGAGTAATATATTGTTGATTTGAAGCTTCAGAAGTAGAGTACATTTGTTGAAGAATTTGATTAGTTTGAGAAATAGGGTGAATAGATTCTTGATTCACGACTGGGTAATTTTTCAAAGTCTCTGAAGTTGGTAGAGTTGACATTGGAGTTTGATATGGAACGGATATTGATGGATTCGAAACGGATGTTTGATAAGAGGCATAGATATCATGATTTACAGTTGCAAGTGTATTGTATTGTTGACTTTGAGAAACAACATTTGTTGCTGCAGGTTCCACAGAAATATGTTGTGGTTGTATGCCCTGTTGATTTAATGCAGAAGTCTGTGATGATGATTGACCAGCGGCTAAATTAGATTGATAAGTCAAAGGATAATTTTGTTGTTGTCCTAGTACACTTTGATAGCTAGTTGGTACTTGATATCCTTGTATCGCATGATAATCTGGATATTGAGGATAATTAGATTCTTCATATCCTGTCTGAATAGGATATGGATGCTGGCTCACAATAGGTAAACTTGGTTGATCATTTCTAATATTTGAATAACCTGCATACTGATTACTATTACTGACAACTTCAGTATTCGTTAATCCTCCAGCTTGATGGTACATATTATCACTATTTGTAGTATTAGATCGAGGCAAACTATGATTAATCGTTCTTTGATTGGTGGCATCATATCCTGAGTATTGTTGAGCCATGTATGAATTATTCATACAATAATTTTTATAGTCATAATATTGATAAATTTGCTGTGGATCTTGAAGATCCATATCAATTGGATCGGTAGGATAACTTTTTAAGCCAGGATGAATATTAGATTGTACTGAAGCAACAGAAGTAGTTTGTTTATCCCCATAAGCTGTTTGATAAATTGGATTATTTTTTATTCTATTTGCTAAATGATCTCTTAGCTTCATTCCGGATCCAGATTTTTTTTCAGTTGTTGGGATTGTTGAAGAATCAACATTATTATCTTTATCATTTCTAGCAAGAATTTGCTCACGTTCTTCTTCTTGTACTCTACATGTACTCTTTACTCGTTGTAGAAGCTTCGTTACATTTACCTCGAGTTTTCTATAAAATTCTAATCCTTTAGAGGATTTTGTAACTAAATCTTCATAAGCATCATATGATGCAATTAATGATGATATCATAAGCTCTCGACGCTTCAAAACTTCTTCGACAGCCTTTCGGGTTTCAGCAGTTCGTGCATAAGCATCTGTTAAGGCTGTGAGAATATTTTCTTGCGCTGCAAGATTTTGATCAATCAAATTAACCAAAGATTGATGTTTCTCAAGTTGTTCGGCAAAAAGTGTATCTAATGGCGCTGAATCAGCCGTTGCAGTTACCAAAAGTCTTGTAAGATTGTCTTGTGATATAGAATCTCTTAACTTGGAATACAGATCACTTCTCTGGCGTTGCATTTCTTCAATCTTCCCCAAAATTCTTTTCAATTCTCTTACATTTTGTTTATCTGTTTCACCTTCTGGATTTTTCCCACTTTTTATTGATGGTATACTAGCCATAAGTTCATCTAATGGTTGAGCAAGTATTTGAAGATTATTTAAATGTAATGACATAGCTCTGTGCAATGCTTGATTACTTTCTGAAGCTTTTGCGTGAGCTTCTTCATATTTTTTAGCTTCTCTAGTTAAATCTGTTGCCACAATTGAGGGTGGTCTTTTTCCAACAGCTTCTTGATATTGTTTTTCTTTTCGTTCTTCTTCAGCTAATAGTTTATCGATATTTTTTAGCATTGTTTCAACATCTCCATATGTTGCTGACAATTTACTCATAATGTCTTCCAAGTCTTGAATAGCTGTTGGTTTAGCATTTAATGCTGCACATCTTTCAGCTAATTCTTCAGGTAGCGGAAGATTTTCTACTTCTTCTGGACGATCAGGATCCCACAGATTTAAATGTTGAAGTTTCAAAGATGCAAGATACATTTCTAAAGCTTGATCCTTCTCTTCAATTTTTGAACCAACTGAACGGAGAATTTTTGCTTTTTCTTCGGAATAAAGTGAACTTGCTTCATGTACTTTCATTGGTACTAATCTTGCAAATATATCTGGGCCTGATATTTCAGCATCATTAACATTAAATGAAATTCCTTTGACTAATGATGCACCATTTACTGTTGGTAAAGCATCTTTATCTGGTACTTCTTCATGATAAATAAATTCATTTTCATTTTTTGCAGCTTTTCTTTTACCTTCTATAACGTCATTAGTAAATACTAAAGCTTCTTCAATAGCTTCTTTTTCTCCAGCAACTCCAGTAATTCCTGTAGAACCTTTAGCACTTGTATGAAGGCTTCGAGCGCTATTTAAAGATGCTAAAGCAGCATTATAAAATGCAACACGTTCACCCATTTTCTGTTGTTCTTCAGAAGCTAATCCTTGGTATAATAATGTGACAGCCATATAATATGCTTTTTTAAATTTAACATAAGTCTTCCAGCTTTTATATATTTTTGAACCAACAGTTTCAGAAATTGTATTTTCATCACTATTACTTGGTTCTAGTGTCCATAAAGCTAATGCATAATAATCAACAATTTGTTTTGCAACTTTAGCAACTATAGTCGGTTTTCGATTGTCTAGCATGCTTTTTTCTAAAATACATTCTTGTGCTTGAGCTAAGCAAAGTTGATGCATGAATTTCATTAATTCTGGTGCCATATCAACCCCAGGAGGTTGAGGATAACTGTTCTGCAAATGTTCAAACGCCCAAGCAGCACATTGAAAATGTGAGCATGCCATTTTCATACCATCAGCTGATGTACGTTCTGTTGTAGCTCCTAACTGTGTATGAATGGCACCAATATTATACAAAATTGAAATTATTTCAAAACGTATATTTGAAAGAGTGAATATCATATTGGCATAAGCGTCTTTCCTGAAATTTTTTTTTATTAATATTTGTCAATGTCTTATATCAAAGGTACTTTCTTTATATAAACTAAATATTTACCACGAAAAGGACACTGCAGCAGGTTCATCATTGCCCATTGGAAACCTGCTTTGGACGAAATGTAACTGACAATAATACTTTTTGAGCAATGAACATCCTGTTACTGCTATAAATGGTCGGACGGCCATAACTCTTAGAGTTTCTAATTGTTCAATTTCATTGGTATATGATTCTGGATCTTCATGGTAAAACTCACGAATATACTGAAATAATAAATGATGCAATTAGCAAATAACAAAGTGTTGAAAACAGTAACTTGTGAAAGCAAAACTATATTCAACGGTATAATAGCGAAAGGCTAATCAAGATAATAAAAATTCTTTAAATAATAAAATATTTTTATAAATTGTATTTACTTGTTTCAATTTTGGGCCAAATGATGTTGGAACAGGGCTAACTTTTAATCGGAATGATATCATAGGGAGCCTTGGAACTGCTTCCATTTTTCTTTTATTGTAAATTATTGAGTTTTAAAAATTAATTGAATAAAATATGGAATGCTAACAATGGTAAGTTGAAAATAAAATCACAATAACCATTACATTGGCATCAATTTCTAAAAAAAGTTACCGTACATCGGGATAACGACAAACGTCAAAAATTCACAAATCTCATAAATAAATGGTATGAAGTTAGCATCTGAACCCGGCAAAAAATTTTTGTTCAAAGGTTGCTTCAACTGAAATAGGTTAGTTCTGTTGCTTACTTCAGGTTACTCCAAAAAATGGAATCAGCTGAGTTTATACCTGTACTCTGCAGTCGTACGCAGTGGCTTATCACGTAGCATAGTGTGTGTATATTGTGAAAATTATTTTTAAGAAACAAAATTGTTAGAAAGATTTTTTCATTGCCTTTATATTAATTTACTAGTACTTTATAATTCTATAACATAAAGAGCTGTGTTTTATAATTAATATTAATCATTTTTCCAACATTGTCATTCAATTCAATCCAAACTTCTATACAAATTTTGACTTTGATGGGGTTATAACTCAAAGTTACATTAGCGGTAAATTTAACATCTCGGTTATTTTATAATTTAAACGAACTGTTTACTTTGAATCATTAAAACTTATCAGATAATGCTCTAACAATTAATTCTTTACAGACTAAACTTTTTTTTGTAAATAAATCTTAGATCTTCCAAACATTGACAAGTTTATATATTAGTTATCTTAAAAAAAAAAATAAATAAATAAAAATAATAAGATACTGAAATGAGTTCTGAAGAAATATCAAAAGTTGAAGATTTCAGTTCAATAAGACCAACGCCGATAAAAAGAACACGCAAAATGAATTGTAGATTGAGTAATGATGGAACTCTTAATCTCGAAGAAACCTTACTATCTTTTAATGAACCAATTGGACTGGAACAAGCGTGGGCAATTTGTCATCAAAGTGCAAAATGTCTACTTCAACTTGGACCAAATAATCTTCAAGAATTAACTCAATTAAGTCAAATTCTATTACATAAAGATGGTCATGTATTGCTTGATATACCTCGAGGTAATTGATATGTTAATTAAATTATTTACTGATTAACTAGACTGAAAATTTATAATTGAATTGTTCTCACAGACACTCAAGCATCATATGCATCTGAAAAAAAGGTAAAAAAAATTAAATTTATATTACATTAAATTCAATCTCATGTCTTAAAACCGGTCTTACAACAATTTTTTATTTTTTCGGTTTCATTAGGTCGTTTTTTCCCTTGGGATGTTAATATTCAAGGCTTTGGATTTTCGATTAGATCAAAAAGAAGAACGAAGATTATCCTTGGATTTACAAAATTTAATAAATATAATGACAGGCTGTGATGAAGGTGAGTAAAATAAATAATAATACGTTAAATAAAAAATGATATCTATTATCAACCTTTTTAATTATTTTTAGTAGAATATGAACCTGAAGAAAGACTCCATGAAACTGATGATGAAGGTATTGGTCGTGATTCCGAGGCTGAATTAGATGAACCACATGATAATGGTTCATATACACCTAATCGAGACTATTGTAGTCTTAAAAATGTCATTCAGGTAATGATCATTTTAATTGTCATTCAAATAATTAAATACTAATATTCATTGATAATGAGTTTTATTTTGGGTCAGGTATGTGTACGACATGCACAAACAACAGAAGATCAAGCTGACGTTCATTATATGGCTGTAATACGAGCATTCGTTCATGAGGCCCTTGAATTGACACAATTCCTCGAAAAAATTGCTGTTGAAAGCTTCCAGGATACTTCAAATAATAAATTATACAATTCCGAATGTAAACATATTGTTGCTTCACAACAATTGGATACTCTCAGTTACGACGATTGGGTATAAATTTTATTTATTTCTTTATTATTATTATTTTTCAATTCTAAATTGTTTTTGAACAAACTTATTAAATAAATAATGAAATATTGTATATAGTCAATATTTCTGACATTAAAAATTTTTTGCCCAGACTGACATAAGGATTTGGCGAGCGATACAAGTACGTCAACTACGCATGTTAGACGGGAATACCATAGAAAAATATTTTTTTTTTAATATAATTAAAATTTTTTTCCATTTTTATTCCTTAAAATTTATTATTTTATTTTAAAATGTTTAATTAAATTTTTCTCTCCTTTAGGCTCGATTTTGGGTTCAAGTGATAGGCGAACTACGGCGTGGGATTAAATTAAAAAAAGTTGAAGAAAATTTAGGAAAACGTGGTAAAACTTCTAGCAAAGGTCGTGGATCAGAATATGAACTAACTCCTTATGAAATCCTCATGAATGACATTAAAGAGCGAAGATATAAACTTAGAAAAACACCTCCACCATCGAAACACGTGACAAAAGACGCACGTGCTACAGTCTTAGAATTTATTAGAAGTAGACCACCATTAAAAAAAGTAGGTATTAACTGGATAAAGGATCGACTTACAAGGATTTAAAGATTATAAATTGAATTTATTAAAATTCTTTCAAGGCATCGGATAGGCAGTTACCACCCAGACGAAAACAATCAACGATGCGTGAATTATTGATGGAAAGTATCAAAAAACCTCCTAGACCTCTAAGATCTTGTCGAGAACGACAGTTAAATGAAAAAAAGCCAGGTGAGTTGACTGTTAAAATTTATAGTCCTTAGATATATCAGACACTTGTTAAAAACCTCATCGATGTCTTTGTCATTAACATCGATTATTGCTAAAGTGTATTAGACTGTAACTTCCCTTTTATTACCTTCAACTTCATGACCTTTCATGAGTTTTTTTAATGACTCACAAATATGATTGTCATCTTTCTGACTGCGTCACTATTGGTTCGTGCGCACTAACTCGTGTATCCTGTTGATTTATTTTAGTATTGGGCCTAAATATTAAATTATTTAAGGCTAATATTTCATGTATACGTGTGTAGAAAAAAGGTGAAACTGGATTTTCCCGTTATTTTATATATTACCGTAGAAATCCATAAACTTAATAAATGAGATGTTAAAAATATTTCAGTAATATTTAAAAACGAAAGCTATTATAAAATATATTCTATAAAATAATATTACTTTAATATAATTATTATTTAATTTTTATTATCATAATTTGATAAATAACTGAAAAAAAGCATTAATTTCATCTATTTATATCTTATCTTCCCTTTTCAAGTTCTAAAATCAGGTTTCAGGTTGATATTAAAATTGATGAACTCAATACCTGCATTTGGAACAGGTGTTTCTTAACTTGTGAATGTATGGCTTCTTTACTTATCTTTCTCTGTCTTTCTTGATGCTGAATTCTGAGTGACCTGCCTACGAAAAGGGAGAACTACCCTCTTCTGAGTTTAAGAGCGATCAATAATCGCATGTGTACAATGGAGGGAAGAAAGGCGCGCCCGCGCGTGTAGACTTTCAGCAATCAGATGAATTTCCTCGTGCTGTAAATAGCCAGCACGAAGATTACAAAGTATTTAAAAAGTAGTTTTAGTGCGTAAATAAACGACGTTCATCGACATCTTTTGTATTCAATTTTCATTTGTTAGCTAAATTTTTAAATAATTTTGAGATGAGTGTACTTTGGATAATCCATTCAATTTATCACAAACTCTATATAAAATGGAAAAAATTTCCTATTATCTAAATTTCGAGTTATCAAATGAATGTGAAAGTTGAATGGTTATTTATTTATAAAGATTGAGTAAAAATCTATAAGATGCTGTTAGCTGTTGGTGGTGAATCACGACGAATCGTCTTAGGCGAAGTACCACCAGCAAAGGTAGAGCAGGAGCAAGAACAAGAACCAGCGCAAGATGTTGCAGCACAGTGGCGTCATCCAGAAGGTCACGGGTCGCATCCAGTTCCTAAGCCACGCCAACGTATCGGCAAACCTGCCGAGCCTAAAGCTCGGAATCGTAAGTGTAGGAGACGAGTTAGGGCCTCAGGTAATCATCATCATCGTCATCTCATGTTTCATCTTCAGTTGTGTTGCTATTGAGTTCTCAATGGAATTAGTGACTCTTCCGGGTTCTCCACAGCTTCTCTCTCAGCATGTCACATCGTTCATGATCAATCTGTAGTTTTTTAACAGTGAGCAATATGGGTTTTCTGTAGGAAAACTATTTATTTTATCTTTTATTATCATTTTTGATTATTTTTGATTACAGATTATATACAGCCTATGGTGACCACAGAATCTGGAGATTTAGGAGTTAAAAAACAACCTAGAAAACTTATTCCTGTTGATTTCGATCTGAAAGTAAGTATTCAGATAAATATTATAGAATAATATTTAACAAAATTTTTTCATCATTTATTTTTTATAGCTTGATGGTGAAGAAGATGATGACGATGATGATGATGAAGACGACGAGTATGCGGTGACTAGGTTTGAAGATGAAGATGATCCTCCATCAGAAAATCAAAATCAAAAAGCTAAATGGTACGGCAATAAATCTCATGTTGATCTAGATGATGATGATGACAAAAGTTCTGCAAATCCATGGAAAAGAACAGGACGTTTACGTTTAACTCAAAATGAATATCATCGGTTTTGTGACGCTCAATTAGAATCCTACGACTTAGCAACTCAATGTCCATCAAGACGGGCTTCAGCACGAAAACACACGGGTCGATGTAGTACAGCACCATTTGCAGCATTTGCGGGAACTTCTTCAGTGCCACATTCCAGACCACACAGTCGACAACATGCTGGGGTTTTGAATCATGACACTAAAATGAGTTTAAATCCTAGTCCTAATACTAGTCCAAGTATTAGTCCTCGTGCAAGAGAAAGAATTCTAATGAAATCTCATACTACAGTAGAGCCTGATAGAAATGATCCAAGTACTGGACAAGCTGAAACTGAACGAGTAAGTTTGAAAAATTAATTGTTTTATCTCTATGATTAATTTTTGTTGCAAAAAAACATTATTTTTTATAGAAACCATCGCTTGGAGATATGTTTCTTGATGAAAGGCTCTCTTTAACTCTTGAAGAAATAGTCCATATCCGTAGTGTGTTAACAAAAGCTGAATTGGAATCTTTACCCGTTGAAGGCAGAGTAAAAGAAGACGTTGAAAAGAGGCGTGTTTGTTTTCTGTGTTTAAAAACTCGCTTTGGAATTCTCGGTCCTTGGGGACAACGATGCCGATTATGTGAAAGAACTGTCTGCGTGAAATGTTATTCTAAGGTATAAAATTTCACTTAAAGTTTATGATAGTATATACGATATTCTACAAAACTTGACATATTGATTGAAATAACAATTTTTATTCCAGATGCGAATTCCAACAGAACACTTTGCCCATGTGCCTGTGGTTTTACTTTCACCTGGGCTATTACTTTCACCATCAAATTCAGAACCAGATTCTACACGTAGCCCATGGCCTAGACCTGGTGGTGCAATTGGTTCAGCGCCAGCTTCTCCAGCTCATCGACGTCGAGATCCTTTATTAAGTAATGCAACTCCTCTATCTACTCCGAATCCTGGTACTCCAGCTGACAATCTTACTCCTGGATCTACACCAACATCCATTGGACGAAGAGATGATCTTTTGTTAGATAAGAGGTATATTAATTTTTATTTGTTATTATAATTTTAAACAAAATTCTCTCATTGATTTGATAATTTCATTGAGTAGTAGGTATCCAAAAGTTGGTGGGAGTCCAAGCAGAATGACGAGTAGTGCTATAGGAAATCTTGGTTCAGGTATTGGAACAGAACAACGTTTAATAGCAGAACGTCTTCGAGGAGTATCTATGGTAGTCTGTCATGACTGTCGAATTATGGTAATTCAAATTATAAAAAGTTCACGCAGTACTCGCGCAACAATACGCAACAATGTAATATCACGACTCACACTTAATCTGTCACCAGCGTACGTTTAAACGAATATTAATCGATTCAAAACTCATTCTTGTAGTATAGGTAGGTGTTACGATAATATTTAAAATACATTATGGCGATATTGTAGGTATTCCATGGGGCCCAAAGTACGAAGTATTACTGTATGGGTAAAAATTTTTTTTCTCAATAATTAAGAAAGATAAATTATTGTCAAAGTAATATAAATTTATTCATACGTATAGAAATATTAAATTATTTAATGACTACCATTCTGAAAATGAATGATAGTTGATGGCCTAATTGGTACATACTTAAAATGTCACAAAAGAAACGACTACTAGAGTACAATCTAACTAAATAAGTCAATTCACACGACATACAATTATTTATCATTATTTTAATTATATTGTTATCTTTAATTGAATAAATTGTTAGTGCTTTCTTCGACGATTCGAATAATTTGTATAATCTTATAAAAATGAACTATTTACAAGAATCATAAATAAGAGTGATATATTTCTAACTGTAGAGAAAAATTATTTTATTATCATTCTCATTTATCATATTTTTATTGTAGTTATTGAGTATGTTAAACAAAAAAACAACTGAAAAAATTTAAATAATATAGGAGAAAATTTATAATAATGGGAAAAAATTACACGTTAAAAAACAATGAAATCTAACATTACAATAAGAATGAAAATGAAATGAAAGTTAACGTGATAGCCCTTAAATAGTTTCTGGTTGATCCGGTATCTATATAAATATGTAATGTTGATCATTCACAATGGGCTAAATAATAGATAATGGAATTGTCAAGTTGACGTAGTTCCACGCAATAGGATTGAGCATACCTATTCTTAATATCTTGTTGTCATAACATCAAAATTTTTTATAATATTAGTAAACAATTTAACAATCTGCAGTCAGTAGAAGAGAATTATGTTGAAAATTATCAGAGTAAATTCCAAGTAGTTAAATATGTCTATAATAATATAAGATAATTAATTATCAGTAGTTCAGTTAGATAATGCAAATATTTCTTTTGCGTGGTACTGTAAAAATTTTTGACGGATATGGGCAGGCCCCATCTAATATTATTAATTAATGTAAATCGCCGTTGACTGAATGCAAAGAAAATGATGCGTATATATCATGTAGCTAAGAGAAAAAAAAAACAAATAGAAAAACGTATGAGCATTTAACCAACATTTCGTTAATAAATAATTTAATGTTTGCTGTATATTAATTAAGTATAAACATTACCATTTCTCTTGCTGTCTGAGCCCAGTATAAATAATAATGACCACTATAATAGTTGATGATAATAAAGATAGATTTTTGATTCGAGCGATAAAAAATTCAAAGAAATATGTATACATATATGTTTATCATTAAATGATTTTTTATTATATACATTTTTGAAATAATCAAGCAGTATGGCGTTGAACTAATCAACTAGTTAATAATGTTTGTTTATATTTATTGATTTTAATGTGTCAATATTTCATTGATAATTTTTTAAGTAATTTATTATCTGTGTCATAATTGTTATTTATTAATTTATCTCTGTAATTATTCTATAAAATTGCAACTTATTTAGCGAAAAAAATCTATTATATATTTTTGATGACTTTTAGTTGATTTTCAACATATTATTGAATCTTTAATTGGTTGAGAATATTCATGATCCCCTCTGAAAATATTACTACTGCTTAAATAAAAAAATAAGTTTCTGATTAAGAAATAATTGAAATACGTATCAAAAATACTTTACGATTAAACATCAGATAATCAACTGATCGCATCTACGTTCTACTACATCTAAAATTGTATTATAAACAAGAGGGATAATGTTAATATATTATTATACATAATTTCCTTAGCATTATTTTCATATTTTATTTTTGCTATTAAAAATTCATAAAACAAATATTGATTGTTTATAGTTAATGTTACCTTTAATCCATATATGCTCTTTTATATTAAACCACATTTTTTGACTAGCTCAAAGTAGAATAATTTTTTAAGGATAATTTTAATAAATAACTATCAGAGTTATATAAATAAAAATATATATATATATATTTGTTTAGAATGAAATTTTAAATATTGATTTTATGTAAAGTTGAGTAATTGAATAGTGTGCATATATGGAATAAAGTGAAGTTAATTTAGTTGAGAGATCAAATGATACATATAATACCATCCAATTACAATTAAAAAAATCAGTATAAGGCGAATACACTTCCATTACGGTGCATTTATATCAATTCATTGAATTTTAATTACTTACTCGCAATAAAAAAATATAAAAATTTATTCGCGAATAAGTAATAACATCGATTAAAAACTATATCAACAAAATTGATAAATAGTAAAAAGAAATAAATACGTATATTCACTAAAGTATGAAAACAATCATTCTTAAAATATAGATTGCATTATAAGTATATCATACACTAAACTAAATGAATTATGAATTCGCTTAAAATTGATAACCCAAATATAACTATATTCAATTACATATAACGATTTAAAAATTAAAAACACTTCTTATTTTTAACTAGATATTTAATTTGTTGATTTCTAGGCGTATGGTTTTACAATTGTATACGCTGTTGTACTATACATCATGTGTTTTGTATGTTATGTATGTTTTGTATTATAAGTCTTTAAGTTTCATTATTTTCTGTTATTTTCATAAACAATTTTTATAGATTTTAATTGATAATTAGTGAGACGAGAATTATTTACACTTGGTTCGCGTCTCATTCATGGTATTTGTAAAATGTTTTTTTTTTTCTATATAACAGAAAAGTGTTAATTTTTTAATAATTATTTTTTTTTGTTTTTTCCGTCTCTTTTTCTACATTTAATTATTTTTGAGCTTTAACGCATAATGCGTGTAAAACAGAAATTAATTAATTAATTTTTAAAATTTTTATCCTTTTATATATATAGTATTTGAATTCTGGCATTTTAAAACAGTTGATGAAAAGCGATTATTTATTCTTGACGTTCTCTCACTATAAAACAATCGATATGAGTTATAATGATGTATCATAATTCATATTATCGCATGAATTAATAGTAGAACGTAATTAATTTCTCAATAGAAAAATGAGCGTCTTTATACAATAGTATAAATGAAACAATATTATGTTTACAATTTTATTTATGCTCATGCGAAATAAAAGCATGAATTATTGATTGACAAAATTATTTTGCTAGTTGAATTATTAAAAAAAATATAGATAAGGCTTTCATGAGTAAGAAAAATAACTTAATAGCAAATGCGATGATATAAGATACATGATTACATCTTATACACTTTTTTTATGATTTATTTTTTAAACTTAAATAATGAGTACTCCTTTATCACACATTATTGAAGAAGTATTATCAGTTCTATAATTTGATATAGAATCTTGAGTTGCTTCCATTTTTTTTAATTCTCAGTTCTTATTCAACGTATGAGGCAAGTGGCACAGATCCGTTGAGGTCCAATACAATCGTCATGGCAAAATGCTCCACACTGACGACAAATTACCATGGCACCTCGAATGTTACATTCACATGGAGGTGGTGGATCACCGCCCATAATTACTCCTGGTGCGCCAGGCTCAGCTCCACCACTTCCTCGACCATCTGATGTCCCTCTTGCTTTTAAAGTAACAGCTTGATGTGATCCTTCACCTGCACTCGCCGGCCTTCCACGAACTAAGTGAACTCCAACACCTATACTCGCAATCTGCGGTGGTAAAGGTGGAGCTGAAGATGCTCGAGGTGCACTATCATTTACTCCAGTTCTTTGTACCAATATATACTGTCCAAAATTTCCTGGCCCATTAGTGCTTATTTGAGCAACAGAAGCGTTACTATTTTCTGTAATCTGAAATTAAAAAAAAAATTCCAATTTATATGGAGTTGAATCCATGAAAGTAATAATAGTTACCTGTTGCCATTTAATGTGTTTTTGCGTTTTAAAAAGAATGATTATGATTAAGACTTATAAGAATCTTACGAACCTCAACAGGAGCTGGTTGACGTGTTGTCGCAAAAACTTGTCTTAGCATAACAGCTTGAGTTTTATTTTGACTTTTTTGATTTTGATGGGAAGTTTGATGTGATTTTTGAGATTTTACAGTTGTAACAGTGCGCCCACCAGATTTGTTTGTAGTAAAAGCACCATCACCACGAGCTAAAAGACTTGGTGGCGGTTTTAAATGTGCTTTTAACTGATCTCTATTTGGCGAGCTTTGAATAACCTTAAAAGATAATTTTAATTAATAGAAAAAATAAATTTATCCCAAAGTGATTCATAAAACAGAATTGAAACTTACAGCTTGACAAATTTGATAACTGCGTTCAAGATTAACAGCTCCTGGAGGTTCTTTTGTTGAACTTCGCGATCTTCCACTACTTTGTTCTTTATTTCCATTCCTCGATCCTCGATAACCACCTGGACCTGTAGTACGTGTCGATCTCGTAGTAACATTTGTATTTGAAAACTGCTGTGGTTGCATATTCGCTACAATTGGCCGGGATTGAGTTACTGAGATTGGTGTTTGATGTTGAACAACTATTGCACTTTGTGAATGTCCCTGGGCAGTCACGCCAACAGTTGCTTGGACATGTTGATGTGGTTGAATTTGATTGCTTCGGATGCTAATATTATTGCTTGGTGCATTGACACGTGAAACGTTACCTTGTGTTGCTAGTTGAACCATTTCTTCAGACGAACGAGTAATGCTTACTTGATTTGTCACCGTTTGATGCTGCTGAAGAGGAATTCTTCCAGGCAAGGTACTTGCAGCAGTCAATGCGGGAGTTGGAGTAGTGTTTTGACCAGTATGTAATCTTGTCGGAACAAATCGTATTGACTGTAACGGTGGGAAGGCAATAATGGGCGGACTTTGCGTCGTCTGAACGTTTTTTAGCAAGCAATTAGTTGCTGGTGTGGTTATTGTCATGGTATCGGGTTGAAAAGGTGCACTTTGAATTACGGGTAGAGATATACAGTTGATTGATTCCGTTGTTGTTTCATTAACAAATGCAGTTGACTGTTGCTGAACTTGACTTTGTTGATTAGACGTTGAGTCTATTGTCTTAGACGTATCACTACACTCTTCTTGAGTAGTGACTGTAATATTTGCAGCTACAGAACCATCTAAAGCCGCAGCAACTAATGGCCACGGTACTTGCAAGTCTTCCTGGGTCTAAAAATAAAAAAATCATCATTTGTACTGACATAGCAACAATGTCATCGTAAAATGATACTTACTGAATTACTGTCGATGGTAGTATTACTATTACTCACTGTAGTATCCACAGGCCAACTACAATCTAACATTTCTGAACAAACATAGTTATTTGCATCACGAAGTTCTTCATCTTCATTACTTTCTACTATATCCGTTTGTTCTCTAATTTCTTCTGTTGTTTCCGCTACTTCTTGTGTATCAGTTTCTTCAGATTCATTGGAACCCATTTCCATTCCTTCTAAGATTGGATAAATTATCTCTTCCGTACATCCAGAAATTTCTTCATATGCTTCTCGCATTTCACCTCGCACCTAAAATAAAGAAAAAAAAATATTTATATTATTCATCAATTTATAAAAAAAAATTAAATAAGTACAGTATACATACTTCAAGTTCATGAATACGCTGAAGCGTTTCACTATCTATTTCCATAGCATCAGGAATGACTTCAGAATCCGTTGAATTAGTATTAATAGTTTCAGTATTAATTTGAACATTAATAACATCATGTTCTTCAAGTATAAGACTTTCTGATTTATCAGAGTCATGTGTTGTAATACTTTCAACAGCTGCTGCATTTTCACATTCAGAAATTTCAAAAATCTTATCACTTTCCCCCGTTGAAGGCTCAAATTGATTATCAAAATGATCATCAGCTTCTTGAAGAACCTGAATTTCTGATACCTGAGACAAACTCATTGTAAGTTCAGTAATCGTATCGCATTCATCTTGTGACTGGCATTCTATTTGTTCAGTAGCAACTGAAATTTCTTGAGTATGATCTAATTCTGATGTTGATACAACCATTTTTGGCGAATCAGTGTCTATCATCGGTGTAGATTCTTCTATAACTGGTATTGATACTTCTGTTGCCTGTTCTTCTAATTGGATTCTTTCAACTGAACTTAAATTCATTCCTATTTCTGATTCTTGAGAAATATCCTCTTCATGCTGAATAATTAAAGGAATATCGGATTGACTTATATCCATGGGAACTTCATCAGTTTCAACGCTAATTTCATTTTTTTCAGATTCCTCTTTATGCTCTTCATGTTCTTTTTCAACTCGATTAGTAATTGTTTCTTCAATTTTTTCTTTCACATCCTCCTTGGTCTCAACCTCAGGTATTATAGGTTCTTTATCATCATTTATTGGTGGTTCTTTTAAACTATCTTGAACACTGACAGAAATCTCGGAAACCGGTGGATTTGTTCTAGCAATAGAATCAGTCTCTTCAATTTTTTCTGTAATCGTCGTAACCGGACGATAAAATGATTCGGGTGTAGTTTGTTCTTGATTTGATTCTAATCTAAGTCTTAAACTAGATCTGGTGACAGCTCCTCCAGTTCTTGGTTCATTCATACAGTGTAAACCAAGTCTAAATTTAGGTTCTCTCTTTTCACCCCAAATTGGTTCAAAGTGTTTTAACTTCCAAGGATCAAGTTTATTCTTATCTTTTTCTGCTTCCATTTTCAGTCTTTGCTGATTTTCAGGCGTAAACTCACCTTCCGCCAATCTTTTACGCCACTCTAGGCAAGCACGAGCAAAGAATTCATTATTCAGTCCAGAAGTAGCAGCATCCTATAAGTAACAAATTAATATCAATTAGTGTAATTTTTACATCTAAGGAAATAAATATTAATTTTTAATTAATCAGTAATATAATTATACTTGTCTATCAACTGCAGGCAATAATTGAGCAAGCTTTCTCTGATATAAAGGAGGAAGTCCTTGGAAGGTATGCCTGTTAAGTAATGCTCTTAAACTCGTGCTCGCTAAAATACTAGCTGGGGATTCAAGATCCACTAAGCCAGCTTCTAACTGTGCGGCTGCAGACAGTCTTTTTGTGGAACGTCTTCTATTAGACTTTAGACTAAAACCGGGTAAACTCGCCAATACTTCCCTCATCGTTGCTGCAGGCTCTTCAACTATAAAACATAGAAATTTCAAGTTTATTATCTTGATTGGTACTATCTAATAAATATTTCAAAATTGATTGATATTTTATTTTATTTTATTTACCTGTGTTGGAATGTTGGATATTGGGTATCGATGGGGGATCATTTGGAGGTGGAGGTGGTGATGGAGCCGGTGGAGGTGCCAAAGGTTTGACAACAATACGAGGAAGAGCTCGGGAATTACCAGATGCAATGGTTGTATTTTTTCTTCTTCTTTTTGCCTGCTGTCGTAATGCATGTTTTATTACCTTTTTGCTATGAACCATCCCCGAGTACCCAGAACAACTGGGATTCGTTTCACCGGCTCCATCAATTTTACCTGACTCTACCTCGATATCCATCATAGAAATTCAATGATAATTCATTCTTTCAAAGGGAATTTATTGTCAACATCGTCTCGATTTAACGAAACGACATTTTTGCATCGTCTATCGGAAGTAATTGAACATATTCTCAAAGAATCAATTGTATCTTATCATAATTTTCTTCATAGAAACACTCTTATGCTAATGCCACTCGAATAAATGATCCATATATCCCAGCATGATGAAAAATAAAAACATTTTCTGTAGCTTCAACAATGATCCGCTCTTCTAACATAATTCTTATATTTTAATGTAATATTAAACAAACTAAAATTATCTCAGTTTGCAATTATGTGTTTATATTATTTTAGAAGCAATAGAATCATTTTTCTTTTTTACCACACAACTTTTATAATTTACTACTAAACAGCGGCTACAGTACGTAACACTGCAAACTCGCGATTTTGCTTTGTTCGGCCATATTGCAGCTGCGTACTTACACTATTAGTTTTACACAATTTATTAATCAATTGGATTAATATTAACACTTATTTTTATAATGCTACGCTATTTCTGGTAACAAAATTAATATTTCTAACGGAAAGAAATTCTCATAAATCTTCACAAACAACAATGCGTTCACAAAAATTCATGGCGTACATTAGAATTCCATTTGTTTTTCAATCAACCATTATTGTTTACTGTCGGTATAGAAGCAATTTACTTTATTGATCTTTCGAAATCGTGAAATTTCAATTTTTTTTTTAAATAATAATTATGAAAATAAATTTTTCATAATTATGGAATCTTAAAATATAGAGATATAATATCTCACAGAAAAATTAAGTGATTGTAACGAAATTTTCGTAAAATTTAAAGTAAAATAATCGATTTAAATAATATCTTTTCATCCACAACTTTTAGTGGCAGAATTTATCAAGAAGTGTATAAAATAACTTTTCAGTGTTTTGAAGCCAAGAATACAATTAAGTATACAAATTAAAACTAGAATAATATTTACACAAAGAGTAAACTGAGAAGGAGGATTTACTTTTATTATATACATATAAATGAACAAATGAGCTTAACAAATTAAATTCATGTATGTTAACTTTAGCGATACATTCGTTATTTTATTTTACTATTTAAAGGCTCATTTCTTTTTTGCAATTTTTTCTTTTCGTTTTTTTAAATGCTTTTTAATTTTATTTTTCCTTTTTTCTGCTTGCTGTTCTTTCACTGCTTTTTTTCGTGCCTAATACAGTTAAAAAAACCCAATTTATTAGAGTGAAAATATCAGAATATAATAAAAGAAATGAAATAATTTTTGAAAAATTACCTTTTTGTCTTCGGGAGTTTCATTTTTCGGTCTTACAGAGTTTACAAATTTACTTTCTTCATCAGAACTCTCATCTTCGGTAGATTCTTCCTCTTTATCATCTTTTAAACCATCTGATTTATTGTCTAATATTTCTGGAGTTTGAGCTGGTTTAAGGTCAGCTCTTAATCCAACTAAAGTTTTATAAATTAAATCATTTCCAGCTTTCACAAGATCAATATCCCGTTCTACATCCACTACTTGATTAAGATTTTGCGGTATGTATGCTTGTTTAAAAACTTGCTCTGCTACTTCGTCATCAGGTCCAAAATTTTCTAAACCTGAAGCTGCTCTCTCAGATACAGCATCTAAATAAGCATCCATATTTTCTTCTGTCACCGTTGGATCAGTTATGAAATTGAAAAGTTCTTTTACAGACATTACAGCAACTTGATGTTTTCTGAAAAATTCTGTAATATTTGTGCAATCTTTTCTTAGAAATTCTAAAGCCATGGGATGGTCGTGCTCTACAGCTTGAGAGACATCAATAACAACTATCGAATCATTATGATATAATAAATTGTATTCACTCAAGTCAGCATGAATGAGTCGTGCTTTATTATAAATCCTCCACATTATTTCTACACATTCTCTGTACAGTTTTCTTGGTGCTGAAGATGTTAAAACAGCATCTTTAAGTTTTGGAGCAGGCCAACCATTTGTTCCAATGAAGCTCATTAAAAGTACATGACTACGAAGAAGAATTTCTTTTGGAGCAGTGACATTACTATCATACAAGCGTTTCAGATTTCTTTGTTCTTTTTCTGCCCATGTTCGTACCATTTTTCGTGGATTATGCCGGCAATAACCATGCCGAAATCTAAACTCTCCAGTAACATATTTATCACGATCCTTGAATTGAAGAATCGATGTTTTATAAATTTTTATAGCAAACTCTATACCAGTTTTAGATATTGCATGATAAACATTTGCTTCTTTACCCGTTGATATACATCCATTTATTTCAAAAATAATACCTCGACTTAGTAACTTGAAAAGAATCATTCTAGTCTTCGGATCCAAGACTTGTTCGACAGTTGCTCTATCATGTTTATCTTTTGTTTTGAATCTTTGATTATCTATTCTTTTGTTGGTTTCAATTAGGACATTTGATGCTCCATGCGGTAATGAAGGACCTTCATATTTCTCTACATTGATTCGATTAGCAAATTTACGAAAAAATTTATCTGGAGGTTGATACTTTGTAATTTTATTGGAAACAGCTTGAGTATTCTTAGCTATTGAAGATTTAAGTTGACTTATTACTTTAGAATTACTTTGTTCTACTCTTTCCCATTCATCATTTCTATCATATGATTCCTCTTCATCATCTTCATCATTATTTTCTACTTCTAATGTTAAATCTTGTGTTTTTGAAATAACACTTGATATATGAAGAGGCGTACCACTATGATTAATTAATCTAGAAAAATTAATGATTAATTCACCAGTAAAATAGCCAATTATTGTTTTTAAATGTTAAAATTAAATTAATAACATGCCTTGATTGACTTTCATCCTCTGGATCACTAAATTGTCCTTCGATAATTGTTGAAGCCATTATTGCTTTTTTTTCATTACAACAAAGTGATTGCTTTTATTAGACACACGTGTATCAGCTGAAACTAAAAAATTGTGCAATATTTCGTAATTATAATTGCACCATGTGAGTATACGATTCAAAACTATTCTTTTTTCAGTCTACAAAAAAAACGGAAATGTACATGAAGGTAGACATATTGAATTATAGACCGCCTTTGGCCAATCATTTTATATCAAGAGAGACCACGTGATTTTTATGATATTTTATTGGTGTTTTACACAACGTCATGATTGAAGGTAAAATGACTATAGTTTCGTCAAAAATTTCGTCAACAAAACAAAAATTTAGTTTACTAAAAAGGAAATATTTTATATAATCTATGTGAAGGTGATAAATTTATAAACTACATCAAATAAAATATCTTTTATCTGAAAAAAAATCAAAAACAAAAACCAAAACAATGGCAGTTTCCACTATGGAAATTTGTGAAAATATAAAATTGGCTCGAGATATGGCATTAACTGGAAATTACGAAACTTCAGGTGTTTATTACCAAGGTGTAATTCAACAGATTCATCGATTGTTGACAACAACAACTGATTCAACAAGAAAAACTAAATGGCAATTGATTCAACATGAAATAGTTGAGGAATTTGATAAAGTTAATGCTGTGTCCCGAACATTACAATTGTTTAAAATTGATATTCCAACAGAAAAAGTATTAGGATCAGCTAGTCTACAAAATGATGAAGCAACCCGTGATTCATCTTTGTGGTCTTCGGGAGGACTTGGTGCCTCCTGGAATGCTCAAACTCGCGATCCTGATGTCTGGGCTCCTCTAACTCCTGGAGAACAAAAGTAAGTATATTTCTTTAAAATATAAAATAAAATTTATTAGACAAATAAATTAAATTATTATCAATCATCACACTTATTTTCAGAGCTCCAAAATCAATAAATGGCTCTAAGAAACCCCAAAATCGTGTGGCTCCTCGAAAAACTTCTACAGTAGTGAACAAAAAACCTGATTCAAAAGGCAATAATAAGAAGCATGATGATAAAAAGAATAATTTCAAACGTGATGATAAAGAAAAAGCTGAAAACGATAGAACAGATGTTGAAATTGAAGAAAAAAAATTTGAATCGTCTGGAAATGATCGAGACCTCGTTGATGTTTTAGGTAAAATTTAATAATCTAGTATAAAGATGCTTTTAAATAATTCCAACATTCTTCTATTATAATATTAATTATTTTTAGAGAGAGATATTGTTCAAAAAAATCCAAACATTCATTGGGAAGACATAGCAGATTTGCATGAGGCCAAAAGACTTTTAGAAGAAGCAGTAGTCCTACCGATGTGGATGCCAGATTTTTTTAAGGTTATAAACATTCATATCAACAACTAGAGAAAAATTATATTCATTGAGCTGATTTAAAATACAAATCTTTACAACTATTTTTCAGGGGATTCGACGACCATGGAAAGGAGTCTTAATGGTTGGACCTCCAGGAACAGGCAAAACAATGTTAGCTAAGGCTGTAGCTACTGAATGTGGAACGACATTTTTTAACGTTTCATCATCGACATTAACATCAAAATACCGAGGAGAATCAGAAAAGTTGGTTCGCCTTCTCTTCGAAATGGTAGTCAATTGTTGTTTTTTTTTCAACTAATAACTAATTTATTATGGTAGTAGGTTCAATATTATAATTGTTTACTTCTCCGTCAGGCCCGGTTTTATGCTCCTAGTACAATTTTTATTGATGAAATTGATTCACTGTGTTCAAGACGTGGTTCTGAATCGGAACATGAAGCCTCAAGACGTGTTAAATCCGAATTACTCGTACAAATGGATGGAATAAGCTCTAATAAGTATGGCAATCGTCTAAAAATCACATTAGTAATTATTTTTTTGAATACTTTTATTGTATTAATTAAATTTTAAACTTTCAGTGATGATCCAAGCAAAGTTGTCATGGTGTTAGCTGCTACTAATTTTCCTTGGGATATTGATGAAGCTTTAAGACGTAGATTAGAAAAAAGAATATACATTCCACTTCCTAATGGTTTGTAAAATTTTTTCGATAATATCAGTTTTAATCTAATAAATAATATCAAATGACTAAATAAATTTTTTTATTACAGATGAAGGCAGAGAATCGTTATTGAAAATTAACCTTCGGGACGTTAAAGTCGATCCGTCAGTTAATTTGTCTGATGTCGCACGAAAACTTGCTGGTTATTCTGGGGCAGACATTACTAATGTTTGCAGGTATAGTAATAGTTGGAACAAAGTTTACTTTTCTTGAATATTCGTTTATACATTTTATTTTAAATAATTATTTCAGGGATGCTTCAATGATGTCTATGAGAAAAAAAATTGCTGGATTAAAACCAGATCAAATTCGTCAACTACCAAAAGAAGAATTGGATTTACCAGTTTCAGCTGCTGATTTTTATGAAGCGATTGAAAGGTGTAATAAAAGTGTTTCTCAAGAAGACTTGGAGAAATATGATAAATGGATGAGTGAGTTTGGATCTTCATGATACCACGCGTAATATGATCCTAATACATGATTTAATAATCCTTAAACTACTTTCTATAATTATAAAAAGAGGAAGAACAAGATAAGATTAATTTTTTGGTGATGGTAAAGATCGTGAATAAAAAATTTTTGTAAAGTGTATAAACTGTTTGTAGTATTTTCAAAGTTTATATAAATATTTAATACTTTTTTATTGGTATATCAAAAAAATAAATTAATAAATGCATTAACAAAATGATGTTAAATATTGCACTGATATTTCTGTTGAATTTATCACCGGTTGACTTATTGGTCTCCAATACCACCAATTATACCATACTGAAATCAATTAAATATCTTTAGACTACAAATACATATTTCGAAATTTAATCATAATTTTTTTTCACTTACACGAATGTCCCGCTGATAAGACTACAGCATTTGTTCTACAATTATACTGACACTCTAAACTCGGGATTAATTTTATCAGTCTTTTTCCACTGGTAGCTCTTAAAATGACATTACTGCATTCAGGATTTGGCTATAATATAATCAAAAATATCTATAAATTGACATTGTATACATACTAAACGAAATAGACACTTACAAGATTATAAATTGATGCATTTGGTTCATCAATCAAAAGAAATCTTTCAACGCTTTGACTCCACCAGTCAGGAGTTCCAGATAATTTAGGAAATAATTTTCTTAAAATTCTTCCAGGCTTTACTCTAGTAATCCTCCAACTGATATGAGTATTCTTCAAATTGGAAGGATATTTATTTAGTTGTTTATTAATAACATCAGAAATAGTTCTAGAATATAAAAAAATAAATTTTTTTTCGTCTAAATAAACAAAAGTGAACAAAAAAATTTTTCAAATATTCACCTATACTCCAGATTATTTGACGTAACTTTCAAAGCATCAGAAATAAATACTTCCTGATGATTATAATAAGTATCAACAATACTGGTCATATCTGTATTGGTATCATTTTCGAATCGTGTAAATGGTATCCCGGTATTGAAATTCTTTGTAATGTTGATTCCTGTTAAATTAGGGACTGATCGAATACCATTACATGGCCAACAGTCCATCTCTAAAACATGAAAAAATGGATTCTCTACCAAGCAAGATTCATCATAAAGTTCTGAAATTTAAATCATACCATTAGCTTCAAATAAAAATTATAAATTTGTGTTAGAAAAAAAAACATTTCAGTACCTGTAAGGTGAGGATATCTCGTAATGATTGGAACTGCAAGTTTTCTAACAACATTGAATCCAGGGTAGATGAAATTTTGCATGCTTCGTAGAAATAGTTTATGGGTTGAAGGATGGTTATAAACAACAATAATACTGAATACAATAAAGGTAAAGATGAAAACAATAATTTTGATTAGTTTAATAATTTTATTTCGAAAGGTTAAATATTTTTTATCCAATTCTTTGAAACATTGTTCGAAGATTTCATCTATTTCATCTGCACTCAATTCATTTCTCGTTCCAAACATTCTCAAGTCATTTACACAACGACAATAAAATGCACGATCATTCATTATTAATGTCAATAAACTATCAAAATATTTATCTTTAATTAATTATAAAAATTATCGTTGATTAATTAATAATAATTATTAAGTTTTTTTTACAATACTATTTACTTCCAAAAATGTTGAGCAACTTAACCTCAGTTCGAGTGTTGATTAATTTATTCCGCCATTTTCCGAAACTTCCGTTTGTCAACTCGCGGGAAAATTTTAAATAAAGAACAGAATTGTAAATATATATGTATATATTTTTTCTCTAATAAAAATAACAACATAGTAATTAATAAGTTTTCTGCATGAATTATGATGAATTCATTAAATTATTTATACAAGAAGTATCATGAATAAAAAGAATTTGCTTATTATATAGCTTGAAAATGCTTTTTGTCATTATTGTAATAACGGTACATGTTTAAGTATATAGCAGATCATTTAACTATGATTATTTTCTGTCTTTTTAAGTTCCATTGTTAAATTATTATCTTCAACATCCACAACGACTCTTTGATAACGATTCCATGTTTGCTGTTCAGCTGTTCCCCATATGGAATAAATTATACAACTTAATCCCATATTTAATGTTGCTATAATAAAAATCAATCTCCATTGATCAATCGTTTGCTAAAATAATTTATTTATTTATAAATCATTTTACTGTTTTGGTGAAGTACTTGATTAAAATGTTACCAACATTTTCGTTTGTTAAAATTCCAACAACAATTGGTGATAAAAATCCTGCAATGTCCACAACAAGTCCACAAATACCGAGAAGAACACTTGCGTAATTAGGACTAAGATCGACAAGATTAGCTAAAGGCCCTGATGAAGAAGCACCAGCTCCAGCTATTCCACATAATATAAAAAAAACTGCTAAAGCTGGATAACATCCACTAAAACTCAATCCAAGTATTGTAAGACTTGGCATTCCTGCACAGATGAATGTTGCTAGCTTCCTTACATTCGTTATTGACAATCTTTCAGTTCTTAATAACCAATCACATAAGTGAGCGAATATCCAGCTAAAGACCATCGTCATGAAATGTGGTAAGCCAGAAAGTATTCCTGTCTTTACAAATATATTAGTTATCTATTTATTTTATTTCAGACGTTATTAATTGTTTCAATTACGTACTTTATTAATGCTCCAACCATGAATGAACTTGAAATAAGCAGGAGCTTGAGTCATCAAAGTAAAGTATCCCCACACAGCTCCCCAATTAGAGAGAATTGTTAACCATACTGGTAACGATGTCAAGATTTTTCGCCAAGGAATAGATGTTTCTTGATATTCATGGTCAACTGATGTTCCTAGGTTATCAAGGATGTAGTTTTTTTCTTTCTCAGAAATACGAGGATGTTGTTGAGGCGTATCATAGACGAGAAACAGCCATAATATATACCTAAAATAATTAGCTCAAGTAGTTAGTCATTTTTTTTTTTTTTTCAAATAATTGCTTTCACAAAATAACCAATATAATCACCAAATAATTCCAAAGCAAGAAGTACAATAAAATACAATTTCCCAATTAACATTTTCAATGATAAATCCACACAATGGATATGTCAATCCTATTCCAACACCTCCACCTGTAGAAATTTAATTAATTCATTCAAAGAATAAATATATTTATTTTTTATCATAAAAACAACGATCACTAATAATATTTCTATCATACCCATGTATGCACTGACAAATTTACTTCTCTCATTTTGTGGAATCCACTTAGCTGTCATATCATGAGTCGCTGGATATGCGACTCCCTAAATGAAAAAATTTCATAGATTAATAAACAATTTATCCAGTAAAGTAATTAAAAGACATACTGCAACTAATCCTTGGATAACCCGAATGAAAATTAGACTGTATAAATGATGATTCATAGCAAGCGGTAAAAAAAATCCCAACAATGCAGCCATCAAATTGCCAATTCCAAAGACAACTTTTGTTCCATACTTTCGTGCTAAAATACCACCAGGAATTTCACTAAGCCAATGAATCCAGTAATAAGCACCTGTTGCTAAACCTTGTTCATACTCATTCCAGCGAAATAATTGATCATTTACCTTTTAATGATAAATTAATTATTAAAAATTCCGTTAAATACGAAGTATATGTTATTACTTTTTATATTGATTTATTGATACCATTCGGCTGCTATTCAATTGGTAATTGCCAAATGTTGATAATGTTCTATTGTCTAATAACGTTACATTGTTAATTTTTGTATTATCTATTTGATTGCATTGTGATATAATTGGTGAATTTTCTGGTGGTGGTACAATAGCAACTATTACAAGATTTAAGTTCACTCTAAGCATAAAATTAACAGCTATTCCTGAGAAAACCATCCACCATAAAACATCACGACATGATATCAGATCTGAAAAATAACGATCATCAATACTTATTAACAATATTTAATTATTGATAATTTTAAAATATTTTGAACTTACTTTTAAACGACATTTCTTAAAATTAAATCACAAATTTTCTTGAATTATTATTTTTTTTTGATAAACTTTGATACTCCACTGGTAAAAGTATAGCATGAAATGCTGAAAAAATTTTGTAATTTTTTTAAACGAATAGAATTACACTATAGAAGATAACCCGAACATTATTAGGCATTTTTAGATAAATAATGATATTATCAAACAAGGTCATGGTATGCTTACGAGAAATCAATCACAAAAATGACAAATAATTGAAGAGAAATATGTGAGTCGTGAATACAATCCAGAACTACTAAATAATTTATCGCAACAAAGAATTATTTCAGTTTGATCTAAAGATCTGTGAATGATGATCATTAAATGCTCAATCTTTTTGTCATACACTACTTAATTTAAATAGAGATTTCATTTGATAGCTATATAAGATAATTAAGTTCAATAATCGTAAACAAAAGTAGAACACTGTTTGATTAACATTTTTTAATTATTAAATAAATACTTGTAACATCTCGTATGTAGTTTAATCCAATCTGAAGAGGATAGTTGTTTTATTGACACTGAGTAAAGGTACAGGCAGAAAGTTTTTTTCTTTTCATGCCACTTGCTTCTAAAAATTTATACGTCTGCGGTTTTCTTTGGTAAAATGATACATCTTTACATCAGACTATTTTTATTGATACACAAGACATTGATTCTTTTTATTGATTACTGTTGCTACCTGTACATGTTAATTATTTTTTATAACTTATTTTTACAGTTTTTATTATTTAATTGGATATATTTATTTATTTATTTCTATTATTAATCATACATAATAGATAATAAATTTTTATGATTAATGATAGAAAGAAAACTATAATCAATTAGGATTAAAAATAATTACAGAATTTTAAGTGGTCGATTTATTATTTTGTTGTTTTTGAAACTCTTTCTTCTCATGATCAGTCTTGCACTTAATTACTTGGTGTTGGGCTTCTTTGAGTTTCTGTAGTTCTTCATCACCAATACTTTCCTTATTATCGTATCCTTTCACGTTGTTCCAAGTCTGTTCGTCAGCTGTTCCCCAAATGAAATAAATTATTGAAGACATTCCGATACATGCAGAAGTAATTAAAAACAAAAAACGCCATTGACCAATTGTTTGCTAAAAAAAAAATATGCATTAGAAAGAAGAAAAAAATAATTAACAAATTAAATATTTACATTTTCATTAGTAAGAATTCCAACGATAAGTGGTGACAAAACTCCTGCAAAATTGGTTACCAATCCACAAATACCAAGAAGAAGACTGGCATAATTAGGACTAAGATCAACAAGATTTGCAAGTATTCCTGATCCTGGTCCTCCAATTAAAGTGGTTCCAACTATCATACAAAAAGCAGCCAAGTTTGAATGGCATCCGCTCAAACTAAGTCCAAAGAAAAAAATTGTCTGAAGTGCAGGAATCAATGATAATGATAATTTACGAATTGCTGTACGGGACATTTTGTTTGTTTTTAGAAGCCAGTCACAAAAAGCACCCCACGAGTAGGCAAAGATCATAGAAAGTAGATGTGGAACTCCAGTAACTATTCCAGTCTACAAATAAGTCATCAGAATTTTATTTAAATGGTATAATTGACTGTGTTATGTTAATATAAGCAGAAAATATTCAACTATACATACGGTATTGATATCCCAGCCATGAATAAAACTAAAATATGTGGGTCCTTGTGCTAAAATAGTCAAATATGCCCAGGAAGGCCCCCAATTAGCTATAATTGATACCCAAAATGGTACTGAAGTCAAAATTTGGCGCCAAGGTATCATCTTCTTTTTTTCATTGTTTGTAGTTTCAGGTATGTTATCCATAATATACTTTAATTCAGCTTTACTAATCCTTGGATGTTCTTGAGGTGAATCATATGCAAAGTACAACCAGAAACAATACCATATTGCACCAATAACTGATATTGTATAAAATACCATTTCCCAGTTAAAATAATAAATTATTACTGCACTAAAAAAATAAGTAATTGCTGTTCCAACTGTTCCACCCATATAAGCACTGACAAATCTACTTCTTTCATATGGAGGTATCCACTTAGCTGTCATACCATGCATAGAAGGTAATACAACACCCTAAAAGAATATTACATGTTGTTTAAAACAATTTTTATTCATTTATGTTTTATTTATAAAAATAATCTATTGAAAGAAATGTATTTAATTACCATGACAGCACCTTGAAGAACTCGAATTGCAAGAAATGCATACAAATGATATTTAATCATTGATGGAATCAAAGAAACTATAAGACAAGCTAGAAAATTAGCACTTCCAAATACTATTTTTGTACCATAACGTCGAACTAAAAGACCTCCAGGTACATTAGTAATCCAGTAAGACCAGTAGAAAGCACCTAATGCTAATCCTTGTTCATATTCAGTCCAATTAAATCGTCCTTCAGACTGTAAAGTAGTTTAATGTTAATAAGATTATTAAGAGTATTAAATAAAGATTTATAATAAATTAAAAAATTACTTTTACCGTAATATTAAGCGGTAATGTATGAGTAGTTGGAGTAATATACTGGGTAATATTAGATGATGAATTATGACTATTACATTGAGAGTATACTGGCTCAATAATTCTAGGTATTACCATAGCCACAATAGCCAAATTAACACAAATTTTTAACATATAATTGATAATACATCCCGTGAAAAATAAACACCATAAAGTTAATCGACATGACATCAGTTCTTGACCTAAAAATTATTTTTATTAAAATACAGAATACTAATATATGTATAAAATAAACAATAATTTACTACGTACCTCTAATCATCTTGAATGATCTTTAAAATATACCACAATAAATGACACAATTTAACTTTGTTTAACAAAAAAAATTTTCAATTATCATTCTCTATGTATTTCTAATTATAAGCATTATTTGTTTACTCATTATATTAACAAGAATACGTTACTTTATATATGCATTTTATAAATTGATTATGTAAAATTCAACTCTTAATGACTCTCACAATAGTCTTAGTATGTCTGAGAATAACTAAAATATTTATTCTAATAAACAAGTAAAGTGGAATTGATAAGAAATTAAATACATAAAATAAGGACATAGAAAAAAATCAATTTAAATATGTATTACTTTGTTTTATAAATACATAAAATATTCCATTTATAAACAAACATTTATTTGTAGATTATAAGCGTTCTTGCATTGGCGACACGACGTGTTATTACAAAAAAAGGCTGACCTTTTTCTATAATAGACGAGTATCAAAAATGTCCTAGGAAACGATAGTAGACAATAAATAAATCAAATTCAAACAATAAAATCTGCTAGATAAAAAATCGAATGTATAATAGGTAATAGTCAATGAAGGTCAAGAACGGAGAAATTAAATTTTTTCACAATTTTATCCTCACATAGATTTTTAACCGTGATATGAAGAATAACAATAGACATTTATTATTATCAGCAATTAACTGAATTACTATTGTGTATAAATAAACTTTAATGACTCCCCAACTTTAAATGCCTTATTTCTATCGGTATGAAATATCTTAATAAGTAAATACAATTTAAAAATTATCATTAAACAAGTACAATTAAGCTATATGCAAATAAATCTTTTATTTAATCTCATAAGTTCTAGTTTCATTGTGATAACTCATTTCCTATATATTACTCTATTTATTTATTATCTATATTAATGTCAAACTGATAAATTTCCTATAACCAAGTCTTTTTAGTTCATTTTTATTATTGTGATTCTAATTTTTCTAATTTTTTGATATTTAAATTTTCTAATTCTTCTAGTTTAACATCACTATTTTCTTTTTCTCTATAATCATTCCATGATTGAATATCTGAAGTAGCCCAGATTGTGTTGACGATAGCACTTATTGTTAAATTTATTGTTGCTATTATGAAAACGAGCCTCCATTGTTCCACAGTTTGCTAACAAAAGTAATCATAAACAATATAAGTGAATCAATAAATGGTTATTTACTCGAAAAGAAAAGACTTACTCTGTGATTAGTGAGGATTCCAACGATAAATGGAGATATAAAACCAGAAACGGCAGTGACAAGTCCACAAAATCCTAATAATACACTTGCATAATTCGGACTGAGATCTACAATGTTAGCTAAAGTGCCAGCAGATACTGCACCATTAATTGCAGTGCCAGCCATCATAAAAAATATTGCTAATATTGGTTGACAACCACTAAAAGCTAATCCTAGAGTAAGAACTGCTCCTCCACCAGTAGCTAGAAGTGTTGCAAGTTTACGGACATTTTTTAAAGACATCTTTCCTGATTTTAATAACCAATCACTAAAAACACTGTATGAATAAGAAACACCCATTCTTAGAAGATGAGGTAAACCAGATAGAAATCCAGCCTATTAAAATATTAAGGATTGATTATAGATAATATTTTAGTATAAATTAGGATAAATGTTGAAAGTAAATAATTATTACCGCATTTATATTCCAGCCATGAACGAAATTAAAGTATGATGGAGCTTGAGTCATAAATGTAAGAAAACCCCAAACAACACCCCAGTGGCCAACTATCGTAATCCAAAGTGGTCCTGATAAAAGCAATTGTTTCCAAGGTACATTCATATCTTTTTGATTGTCTGTCACTGTTTTCAAAGTTGATTCCAAGATGTATTGTTTTTCATGTTTAGATATTCTAGGATGAACACTTGGAGAATCATATACCAAAAAAATCCAAAAAAGGTACCTATTGAATTTTTTAAATTCTTCATATCATTAACTTTTATAAACTTTTTCTAAATTGAAATTATAAATTTTTACCAAATAAAAGCGATTAATGATGTTACATAGAAAGCAGACTCCCATCCAAATGAATTAATTACCAATGCACAAAGAGGATAAGTAACTGCTGCTCCTACAGAGCTTCCTAATGAAAAAATGAAAGATTAATTTTTATTAATATATTATTTGTGACAGTGTATTCCATATATAAACGTAATCCTTACCAAAGTATGAGCTGACAAATTTACTTCTTTCAACGGACGGAATCCATTGGGCTGTCATATGGTGCATTGCTGGCCAAGCGGAACCCTGCAAAATAAAAATCATTAATTAACAATAAAATATTTTAAAAAGATATACTTTTTCTTTGTTACTTACAGAAATTAAACCTTGTATAACTCGAATAACTACTAAACCATATAAATGATAACGAGTCGCAAAAGGAAGAAATACCCCGAGAATACTTGGAATTAAGTTTGCCAAACCAAATACCAGTTTTGTACCATATCGTCTTGCTAAAAGACCTCCTGGTAATTGAGATATCCAATGTAACCAATAATAAGCTCCTAAAGCTAAACTTTGATGATATTCATCCCAATCGTATAAATGTTCTATCTACAAAATCATTTCAATATTAAAAAAATAATTATTGTAACTTATTGTGATTATTATAACAGTAGAAAAACATTTATAACTCGTTTTCTCTCCAGAACAATACTGGAAGACGTTGAGAGAATAGATAAATTTGTTGTCAAATTTTTTTGATAATTTAAAGAAAGTGGATAAATATTAGCACATTGAGCAACTGCAGCTGCTGCTTTACTTCTAGGTATGATCATTGCTACTATTGCTATATTTAAGTTTATTCTCAGCATATAATTAACAGCAAAACCCCAAAAGGAGAGAATCCAAAGAACATCTCTGCATGAGCATAATTCTTTAGCTGAAAATAAATATATAAAAAATGACGATTAGGAGAAATTATGATTAAATAGATATCTTAGTACAATAATGTTATATATAGATAGCAGAAATTAGTTATTTAATTAAATATAATTTTATAATGATTCAGCAAAGTAGTAACTTAATAGCTTTTTGTTTTTTATCTTTATCAATTTAATATTTGTAAATGACGTAAAAAATCCCCGACAATGTTGGAAATTTATTAGACGTTTAACAGTGTTAAGACAGCCGACGCGCCAACAGCTTTTATTCTCAACATGTTACATATACTGTCTTAATGTCATTAATAAATAAGCAAAAATTTGTATCTTTATTGTCAATTCAATTTTTTCGTTATATTTCTAGGAATACTTTTATTATTATTATTTTATACATAAATATGAAATTATTAATATTGATAAATTGAAAAAAATATCAATTCTTTAATAAACAATAAATAGAAGTGATAGAAAAAAATTAAAAATTTAAAAAAGAATAGTTTGTTTTTGATGTGAATGTACGAATTTCGTATGAGACTCAATAGTATGCAGATGACACAATTACTAGAGTATCAATGATATCATTGAGTTTATTGGACCGAAGGGCACCTAGTAAGCTGTAATAATCATATAATCATTTTAAAATCATAAATTACTTTGGATTAATTTTTAAATCAGTTATAATTTAGTTTTCTCATCGATTCATACATTTTTTATACTCACTTAAAATTCGTATTTCTTTCATTCTTACAGTTTTATTACACATTAAAAAAAAATTTCATGATTTTCTCTATTCATTTAAGAAATAATAAAATGACATAACATTTATTAAATTAATTATAACAATTCTTACCCATTCTTAAGCTATACTTTTGAATATTTTCAAATAACTGATTTAGTTTTTCATAAATTTTGACATTTTTCACATATACTCTTAGAAGTTTGCTCTTTTGAACAATAAATTTGATACTTTTTTTTATAATATACTTTTTAGTTGTATTTACGTATTTATCTAACTACGGAAAACTATCTTATATTTACAAAATAATTAATTAACAATTTATAAAATTTAAAACGACGTAAACACGCGAGAGATTTAAAGTATGATCAGTCGAATGCGCGTCTAAATTACATTTGATAAAAGCAGCCACATGTTGAATATACACTTATATATATATCATATAGTTGAATACACACTTAAAATATTATATGTTGTAGGTACATACCTCTTATAACAATGTAAAAGTTATTTTTCTTAACATTGATAATTCATATCTATTAATTGTTGTTGCTTCATTTTTATCCACAACGGTGAGTTCATATTTGTCATGCGGATTTATCCGCCCTCAAACATGAGGGTATAATAGATAAAATTTTGAAAAAAAATATAAATTGTATAAGATATTTATATCGTTTTAATGTTATACAATGTCTTCATTATTGTCAATTGTTTGCATATCTTTAAATTTGATGCATCACAAACTTCATCATTATATTAAATATCTCATTTTCAAGAGATTCAAAATTTTGGTGAAATTATTTTTTTATCAAATACATTCTAAAAAATAAAGTAAGTATGATTAGGAAAATAATTAATTAATTGTCTGACTGTTATTGACTCTCACTACTTACTACTATATAGTATTGGTGATTCAATCTGATTACCGTCAATCGCTGTAATTATTCAACATTAAATATGAGAAATAAAAATTTGGATTTAAAATTTAATTGAAATATACACAATCTACTCGAGTTTTTATTTGTTTAATTATTATATTCTAATTTCATTTAATAATATTAACTGTATTATTAATCATTTTTTATACCTTTTCTCTCCATTCACTTATAATGCCAATAACTACGTCAGTACATAATAAGTCTATATGATGCAATATTTATAATTTATTTTATCATAATAAATGTTGATATTGTTGAATGTTAAAATTTCTATATCACAAAAATGTTTTATTATATTTAGAATGAAAAATAATCTATGGATAATAAAACAATTAAGAATTAAAAAAAAAAAATTAATTATATAAAAAGAATTCTACTAATGTGCAGTTTATTAATACACATTTTGATAAATGTTAAAAGGAAATACATTTCATCAACTACCAAACCGTCTAATTTTCACGTGATTGCAATTACTTTTTTTTTATCGTAAAGAACCAGATTAATGTAGTTGTTTAAAGCTCTAACCATACATGTTTCACTTTATTTATGTAACTCATACATGTGTAAATCACCCATATCTGTAAACACAAAATATATCATTAATAATCACAATAATACCAACGAACTTATAAGTCAGTCGATTAATTGTAGTTGAAACTTCGTAAATTACATCATAAAAAAAATAGAAAGTGGGTAATATACATTACTTTTCAAAAGAACGTAAGATTTTATTGGTGGGAGAAAGTTGTTTAATGCGATCCATTGCCAATATCTCTCCAGTTTAGATTCAATCATTATTGAAGTCATAACAAATCCGAAAACATTTTTTCATTTCTTTTTCATAACATTGTAGTAGTAATAGTAATAGTTTTATACAATTCATTGATTGTCTAATCTCTATTTATTTATTTCTTATCGTTACTTATTTTCTCCTTTTAAAAATAAATTTTATTATTAAATATTTATTCACAATTAAATCTAAAAATATTGTATCACATGTCTATACTTACTTAAACGTCAAACAAAAAATGCCGAGTGGTAAAATAACAGTTGCCGTCATTGGAGCTGGAGTTGCTGGATTAATAGTTGTTAGACATATATCAGCAAAATCCCAGAATTTTAATGTCACCTTATTTGAACAGACTGATAAAATAGGTGGCACGTGGGTGTATACAGATGAAACAGAACTTGATAAAAATGGACTTCCGATTCACAGTAGTATGTACAAAAATCTCAGGTAAATACTCTCATGTCTCTTTATCATTCCAAACATTGCTTAATTGATGCTTTATCCTAATAAAATGACTAAACAGATCCAAAAATTAATGAACCACTTAAAATACGCTTCATTAATTCATGATAACAGTTGATAAACTTGGCTGACATTTAGGGGACATATATTGAATATGATGATTAAATTATAAAAAATTTTTCCAGAACCAATCTTCCTAAAGAAATCATGCAAATACCAGACTTTCCTTTTAAAAATAACAATGGACCTTCGTTCGTTCATCACAGTGTAATTCGACAATATCTACAAGATTATGCTCATTATTTCAATCTTTATCCTCATATTAGAGTAAGCATTATTATTATTCGAAAAATTTTCTATAATGTCATTTTTATAATTTATAAATTTTGGTAATATTTTTTTCTAAAATTACAGTTCAATACTTTAGTAAAAAATATCGAACCAAAAACATTATCGAATAATTGTAATGTTTGGTCCGTAACATGCGTAAATCTTATTACTAATACAGAATACACTAAATCATTCAATGTAATAATTCTTTGTAATGGACACTACACTGTGGGAAATATTCCATTGATCAGAGGTATAGATGACTTTCGTGGTAATTATATTCATAGTCATCAATACCGATTTCCAGAAAAATATTTAGGAAAAAGAGTGTGTATTCTTGGAGCTTCATGGTCTGGAATCGATATTGCCATTGAAGTGTCCAAATTTGCGAAGAAGGTCAGTTATTAAAATTGAATAAATATAATTGATAGACTGCTAAGAGTGTGAAATGATATTTGATTATGTAACATAGTTGTACTAATAATTTGATTACTATGACACAGTCTTTGACCTTAGTCGAACCATCTTATTTAATTCTGTTGTAGATAATTATAGTAATTACAATTATAATATTTTTTTATCCCTTTCATTACATAATAGATTTATCTAAGTCATAACCTTCCGGAAAGACTAGAGTCTGTAATAGCGGATAATGTTGAAGAGAGACCAGGTATAAAATTCATTCATGAAAATACCATTTATTTTGATGATGATTCAAAGGCAATAATTGATGATATTATTTTCTGCACTGGTATATAGTTTAACTATCTCCAAACATATGATAATTATTTATTTTTAATAGAACATTTAAAATAATGATATAAATTTATTTATTTTAGGCTATCAGTTTACTTACCCATTTATGTCAGAAAAGGTGAAAATAAAAACTGAAAACAATTATGTTGAGCCAATTTATAAGCATCTCATACATACAGATATGCCAAATTTATTCTTTATGGGTTTGCCAGCATTGGTAATACCTTTTCCGATGTTTCACCTTCAATCGCAATACATATTAAAGATCCTTGAAGGTAGCATTCAGCTTCCATCTTCAGAAAAAATGAGAATTGATAGCGAAAATGAAAAAAAAATGTTACTTGAGCAAGGTATACCTGTAAGTATCTTGTTATATTCAATTTATTATTGGAGAATTGTATTCATTTATTAGTTGTTTGTTTTTTGTTCCAGATAAGGCATATTGGAAAAATGAAGGAGAGACAGTGGGCATATTATGATGAAATTGCTGCAGCAGCAAATATACCATCGTTTCCACCGGTCATTAAAAAAATTTATCATCATACAATGAAAATGCGGCAATTAAACTTAATGACATATAAAGATTATCACTATAAAATTATAGATAATGAAAATTTTACATTTCGATATTGTTAATCTGCTCATTGGAAATAAATTAATTTAATTAAAACTTTACTAAAAAAAAACTTAAAAATTTATTCAGTAAACTTTTTGTAAAAATGTAAATATCTTACGTATTTACGTAAAAAGCACTATGCATCAAATATTTACATCTAAAGAGTAAGAATACTATTTTTCATTGTGTAAACTATGAACTTATAGAATTGTCCACCAAAGATCAAGAAGTGTACTGTTTATTTCACACATGGTATACGGCATATTAAATATATTATCGAACTGACACAAAGAAGAATTCCTCAGTCGGTTCAACGCTTTCGGCCCCCACCATTTATTTTTACCCCTTCCATCACATTTTTCGCCACTGCGCAAGCGTAAATACAAGAGCACGTGTGGAACCATCTATGTAATATTTTGGAGTCCAATTATACGAAATTGTACATTCATATTTACGGAATAATAATAGTAATTGGTTTATTAAACTTTTAATAACCATCAATTTGAATGGTTTGCGTTAACCGTTGAAAAACACATGTATATAATTAATTTAATTAACGAGGAATTTAATTATTTTTTTTTCTAAATATAGATTTCTTTTATCCAATAACGATTTTCTACAGAAGAAAAGAGTTTTTTGATTGGATAAAATATATACCAACAAATGATCCAATAGGCCAATTACCAAAAACAAAAATACTAAAAACAAGAGGTTACAAATGGCGGCGTTAGTAAATAAATTATTTGTTTACAAGCGCCATTTTTATTTAATCAGTGAAAACTAAACATTGAAATCATCATTAATACTTTTTTAAATTTAATGCTATAAAAATGACTGATGCCGATAATAAAGTATTATCTGAAGGTGATGATAATCTTCAGGCTAATTATCAAATTCGACCTCAACTGACAGAAAAGTAAGTTTTTCAAAATATTTTGGTCATTATTACAACAAAATATTAATTAATTAAATGTTGGTTTCTACTAATTTTTATATAATTTTACAGATTTAGACCACAGGTTGTTAAAGAATTAATTCATAATGTTTTACATGATGAGCTATCATTAAAAGTGTATAATGTGAATGATGCTAAAACCTGGACGAAAACGATAGCCGATGTAATTAGAGATAAAGTAAAAGGTGAGTATGTATTTAAAAGACAGAGTTCATTTACATATATTTATGTTAATGTTTATATTTATTATTTAGAACTCCAATTAAAGGATTACAAATATGTCGTAAATGTTGTGCTTGGTGAGCAGAAAGGTGAAGGTGTTAAAGTTGGAAACAGGTGTTTATGGGATGCAGAAGCTGATAATTATGCTCATGCTGACTTTATTAATGTAATTAAAATCTACATTAAAAAAGATTTATTCAATTTATATTCTAAACGTGTTATTAATTCAAGGTTAAATGTGTTTTTTTTTTTAGGAAACATTATTTTGTGTTGCGTGTGTTTATGCTGTTTTTTATTATTAAATCTCTCATAAATACTACTATTATTTGGATGTAGAATGTCAATCGTAGTTTATTTGTAATTACGCAAATTTTCAAAGAAAAAAAACGTTACTATTTTGTGACATTTGTATAAATTTTATAATAGAAACAAAGTGTGAAACAAATGAAACATCACCGAAAATAATTATGGCTGGTATTATCTACATAACTTAAACAAATTTTACATCAATTATAAACTTGTAAAAATCATTTTAAGAACGTGAGAGAAATTGTCCATATTACAAATGCAACCTGGAGTTGAATCTAATCAATTACATAATTATTTAAGTACAAATAATATTCAAGTTTTTGCTATACATGAAGAACTAATTGAGAGAGTTTCTCAGGAGATATCAACAACATGGAAATTAATTCCAATTTTTTTACACTTTTTGTCTGCTGTATCTGGCTATGCAACTTCAATATTGTTCTATATATTTTGGGTATTTCTATACATTTTTATTTTTTATATTTATAACTGAGATTACTTTATAATTAAGCAGATATAAATGGAAATAATATTTTCAGAATGATATTTTTGGAGGGCAATGTCCAATATGGGCTAAACTTCAAATTCCAGAGCGACATCAAATCCCGAAAACAGATAAAATAGCTGAATTCGATAACGATAGGGACATAATACACGACAATGATTGGCGTAAAAATGTTATAATAACATTTTTATATGAATGGCACTGCAATTATTATCACTTTATTTGTCTTTGTTCATGTTCATTTGGTGTTATCTGGTGCATGCTATTTGCTAGATGTGCTACTGGAATGTATGTTACTATATTATTTAATATTATAATAATGATAAATTATCCAAACAATAATTTGGTATTTCATTAAACAATTATTATTACAGATACGCTGCACAATGGTTGATCGTTCCACCAGCTTTAATTTTTGAAACAGTTTTTACCGCAATCGTATATAGTGCTGCATATGATTTCGAGCATGGATATTTGAGCTTCACCAATAATTTGAAACATGTTGCTTACTCGTCTATGAACGCCACTCAACTAAGTGAATTTTCTCAGTAAATAAAATTTTACATGCTCTAATATATTAGATTTTTCTAGATAAAAATAACTCGTCAAATATTTAATGTTATTATTTATATTAATGAATTTTCAACAGTGATTGTGATCTTGTGGTTTTTTATCTAAAAATAATCCATTTTTCCTGGCACAATTTATGTCAAGTACACTACATATTGAAGGTTACATTAATTAAAGCTATGAATTTTTTTTTTCTATCGCTGCTTCTTCAATCTTGATCTTATAACTATAAATAACTTTCGCTAGATTTTATCGTGGACGATGGCCTGGAGCTGGATAGGTGGTTTGGCATATTTACTTGTGCGAATAATCGTAGTTAATGATTTCCGTCTTCTCCGGACAATTGTGTATAAAATCTCAAATAAGAAAATTACTGAAACAGAAGCAGATAGAAACTATATTATTGATACTAAATTGAAGGCTCAAATGTTACCACCTAAACCACGAATTAAACAACCAACATTATACTTAATGGCCCAAACATAAAAGTTGAAAAACATTCATGATGCATAATGTGTGTTTAGTTATTTTTTTAAATTAATTATTGTGTAATAATTTGCTTTGAGATGTCCAGGTGAGCAAAGTTTTTAATTCTTGCAATTCGTTCAAATTTTTTTGTTTTAAATAATATAATTTTTTTATTTTAATTAATTCCATTCGTTGCTTATTTTCTATGTTATGAAGGTTTATTAATTGAGCTTCAGCCATCTGGATTTTATTCATAACAACATCTGAAGCTTGTTGAACATGAATTAAAACCTGTGTACACAGAAAAACAGTTTTTTTTTAAATTTTTGTTTTCATTTAATTACCCATAATAAATAATACTAGGAATTTTTTTTTATTTAATTACTTTGATAATTGAATTAAGTTTTTTCTGAATAATTCTCAAATCAGTTTGGTTTTTTTCATATTTATCAGCTCTAATGCTTTTCATTATCTTCAAATTTTCATAGTCTATGAGAGAATATTGCTCTGGTAATTGTATTTGAGTTTTAATGAAACTCTGAAGCTGTTTATAAGTATATTCGAGTTTAAAATATTTAATTCTAATATTCGTTAAGATTTCTAATTGTTTTTCTAATTTACTCAGTAAATCTAAAATATAATCTTTTATCTTTTTATATTCGAGAGACTTAATTTTAAAACTGATTTCTGATAGTTTTATTTTTAATTTTTCAAAGATAAGATTAAAATCTGCAATTCGAGATTCATATAAATTTTCGTATTGTTTTATTACGTGATTATTTTCTTGACTGGTATCATTTAGTTTTATCTTGAAAGCTTCGTACTCATCTAGTATCTGTTTATATCTGGTAAACAAATTGACTATAAGTTTAAATTTTATCATAAATTAGTTTATTGTTGATCAATTTATTCACCTATAGTCAGAGTGTATTGACAAATAATCAATTGTTACTTTTTCTACGGCATTTAATTTATTTGATTTTATTAAAAAATTACAAATTTGCTTTTGTAAATAAATATTTTTCAATTTTAATTCTTGACGTTCTTTGAATAATTTTTGTAATTCTTCTATTATACTTGATCGTTCTTTAATTGACAGTGAATTTCTTTCAAATTTTTCATTTTCTATTCTTTGATTTCCTTCATTCCAATCTGTATTAAATATTTCTGTACCGATTTTTTTTTCATCATCATAGTCATACTCTACGCCTTCTTTCTCGTACTCTATTATACCATGTAAGTTTTTTTCTCTTTTAAATTATATACAATTATATAATATGCTCAAAATTTTATGATTATATGAATAAAATTACCATTTGTTACGTAGTCCATTGCGACGAAATAATAATACTAATAAATACTAATAATAAAAAATTTATACATGCATCAAAAAATAATAAACATACATTATCTGAAGTTGCTTCGTAAAATATATTTTGTTCTTTTATTACGTCATTATTTACATAAACAAAATACATACATGAGGAAGAAATATTTATATACACTTTAACAGATATTTATTGAGCAAATCTAGAAGCCATACCAGCATCACGGTATGGATTTCGACCTCTAAGTACCAAACCCTGACACGGAGATTTGTGAACGTCATCAGTTGGTTCATCATCTGCTGCGCGAATTTGAATTAAAAACATACGTCGTGGTCTATCAGAGAGATTGAGATATGATCCATGTAAAAGTAAATATGAAAAAACAATAATATCTCCTTTTTTAGCACTAATTGGAGTGGCTCCTGACAATGGATAACGATCAGGATCAACATAATGATATGCGTCTTTATTGTCATCGTATAATGTACGAGCTTCTAAAGGCCCAAGTTTATGGCTTCCTGGGTAAATAGCCAATCCACCATTCTCTGGTGTTGTATCATCGAGATGAAGAAATACAGCAAGCATTGTGTGTTTTTTATGAGGAAAGTATGGATAATCCTGATGCATTAAATATGGAGCTCCCTTTTCAGGTGGTTTTATATGAGCTTTAGTGTGATGTAAAAGTATATCTTTTGTATCCATTATGTCTTCCAAAGCATCTAATAAATTTGAATTTGTTATCACTCTCGTAAATACGGCGCTGTGCATTTGAAGATTATGGATGGATTTTACCTATTCAGAAAAAAATAAAAAATAGTTAATTAAAGTTAAATATTTCAATTTATAATCTTGTTTAGTCTTTTTGTTTATTACTTACTGTAACATTTCGATGTGCAGAAAGGTTTTTCATGTCATCTCCAATCCAAACAGCTTCTAATGCTTCCATATTTTCCTGACTTTTTTGTTCAAAAAGTTGATTATACTCGGTACAAATTTCGTTCATCTCCTTTGATGTAAATACATTTGATAATTTAACATATCCATTGTCTTGCCAACATTTATGTTGTTCAGCAGTTAAGAATTTGAGCTTATTCATGGTTATTTTAAATATTGATTATCACAAATTATGGTATTAAGTAAAATCAAAACTGAAATTATTTTCGAATGTCTTTATCATTAAATATTCAATCTCCCACTGCTTATTTATTAATTCTGATACATAACCATGACTTTGTAGAAATTATATTTTTCGTGTTTATTATGATCAATTAAATTTATAATAATTATATGTAAATACAAAAATAGTAGTAAGTGCGATAACAAATATTACACATAATCATTACAGTTGATAACACTTTCACATTTATTAGATATTACGTAAGAATATGATCGTCTGGTTAAACTTTAAAAAAATAAATCAAATAAATGTTGATAATCTTGTATTTTTTGTTAACCCTCAAATAGTGAACTCAAGTTTATAGAGAAATTAATTTGTATTTTATCAATCGTCACAATGGAATATTACTTATTTGATATATAAGTTTTGTTTTAAAAAATCAAATTGATAATTTGATTAGCTTCAATATAAATTCAAAATTTAAAATACATCGTTACAATCTAATGAATTAATTTAATAAATTTAATTTAAATGTTCTAAACAATCTATTAATGTTATCTAAAAAATTTAAACCCTTTTACAACTTCTTTTGATTGATACCAAATATAAGGAACATTAGTTTCCATACATGTTACATTGGAATTATCTATATTAATAGTAGTTTGAGATGTTTTATCAAGTTGATTATCATTGTACACTTTAACAATATTTGAACATGTACAATCTGAATTGAAATCGTCTTCATTATAAAATAGTTTAATTGAAAAACAAGATATTTGCACAGGTAGATAATATTGTGGCTTCGGTAAAAAAAATTCAGACTTTGGATTAGAATCACTCTTTTTCACTAATACAAATGTATTTGTCACACTTAATGGAGTTGCGATTGCTTGTTGGAAGTCGGAACATTCAATTAGTGATCTGTATTAAATAATACCAAGAATATTAATTACTGAAATTATATCATCTTTACTTAATTATTAATAATTATTTAAATAAATTAATGGTTAAAGTAACTTTGAAGTAATTTGAGATTATTTTGAAAATATTTTTGCTGTTTCATATGATTTAATAGTCTAGTGGATCTGATGATTGAAGGAATTTGAAGCAACTATGATTAAATATTATTTTTGATTTTAGAGATTAGAATACTTACTTCATGAGAGTAAGAAGAGGTTTCCTGTATGAATGTTGATATTCAATGTGTTTTTCACTACTTAAAATTTGAGAAGGTAATTCTACTTTTAAACAAAATTTAGGTGAGATCGTTGTAGCTCCTATTATTACAACAACTTCTTTTACATTACATCCAGCTAGGTGAAGTTGAGATGAGAGTTGATGAGTGAGATTGTTCAATGAATTTTGTAAGGTTTTAGTGGATGAAAAATTTCTATCAGCTGGTTTTCCTTTTCCAAGTTGAACAAGAGTATCAAATGCAAACGGAATTTGTTGTTTTTGATATAAAATATACTTTATAAGTTCTACTATTATTTTTGAACATGAATCACTTGTTAATGGCTCGTTAAGTTTAATATCAATAGACGTATTCTTGTTGTATTTTTCTTGTGAAAACATTTTGAATACTTTTTAAAATATACGTATATTATATTATATATACATATATCTGTATATATATAAAAGTAATTTTAAAATAAATATTATTGTTTTAATAATTATTCAGTAGTTTATCACAAAACATAACCTATAAGATTTAATACTTTTATATTTTCATTATTTCATCGTTCACCGTAACTTGATTAAACATTTGAATTTTTCTCTTCTTTTTTCAAGTTTTTTATGCATTAATAAAAATGTCCATAAATCAACTTGAACATTAAAAACCATTAATATTTTACAAATTCATTGATAACTTTTAATTTCTTGTAAATCATCAGGTATTGGTTAACATAACCAAACCAACATACATCATCAATTAACTAACACATATACATTTGGGATTTTGCGAACAAACACGATCAAATCCGAACATAACCCCACCACTGAATTTTTCTCACGTGACTGTGTAGCAACCAAAGTTTGTAATTTAAATCTCATTCAATCTATTACATACACACTTTTGCATTATTCTATTTTTTTTTCACATAATTTCAATGAATTTTTCAATGCTTTTTTATTTATTACAAAAGAAATTTTTATCTCAATAATATAAAATTAATTACAATTCATCTTTTACGCAAAATACATTGAAATAATATGTAATTTTATTATAATTTATTTTAGATAAGAAACACTAATTAATTCTTAGATCATTTTTCTTTATTATATAAAGTATGTAAGAACTTATATGGAAGTACGAATAGGTAAATGAAAGTTTGCTGCATAGACAATCATAAACTACTGAATTGAATAAAGGAATTTCTTTTTTCGTTATAGATCAACCAAGGTTGTTTGTGTATCAATGATTATTACTACTTCTAGTAATTAATATCAATATACGTATGTTCGAGTAAATGAAGAAGAAAATAAATTTGAAAAAAACAAAGATAGATCTACAGTACCTATGAATGTTTTATAGAAATGATTCAATAAATGTTTGATTAGTAGCATTGACCTATTTATCTTTATTATCATCATTAACAACATCAGTTATGGTTCATTTCAGAATACCTTATTAAATAAACGTTAGTAATGAATGATCTGTCACCCAAGTACGTGGATATTTGAATTCATATCTTAGTAATATTTACCACGAGTATATTTTTTTATTTAATTAACACAAACTTCTTATATATGACAAAAAGATGCTATGTATTTACTTTTTATTTATTAATCTCTGGTTTTTTATAGTAAACTGAGAATGTAAAAAATTGGTATTATTAATTGATCTGAAAAGAATCACTCAACCTGAGACGTTTATCGATTTAGAAGATAATAATCAATGAGAAATTTTTTCACTTGATTAACTACAGTAGATATCGATAACTATCATATGACTTTGATAAAATAGAGATGTAAAGTTATTCAATAAACTTTTATTTCTTATTTATTATGTCCAACATCTTGTTATAGATTATTTATAAATAACTTGCTTTTTTTTTTATATTTATTAACCTTTACTTAATGTTATTTTATTGATTCCACCCAGTACCTCCTAGAGTGTTGGTGTTAAATGATATTGTATGTAATAAGATTAAATAATGAAATTTTATAACGGATTTAAAACTTTTTAATCCTCGTATGCTTATTAAAGCATTATCATCTAGTCAATGTGAATAAGTTTTATAATAATAATAATAATTGTTATTATTATTGTTAATGAATTAATTTATGAACTAAGTAAGTGGTATATTTAACTTTCAGTAATACTTGAAAAAACATTGAATTCAATTTTACGGAAAGAGAGAGGGAGAACCTTCTAATCGGAATTTATAACCGACGTCTTACCGAGCCAAACTCATTCAGTGTTGTTTAATACCAAGTCAACATTCGTTTACATATTTGATTATTCATGTGATTCAAGATTTTCTTCGTCTTCTTCGTTTTATTTACATTTAATTAATTGAAGTAAATCTCTGGATGTTGCCATGCTATGCCCAGTTTGATGAGAGCTTTAATTGATTAAAGTACAAACTATTGAAATTAACTCAGTTATCAGTGTTATTCAAGACCTTACACAAATAAAAAATTGATTTATTAATAATGGTTCAAAACAATGATCAATCACATTCGCCTATTGTTAATACAGAAAATGATAAAAGTCAAGAACAAGTTCGAACTTCAGTGGTTGATTCACAAAATAATAATGTAACAAAGGATAACCCGAATTTAAAACAATCTAATGATATGAAAAATGATAACAATAAAAATGAAAAATCAGTATCTTCAAAAAATTTCAATGAACAAAATAGCATGGATTTTGATGATTTGCTTCCGTATGTGGGAGAATTTGGGATCTATCAAAAAATATTGTTTATTCTAATGATCCCTTTTGCGTTCTTTGTTGCTTGGGTTTATTTTACTCAAATTTTTATTACATTGGTACCGGAAAATTATTGGTGTAACATACCAGAATTAGAGAATTTAACTGTAGAACAAAGGTAAGTAATTTGATTATCTTTATAATACATAATAGGATAATACTTATCTACAATTATTCAATATTGATGCATAATTAATGATAATAAAGAAAAAAAAATGAATGAATGTAGAAAGGTAATAAATTTTTTTTCTAAGACTATAAAATAAGATTTATTACTATATGACATATAAATTTTGGGAAGTAAATATAATAAGTATCATTACGCGATAGGGTAATGGCTTGTGTAAAAAAAACCTTCATGCTAGCAATGAGAGCGTGAAAGTAAAAAAAAAAAAATTGCAGTGACGCACAATATGTTTCAACATACCATTCGATTTAATGTTATCTATTTAATATCAAAGATGTATGTATTTGATAATTGACATATAAAGTTTATATATTTACATACAAGATCATTATAAAATTAATTGTCGTAAATACTCATAATGAGAATTTTGAAAAAATTTATTTCAGACTTGCTTTAGCTATACCACCAGCTGGGAAATATGATAATCCAGGAGCTATTGGTTACTCTCAGTGCTCGATGTATAATATCAATTTCACGAAAATTTTGATTAATTCAAATACGATACCTGTAGCAAACTCCTCGTGGCCAATACAAAAATGTCTATACGGATGGGAATATAATCTCACAGAAACTCCTTATCAATCCATTTCAACCGAGGTATTATAATTTTAATATTTTAATAATATTTATTTCACTTTATTTAAATATTATAAAAAAAATTTACTTTTATTTAACACCCATTTAAGCTACTTTGAGATAAATTTTTTCAACATCCATAGATATGAGTACATAATCATTTGAATTATTCATAATTTTAATTATGATTACAAATGTTCAAGTTACAAAGAAATCTTTAATGTTATTATAATTGCATTTATATTTTGATTTTTATCTGCATAAATAAATTTTTCCTCTTATTTATCATTTATCATGCAATTTTCTTCTCGATTTTTAATCTTCATCTTTTATTTATTTATTTTTTTCTTTATATAAAAATAATAATTTTAATAAATGTCAATTTGATAAAATAAATAATTTTATTAATCATTTTGAATCTATTTGAATAATAATAAAAAATTCAATCTTATATTTCAGCTTAATTGGGTGTGTGACGATGCTGCTCTTCCAGCGATTGCCCAAAGTATCTTCTTTATTGGTGCAATCTTTGGTGGTTTACTTTTTGGATGGATAGCTGATCGGTATGGTCGAATTCCCGCCTTAGTAGGATCCAACTTGATGGGTTTTATTGCTGGAGTTACCACGGCATTTGCTCAAAATTACTGGCAATTTGTTGTGTGTCGTTTCTTTCTTGGATTCGCATTTGACAATTGTTTTACTATGATGTATATTTTAGGTATCTAGTTTAAAATATTATCAATTAATTATTCAATAATTATTTATTAAAAAGCCACAAGTTATTTATTCATGTGTATAGAGATTGTTCCCTCAAGGATAAAGTAACAGGTCATTCGCATCGTTCACTGCTATTGCACCTTACTTATAATACTTAATTATATACAGATGCACGTGTGAATAATTAACTAACGTTTCCTTGGATGTCTAATTCTATAGAGGATTAAATTTCATTTTTTTCCATCTTCTCTGTTAATGACAATTTATATGAATAATTTTTTTTTTTTATCAACTATTAAATTATAACATATTGATTTTTTAATCAAATTTTTTAATGTTACTGCAATTAGGGTTGGAATGGTTGTAAATATTTATACAATCTTTATAATTATAATAAGTAGTATGATAAATAGGTATAAAAGGATTAGATGTGGGCTTGAGAATGAATTTCATTTTTACAAAATTGATATTACATCCGACACTTTACATTAATTTTACATTACATTAGAATATCAATGCATTTAGTTTTCCAATAAATCTAAATATATTAATAATAAAATTATCTTTCATTTAATGTTGAATTATTTAGTTGAATTATCATGATTTACATAAAGATAATTTTTTATTTTTCTAATTTCAGTGTTGGAATACGTTGGGCCAAAGTGGAGGACTTTTGTGGCAAATATGTCAATAGCTTTGTTTTTTACCTTTGCCGCGTGCATTCTTCCGTGGATAGCTTATTATTTAGGTGACTGGAAAATGACTACTATAGCAGTTTCTACTCCTCTTATACTTTCTCTAGCAACACCTTGGCTAGTACCTGAGAGTGCACGCTGGCTGGTGAGTCAAGGACATGTTGATAGGGCTATTGATATTTTAAAAAAATTTGAAAGAATAAATAAAACTCATGTTCCTGACAGTATTTACAAGGACTTTAAGGTAATTTTTTATTTATTTATTTATTTAAATAAAATACTATTGCGTAAACTACTCTGAATTTATTAAATATTCAATATTATTTAGGATAGTTGTAATCAAGAACGAGAATCTGAACAACAAAATAAATCTTATTCAGTGATTCATCTTTTCAAATATTCTCGACTTCGTAAAATAGTCATCATTTTAATTGTTATTTGGTAAGTTGACATAAATTTTATACATATATATATAATACGTAATAATGGAGATTCAAGTTGTTCTTCGATAGATTATAATAATTGAATAAACAATAAAAACATTTTAACTATATCGTTGTTTTCAGGATGATTATATCACTAGTATTTGATGGTCATGTTCGTAACGTTGACAATCTTGGCTTGAATATTTTTATTACATTCACAATAGCATCAGCAACAGAACTCCCAGCAGATACTTTACTTACACTTCTTCTAGATCGATGGGGAAGACGATGGTTAGCATTCAGTTCAATGACCATTTCTGGTATCTTCAGTCTTTGGGCATGTGTTGTTTCAAATAGTAAGTATAATTTATATTTTAATTATACGTAATACATCAATAGTTGACTACAACTCTTTCATAAATACATGAAATTACAAGTAAATAATATAATAGTAATACGTTTCAGCTATATTATTATAATTTTTAGATATTTATGCTGCTACGTTGGCGATAATAGGAAGGTTTTTCATTAACATTTCATACAATATTGGTCTTCAGTATGCTGCTGAATTGATACCGACTGTTGTCAGAGCCCAAGGAATGTCTCTGATACATATAATGGGCTACATTTCCAGTATTATTTCACCTTTTATTGTTTATCTGGCTGTGGTATCACCTATATTACCTTTACTACTTCTTGGTATCTTTGCTGTTGTTGGGGGTAGCTTGGCATTATTTCTTCCTGAAACATTAGATCAAGAATTACCTCAGACTCTTCAGGATGGTGAAGATTTTGGCAAAAATCAACGAATATGGGATGTACCGTGCCTAGCTGTCAAGTAATTATTCTTCAAAACATTTTAATATTTATCAAGTTTGTATTTATTATTAATAAATTCATTACTTTTAGGGATACTGATGAAAAGAAGGACTCTGATTTTATGAAAATCCAAAGAAGCCAGAGTATAAGAAGTTCTGGAAGACCATCAACACGTGGAGAAGTTTTACGAAGTAGCATGATTCAACGTGCCAGTATTAGATCAAGAAGAAATTCATTTAAAACACCTGCCATTCAAACTGTTCGACTGTAATACACAAGCTAATGTTTCATTTGTCATGTTATTAAGTGTTTCATTCTATTTCGTTTTATTATTTATTTATTATTATTTTGCAAAGTTACAAACCTGTATACATATGGACATGAATACACTAGTGAAGCTTTTAGATGTATGTATTTTAATGTGTGACAATGCCGTTAACATTTTTTCTCTTTTTAAGCGGATTAACAATATGACTTATTAGGTGAATTTTACGTTCCCCTACCTAAGTATTTTGCATATCTTCTTAAATGATAATATAAAAAATAATTTTGCCGAATTAATACAAGTATTATAAGAGTTTATTATTAGCAGTCTGAATACATAATTGTAGTTAGTTATTTAAGTTTTAGTTTATTTATTAAAGTATTATATAAATTTTTTTTTATTCATCAACTTTTGTTTCAAGATTAATAAATTTTATTTTATTTAGATATAATTAAGATGTAATAATTTTTTTTTTACACAATCCTCTATAATTAATAATAAATTGTCATTATTTCATTATATTCTTTGTACCATTAATAATTAAATGTGATGTTTTTACAAAGTGTACAATATGAATGTCAAGAAAAAAATATATATAAATATATCATCTATTATATAAATACTTTAAATATCAATTAATAAATTGTTACATTATAAATGAGTTATTTTGATCATTTTATATATGAAAAAGTTATATCATATCAAACTATTAACACAGTAAGCTGAATTTTTATTTAGAATTTTTATGAAACTTTAAATTAGAAATCTAATAGTTTTACAATTCATATTTCTTTTTAAATTAAATTCATTGTTCAAATACTTGATAAGATGAATCAATACATTTCTTCTTCAGACAGTTTCACGATATTGAAAAAACAATTCAAAAATATTTTATATTATATAAAGAGTTAAGAAGTAGTTCAAGTATAAAATTTTGGTGAAGAGAAAAATTTATTTCAAAAATGAAAGACACTTTTTTCCCCATAAAATTTGTATCAAGCGTTATTTGCATCTTTATCTCATATTTTTGGGAAATTTTGACAACTCATAGCTCCAAAGTCTTAAAATAATAGAGTTTTCAGTGCATATTTTTTTTTGTAAGATTTATTTATTCTTTGTGAAAAAATCTGAACCAAACTTGTCTGCTAACTTACATAATAGTTTTTTATTCACGACATTGATTTTAATTTCTTTGTTTTCAATTTTCCTTATCAACCTGCAAAGCATCACAATCTTCAGTCTTTCTTCAAAATTTCTCTATATGTACTGTTGGTATTGTCCTAAGTAAAATAGAAACTATTTGCTTTCTGGTCTCACTCATACTCATACTGTTGCCTGATATGACCTACATAGAACATAGACAATCTAAACTGGCATCACACTACTATGCAGATATATCATGAAATCAAGAATCAAACAAAGTTATCGAAGTATGTTCTTTTCAACCACTTGCATTATTCAATTAACTCTTAACTATATCTTTATGAGTATAATACTTATTTAATCACATAATTCTAGACTTGAGTTGTATGTCAAATATTGAGTGGTACTTAGTAGGATTCACACACTTATAAATATTAGTTCAATCACATAAACTTCATCAACATATTGTTTTTTACATCAACTGTGTAGGTATTGGTGCATATGAGACATGTGTCAATTGATTATTAGAGATTTACATAACGATGACATTCTATATCTCTAAAATAACATAAGAATCTTTTGTAGAAGCTCGTTATAGATAACTCAGCCTTGAGTAATCAACTTTAAGTGGCTTTAGTGTCAAGTATTCCCAAATCGATTAGCGATTTTACTGTGTATGCTATTCTTCAGCTATTTGATTACATATATTAACAATTGAGCATTTAAATTCATTACTCATTTGAGTACTTAAATAATAATATAATATAGTAATAACGGTGATGATTATGAAAATGTGAATCATTTACTAATAATAATACTTTCCAGAAGTAGTTAATTTAAGAGGGTCCATCAAGTAGATATGTAAGTCTATAGACAAGATTAGCATTAGAATAGATTATAAATATCTCACTACCTTTAGTTTGTTCTTCTCCTCTTCTTTGTTGGTCTTCTTTCTTAATTCATGTACTATACTGTTAACCATTTTCCTCCTTCTCTTCTTTGCAAATTATATTTAATATCTTGGATTCACCTACTGTCAATCAGTCCATGCACATTACTCAAGCAGTTATTTGTCATCACTGTACACAATCAATTTTTTATTTACTTTAAATATTTCTTTTAATTATTTTGATTGGTTTAATTTGATAAGAATTGATCATTGAAATAATTATTATTATGTGTACGTACGCATTTATAGTTATATAATTAGAACAAGTGATAATTTCGTCACAATATTACACAGCGAAAATAAACCTATACAGTTTAAAATTTTTTTTTAATAATTTTGTGTGAGTATTTTTTTAAAATTTTGTTATTGTTTAATTTGAAATTTTAATCATCAAATATAAATCATTTCATTTAGTGATAATTTATTATACTTGAGAAAATATTTTTCAAACCATTTCTTTAGAATGTTTCTTTTAGCTTTTTTTTTTCTTTGAATCGTCCTTTATTAATTGACTCAATTGAGACCATATTAAAAGTACGTTAATAATTCTTGTAATCTCTGAATTGGTTAATTATTTGTTGAAAAATCAATTGTGATTGAACTTATATATAAGAGTGGTGTCTCTACTAGTAGTAAATGACGTTGATCATCTCTGGTATCAAGTTCAATATCATTCTAAACATTAAAGTATATCTTAAAGTAATAAATAATATTTATAATAATAAATGATACAGTGACCTGAAAATAATAATAAAAATGAAGGAAGATTTGAACAATAAAACAAGAAGAGCGTATGATGTGGAAATAAATGAACGTTCTGCACTCAATCAAAAATTTGAATCAATTGATGATGTGTTGCCATTTGTTGGAAATTTTGGTAGATATCAATGGTATCTATTACTGGCCTTATTTCCCTACAGTATTGTTTATGCCAATCTTTACTTTTCTACATTTTTTCTCACACTTGTGCCTCAAGAATATTGGTGTTCCATTCCGGAACTGCAGGATCATAATTTAACCATGGAACAACGGTGAGAAAAATATTCACTCTATAATTATCAATAAGTCGCGGTAATTATCTTTCATTGCTTCAACAATAATGTATATTTAATTTATGCATACATGTGTGTATAATAATTTAATTTTATCGAGTCCAATGTTTCTTTTTGATACTGAATATCAATGAAATGAGTATTATTTTAATTACAATTATATTACTCTATATAGTGGTTTACAATGATGCAGAGTATGGATTATTTGTTTTTTTTTCGTTCAAAATTTTCGTATACTTTGATGAATAATGAATCAATAGTGGCAATTAATTTGTTTTAATAAATTTAAATAATTTTACTGATTTAAAATTTATAAATTTTTAATAACTTACTGACTTGTTAATAAATTGTGAATTCAATTTTTAAAATATTAAACTTTAAATATTGTTATTTAATGTTATATTTTAGGGTGGCAGCTACAACAGTTTCATCAAACAAATATCCTTACTATGAAAGATGTTATCGTAAAGATCTAAATTTCCATGAACTTCTTCAGCACAATAAAAATTTCCATTCAGACGAATGGAAAGCAAATGCAACAATTAAATGTGATAAATGGGAGTATAATCTTACACAAGTTCCCTATCGTTCAATAAGTAGCGAGGTGCGTTTGATTGAAAATTTAATGTATTTTTTATTAATGTTGATTAAATTAATTGATTATCAATATTAATTACTAATTTGTAAAATATTCAAGGACAATCACATTGACTTGTTGAAATCCTTTTTGATTAGCTAGACTGGGTATGTGATAAAGAGTACCTAATATCAAGTAGTCAAGCAATTTTTTTTTGTGGATCTATATTTGGTGCTTTCATCTTCGGTTGGATAGCTGATCACAAAGGCCGTGTACCAGCACTAGTTTTATGCAGTGCTGTTGCTTGTCTTGGTACAATAGCAACTGCATGGTCTACAAGCTTTTGGTCTTTTGCAGCATGTCGTTTTATCACTGGATTTGCTTTTGATAACTGTATCAATATACCTCTAATCGTAGGTAAGTTTTTACACTTTACTTATAGTTTCCTTTATCCGTATTGATGAAAAGAATATTCATATTTAAATTTTATTTTATAATTAATTAAATTTTTCTTTCAGTTGTTGAATATATGGCTGTTAATCGTCGTACTCTAGTGTTTAATATTGCATTTGGAATTCATTTTGCTTTAGGAAGCACCATTTTACCATGGGTGGCATATTATATTGCTGACTGGAGACATTTAGCATATATTGTTGCAACACCTATGCTCATTAATTTATTTACTCCATGGATTTTACCGGAAAGTGCTAGGTAGTAAAAACAATTAATATATATTTGCATACTTTCATTTTACTTACTTGTAAAAATAAAAAGTATTCTTATTAATTTCATAGAAATTACATTTAATTATTTTAGATGGTATGCGTCAACTGACCAATGGGATAAAGTTGTTGAAAATTTGAAACACATTGCTAAAGTAAATAAAAAAAATCCGGATCCTCGGATATATGAAACGTTTTTAGTATGTACAAAAATACTTTGAATATGTAATTATTTTATAAAAAGAATATATTTGTGTAAAAATGTTTAACTTATTGATTTATATTTACAGCGAAATGCTCAGAGAAATGTTCATAGTGAATCTGCAACACTTTTAGATTTATTTAAAACTCCACGACTTGCTAGGACAACTATTCTTTTAATTATTTTTTGGTATGTAAATTTGTAGTAATTGATAAATTTTCAAACACATTTAATGATATAAATATTCAATTAAATAGGACTCTGACAATTATTTGTTTTGATGGTCATGTTTACTCACTGAAGCTCCTGCAAAGTTCAGTTTTCGTATCATTTTCTTTGGCATCGTCCACTGAACTTCCTGCTGGTATACTAGTAACACTTATCCTTGATCGATGGGGGAGGCGATTTTGTGGATTCCTTACGCTTGGAGCTATTGGTATTTGTAGCTTTACTGAGCTTTATTCACCTTCAAGTAAATAAAATTCAAATTGATTAAAATTATTCGAAATTATTAGAAAAAATTATCAAAACTCACTATTAATCTTTTTTCAGCTGAAGCAAAATTAGCATCTTCAGTATTAGCCCGTTTTTCTGGTAATATGGCAGCTAATATAGGTCTTCAATATGCTGCCGAACTACTTCCAACACCAGTGCGAGCACAAGGAGTTGCTTTAGTACATTTATTTGGAATTTTTGCTCATGCTATAGCTCCTTATATTATTGATCTGGTAATATTACATTTAAAATTACTAATAAATATGGATCTATAATATTATTTATCAACTATTATTTTAATTTGTTGTAATAAAAATTTTAGGCAAACGTCTGGGAAGATCTTCCAATGATACTACTTGGTACATCTGCATTTATTACAGCAACTCTCGTTCTTTTCCTTCCGGAAACACAAGGCAGAAGTTTACCACAAACATTACAACAAGGTGAAGATTTTGGAAAAGATTCCAATTTTTGGTCATTTCCATGTTGTAAAAAATCTAATCTCAATTTTCATGACGATAATGAAAATTATACAATAGAATAATTTTTACCACTTGATTTCAAATTAATGCATATACGCGGTTGTTTGAAGCCAATCAATTTTCAATATCTTAAAAATTTTAATAATTTTAAAGTGCCTTAATTTGAATAATTAGTATACAATATTATATTAGTATTCAAAATTTATATTATAAATTTACAATAAACAATATTTTTACTCTATACATAAAGCTTTATACATACTGCAATAATTTATTATCTAGAGAAATTTTACTAGTTTAAAGTATAATTATTTATATTAATGTTTTTTATTTATACGACGCTTATTAAATATTGTGTAAGTACACAGACACAATTAAATCTTAAATGAATACTTGATTATTTACATTCAATATAGCTAAAATAATTATATATGCATTTATGAAATTTATCAATATACATTAATTATCAAAAAAAAATAAATTGAATTATTTTTCTAAATAATGTACAAAGTAAAACGAATAGTTAAACTATTGTTAAATATATTGCACAATATATAAATTAAATAACTATTCTTCAACTTTTTTAAATAAAAAATAATAATACATAAAATATGAAATTTTTTAAATCTCAAATTATTTCTATTTAATTATTGTTTTATGTCTTATCAAAATATATACAGTATTTATTTACTTAGATCAACCAAGTATTATATTTTGGCTAAAAAACTTTTATTATCACTATAACTTGGTAGATTCTATTTTTACAACACTTCCTGGATCATATCCAGCATTTTCTTTGCCAATTTTTCTCCTGTATTTTGGCTTCTTTTCATGTGATCTAGAATTTATTTTTTTTAGTAATGCAAATAAATTAAAATTCACAAATAATTATAGTTATCAAAATACTTACGATGATATGCAAGGTATCCACCAGAAGCTTTGCTCTTTTCCAAAATCATTACCTTCTTGAAGAGTTTCCGGCAAATCTTGGTCTAAAGTTTCAGGTAGAGTCAAAGTTAATAGGGCATCAGCTAATGATATTAATCCCAAAACAAGTAATGGCAGATCCCTTTGTATTTCAGCCTGAAGATAGGAAGTAAATGTATTAAAATATAAATTGAATATAAATAATAGTAGTATTTAAAATGAGTTCAAAATTTTTATTTACCAAGTATACGACGTAAGGTCCTATAATATGCGCAAAGTATCCTATAATATGAATGAGTGAAACTCCCTGGGCACGAACAACTGTTGGTAACATTTCTGCAGCATACTGGAAACCAATATTGGCGGCCACATTGACACCTAATCGAGCCATGATTGCCATAGCTACTTTAATAGTACCTGTAAAATAATTTTATTTTATATTAATGATATGATTTTGTAAAAATACCTTGTAGAAAGTTAAATATACCTTCAGGAGTGGCTAGTGCAACAAATGAAAAAATTCCACAAATTAACATGGATGCAAAACCCATCCATCTACGACCCCATTTATCAAGGAACAAGGCCAATAGCACAGCTGCTGGTAGTTCTGTAAGAGATGCTAGTGAGAATGATGTAAATACATCACGATGTAGTAGTTTCATGTTCCAGACATGTCCATCGAAGGTTAAAACCATTAACAACCTTGAAAAAATTCATAAAGATACAATTCTATTATATTTTAATTAATCTAATATGAAATTTTTTTATAATTACCAATAAATAACAAGGACTATAGTAATTCGAGCTAATCTAGGCTTTGTGAAGAGATCAAATACTGTGTAATTATTTAATTTCTTATCTCTTTCCATCATTACATTACAACTCTTCTCGAATTCATCATAAATCTCAGGCTTAACTTTTTTACCATTAACTTTTTCAAATTTTTTCAACATTTCAATAGCTTTGTCAACCTTTCCAGCCATCAGGTACCATCGAGCACTTTCAGGTGCAATCCAAGGCCCTAGAAATGCAGTAATCAAGGGTAGTGCTGTTACCCAACTTAACATTCTCCAATCAGCTATCCAGTAGGCTATCCATGGCAATAGACCGGCAGCAGCAGCAAAGTACAATCCAAAAGACATATTGGCTACAAGTGTTCTATATTTTGGTCCAACGTATTCAATAACGATGATGAAAAGTATGTTGAAACAATTGTCAAATGATGTTCCTACAACTAATCTGGCAAGAGCAAATGTCCAAAAGTCATTACAAAATGATGTTGCAATTGAGGCAAAGAATCCAACTGCATTGCAAGATACCAAAGCTGGTATTCTTCCATAATGATCAGCAATATATCCAAATATTAGACCTCCAATTATACTGCCGATAAAAAAGGCTGATTGAGCTGCTGATGAAAGATAGCTTTTATCACATACCCATTCGAGCTAAAATAAATAAAAATAAATTATTAATTACTTAAATAAATGTTGAAACTTTCTTATAAAAGTGTATTCCTTATTTTCGATTACTTGATATAATATTTAGGTTTATATACCATATTAGTATCTCATTAAATATTCATTTTATTTTATTGTTTGACTCAATATGATTTAATTAAAATCAACTCAAGCGTTACTATTGTATTATAAATGATAGAACTTTAGTATAAAGAATTAATTAGATGTGAAATTAAATACATTAAAAATAAGACTGATAGTAAGTAAAAAAATTTAACAACATACAGGTCATTATCTTGAGAGGTGTTAGTAGATACTACTATCATTCTCTATTCTCCTTGACTATTTTCATCAATGGTTTGAAAATAAATAAAATGTGTCGAACATTTTTCTCAGAATGACACTTAAGTTGAAAGTTGCCAATGTTAATTATTTTAAAAAAATTTGAAACATTATAAATAAAAAAATTTTGTATCTTTTAACATTAAAAATTGAAGGATCCTTGAACAATCTAAAAATATCTCTGCAGGTTGAATTTGTTTTTTTTTTTAATTTAATCAATTTTTTATCAATTACCTCAGATGCAATAGATGCATATGGTATGGAACTATAATTAAAATTCCAACCATATTGGCAAGGTATTCTACTCCATGACGAATTAGCCTCTCTTATTCCGGATTCCCATAAGGCCGTAAAGTTTTGATCATACATTTCACATTTTAAATAATCAAATAAACCTTCTTGAGCCTCTTTCTCGTTTGCACGTGGAATAGATAGCCGCAATCTATAGAAAAAGAATTTTTTTTTAACTGATGGTTTTACTTTTGTTTAAGTGAATGAATAAAATTCAATGATAGGTTATTTATTACAAAGCCACATTTATGACGTTGCTCAGGACAATGTCAAGGTTAGACTATGTCAAGATCAAGGTCGTACGGTTGCCCACTAAAGACACATACATTTACATTTAACACATAAAAACATGTCCATATTGTTAACAAGAGATCTATATGATAATTTGTCTTTAATAAAAAATAAAAATAATGTTTCAAGAAATAAAGAAGAATCTTGATAAATTATAATAGATTAAGAGAAATATGCAAGTTTCATAAACAATTTTATCTAATCTTTTGTCAGATTAATTCAAATTGACATAAAAAATAATTGCTCTAGACATAAGATAAGATGTCTTTCAAAAAAGTTTAAAGTACAAGGATGCTAGTTGGCTAACTGTTAATAAAGAATTTATATTTCTCTTCTCATTTCCCTTCTTTCTTGAAAGGTTTAAATGATAAAATGTGATGAAATAAAATTTGAGAAACTATTAATTTATTTTTACTTTGTAACAATTATAATAAAGTTGTGTTGATATGAGTAATGTCCAGAACAACTTTCAGAACTTCCAGGAACTGTATTAGAATGAAATGACAAGGTAAAATACCTCAGGGCATTTTTAATTCTTGTTGTGTAGACATGTTCATTTTATTATTATAACACTTATTAGAAATAAAATATAATCTCGATGGAAAAATGAAATGAACAATCAACTATATGCTATATTTGATTGATTATGATTTAGTATTAATAAATGGTTCAACCTTGTAAACTTACTTTTCATCATCAGTGATATTTAATTTGTCTAAATCCGGTACTTTACACCAATGCTCATTAGGCACCAAGGTCAAAAAAAATTGTGTAAAGTACAAAAAAGCGTACACGAAGGTGAAGGGTAAAAGTATGATGAACAGAATAAGTTGGTAACGGCCAGCTTCTCCAACATACGGCAAAATGTCATCGAATGTTTCAATTTTTGGACGAGTTTCACCTTCTTCGGCCTTGGTTGCTGCTACCGGTGGTGAATCTACTCCTACTGTCATTTCTTAATCTGTGGAGAAATATGTATACATATTTTCTGAATATCAATTTATTCATTAATATATTTTTTAATTTAATATACTATCAAATAAGAAAAGTAATCTCATATATATTTATTATAAAAAGACTAATTAATCAAAAACTTGATTAATTTTATTTGAAATAATTGAAAAAGAGATCAATTTGTTGGATGTCCTTTTCAAATAATAAAATAGTTTAGATAAATTTTAATAAAAATTTTCTTTATGGTTAATTTTTCAAATTAAAATATTTATACTCACACTCAATTCTATCTAATTTCATTTAATAAAATAAATAATACATTTAATAACACTATTATCACTGATCTACAAAAAATCGATGTCTCTTCATTAATAATCAATCATAAACAATTAATATAAGTCATGATGAAGCATGTAAAAGTTTGAGTTATAATACAATTAATCCAAACTCTTGAACAAAACAATAATTAAACACTTGATTGTAACAATAGTACATACACTAAATCTTAAATATTGTCTAATACTGACGAATCAATTCAAGATCGGTATGTCTTTTATAGCTTTTTGCGACGTAAATGAACCGACATATAATGAACATAGTTGATACATAAGTCCCCTGTCCCCACTATAAGATAAAGTCTACTGTTTTACTTCTCACAGTGTAAAGTATAGTGTGGAATAAAAACAAAAATACTGGGACCTACTGTATATTCATCGGTCATTCTTATTGGTTGCCACTAACCAGGATTACCCTTGACGTCATTCGAGAGTTTCAGTTAAATCAGTTAACCGGCTAGTATTTCCCATACTTGAATCGTCTTTTATTAGTCAACTTGTTATATTAATTTAAAAATTATTTAACAATATAATTTTATAAATATTGTTGATAACAATATACTAAATGCAATGTTATTTTTCAAAGAATTTATAGAATGCGACTTATCGTTTTTATTAAAATTTTTCGCATCCATTATTATCTATAATTATCACATTTTTGATATTAATTTCGCTATTAACGATAAACAACATGATTGTTGACAAAAAACAAACCAGAAAAATGTGTGTGTTTTTTTAATGAAATACTGAAGAAAATAATTTTCCGGCATCTTATGTCGAATGAATAAAATGTTTATGAAGAAATGAATGCAAGGTTGAGTCTATTACATGTGGTTAGTGCTTTTTTTACGTATTTTTTTTTTTTAAATAATCTTATATTCATTGGACTTTTATGTTTTATTTGATTAACAATTGTCAGAAAGAATCAACGTGAGAAAAAACAATTAATTAATGTGATTGCATTAATGTTCTATTGTTAATAGTATTGTTATTCTTCTTATTTTCATCATGATCTTTTATCTTTTGATTAACGTGAGATGTTTGGAGTAATCTTAAACAAGTGAAGTAAATTATACAGTCAATGAAGCATAACCATCAACCTCGGGCTCATGGACTTGAATATTAAAATGTTATGAGGAAAGTAAAAAAATAATGTAATTTAGTAAGTCTAACCAATTGAAGATGATTATTATAAATGATATTTTTATTATATATCCAAATATTATATTTAATCTTTATTTTCAGACGAATATCTTCGATATAAAAACAGTGAACATAGGGAACGTATTTTTTCTGAAAGAAATATTCCTTCCTATTGAATGCCTTAAAGAGAAATTTCAATTTTAATGGTAAAAAATTAAGTAATGATAGTATTTATCGAAAAAGACTTTCTTCAAGATAATATTGTTCAAAGGGAAAGTTTAAAAGCTAGTAAACTTTCATGCTACCGTAATGTTTATCATAAGATCTACAAAGCATTCACAAAGATGTTAGTATTGCAGTAGAAGTACATAATGCTTATTAGGAAATCGATAATACTCACAGATAAGTAATAAATGACTGACAATTAAGAGATAAATATAATTAGTCTCTTTTGTTATAGATGAATCATAATATGAAATAGTAAAATTATACTTAAATTCGTGAAATAAGAATCGATTTAACTTATTACCATTGTGATTAAAGTTATTATTACATAAAAATAAAGAATATCCGGTCTTAAGAACACTGAATCAAGGATCCAATTAGTTCTTATTTTTCGCACTTTGATATTTATCCATGAAGGACGTTCTTCTTGGACGAATCTGATCATATTTGAACTGCATACATATATGAACACCAGTACTTTAATTCATTTGATACTGATCATATAAAAATACAATGGATTACTTCTACTCATAAATTTTATGAACTTGCTCAAATTTTTTCTAGTCCAGCAAAAAATCAATAGCCTTACGAATACCATATATAGACATCAATCGACATTTACTGGTGTTAAAGATATAATTTAGTAACTTGTGTCATCAGAAATCACATTTAAATCGGTTAAATCAATAACAATAATAATAATAATAATAATAGTTTGTCTATCCTTATATAAGACCTGTCAAGATAGTTTAACTTAATTTTCAGGTTTTCATGATTTATTTAATATTTAAATTTATTACTGCTAACTGTCGAGAATATAATTAACTTATTAACGAGAATTAATGTTTTAAGTATCTATATTTTAAGTGAGCTAACAGGTTTTGTGTAATTAAAATTCTCAAGCAGAAAATGCAGGAAGAGACTAAGATATGACAATCGATTTTGCTCTAAACGACATACAATTTAATCAACTTAACACAATATTGAGTAATCATTAAGTAAACAAAAAACATCAGGTGTAATTAAATAAAATTAAACTATTTTTAACAATTATATTGGAAGTATTTTTAGTTGTAAAAAAATAAATTTGTTTCGTGTTAAGGATATGAAATTAGATCTGAGAAATCTTTAAAAAATAAAAGAATAATTACCAGTTATTTATGAAATTATTATTATGTAAAAATTTTATGCTAAAGTAAGATAAATTTAATTCTGATCAATTGATAAATCGGCATATCTATGACTCTGTTCACTTGAAAACACTTAAGCATATTTAAGAACTCACTCGACTGTGAATTAACCAACAATTGTCACACTCAATGAATCCTATATACAACGAATGTTAGTAAGAGATGGGAATAAAAATGAGAGTAGTACATATTAATACAATTGAATTGGTAGTGATAATAGACCAATTTAAGTGATGTGTATCATAACAGACAATCACTTTTATATATGATATGATATGATATTATCCACCACCCAATGACACCGACAATTTGTCAGTTATATTTATTTGTTTGTAATTGTGTGACTATAAATTTTAATTATATGTTAATGTTAACATAATACTTAACAACAAACTGTGTTATATTTCAAAAGAAAATTTATGTTAATGCAATACATGATTAATATCAAATATGAGTGATGAAGATATCTAATAATTAGATCGTTGAATGTAAATATATGAATTAATAATAATTATATTCAATTGTAATCAGGATGAAAAACAAAACTGTCATCAAATTTTTTATCAACAAGTTTTTTAATATTTTTAAGAGATTTATATTTTTAATTACACCGAGCCTACGATATCTATTATATCATTTAAAATGTCTTTTATTATAATGATTATATGATCTTTTTATTTTTTAAAAACTTTACGTTATATTTAGATAAATTTTTTTTTTATCATGAGGAGCTTACTACTTTGAACAAATATTCATAAAAAAGTAATAAAATGTTCTCCAAATGTTATCAAATTAGTATTTTATAAGCCTGATAAGAACACTTTTATTATTCTAGAAGATAATTTAAATTTAAACATAGTTTGCAGTCTTATGAAATACTAGTTATATTAGTTTGATAAAAATAATATCTATTTGCTTAAATAAGCTTTTTTAAATTAACGTTATGTTCAATTCATTAATCAACAAATAAATTTACTAAACATGGGAGACATGAAGGACACTTAATTAGTTGATAAAGATTTAAATCGAAATTTTAAAGCACCATAAAATGTCCTTTAATGACACAATTAGAGTGACAAATTTGTTATTTATTTAGAATCATATTGTAATAATAATAATAATAATAAAAAGACAAAGGTCTATGTAATGATGCAACTTGAAATGTGAAAGAAAATTAAAAAAAAATTTCTGAACAAAGAAAAAACATAAAATCTCTTACATTCGACAGTTTCTGTTGTATTTCTCGATGATAATTTGAAATTACTGTGCCAGTACCAAGTGTACTAGGCAACGAATCTCTTATCACTCTGTAAAACTCATCCACACCGACTAATTTTTAACTAAACAATATCACCCAGTATGTAATGCATTGCGAGATATTGAAAGTTAAAAAATGTGCAGAGTGCAACCTTCTCGAGGACCCTGCAGAGTCTGCACTACGTTACAACATTGAACTTCTCTTGCATCAACTCCTTGCTTTAATCATCAATCTCATCACACTTATCTCAGAGAATACGTAGGGTACCCGTATATCTAAATAGTACACCACGTGTATACTTACTACTTATATTTTATATATAAAAAAAACTACAATTACCATTAAAAAAAAAACTCACACATACACTTAATTATGCAATTACACTCATAAATAATTATGTTTATATTATAATTATTATACATTGCTTTTCTTTATTTTATCGAATAAGTCGAGGTAATAATTAAATCAGTATGCGGTAATATTAATCAGAGTGTCATGATACAAACAGGTATTCTCGATCATTAAAATGAGCATACAATTTTGATTTATTTTCAATTATTTCAATACACTATAACATTTGAATTATTTATCATCAAATTTTAAAAATAATTATTTATCTGAAAATACTATTTTTCTACAATATTTTTAAAATAAAAATTTTTTCAGAAATACTCATACACATATTAAAAATTTTATAAATAAATTTAATTTAAACAAGTTATTTATTAAATTTTTTTTCATACGTTTTAATGTGTTTTTTTTAAATTATCCAAATAAAACAAATTTTTTAAAATAATAAATTCAGATGATTTAACTAAAAATAATATGATTGATTATTAAAAAGTGATTGTCGCCAATACTAGATTAACGTTATCATAAAATATGCATTTAGTTTATAACTAAGACCTTCAATTATAAATAAATTTATTCGGTATTATATTGTATTATTAATTATTTCAATAAACACATTCAATTATTGAAGTAGTCAATTTAATATAATAAAAATTTGATAATTCTTAATAACTGAATTTAATAATATTGTGTGATGGTAAAACATTATTATATATCGATTGAATTGATTGCTTAATATTGTATGTATGTAATAATAAATATTTATCGCGATAAATCGGTACATGTACTATATTATTATTAAAATAAAATACGGGTAGTAACTATGCCAGCTAAATATGGGAGATAAAGGAGGCTGGTACTCTATTGTATAAAACTTGCGAAGATGGATGTAACATAATGAAAATAACTGGTTCTAGACCCTTTAGTATTAATTAATAGAATGTATAATAATATTTCACATATCCTCTTCTTCTCCATATTTAACTAAAATCAGCACTTACTGCTTTCATTTCATGGCCTTCATGACCTTCTACTGCTTGACATAAATATTCTCTTGAACTTACAGAGTTTTTGTTCACTTCACGCAAGAGGAAAGTTGCAAAGCAGGTGGAATTTCCAGAATGATACAGCCTTCACTAACCCGGATTTGTTGTGTATTACTCATTCTAATCTTAAACAAAGTTCATTCAAATATTTATGAATATGACATCTGTTGATTTTAATTATCACTCTTGTTATTGATATTATAAAATTCGAATGCTAAACAATTATAATTAATTAAAAAATACTTAATAGCTAGTATAATGACAGTTAGTGATCGATTTATATACTAGTTAAATATTTAATATTTTTCATTTAATTTTCTAAATATATTCTGCTAATTCGTAGGCATGGTAAATGAATTGGAATTCAATCAAATGTTTATAATTTAACCATGAATTAATTGCTACTGCCTTATAATTGAATTATAAATGAATTCTAAATTAATAAAATATAATAATTGTTGTTTATAATAAATAATATACGGTTGTAAGCTGATATAATAATGAAGCTTCCAAAGCGTAACGTTGACTTAAAGTTTGTACAGAATCTGAAGCTGTAATAGAATGTGAGTGATTGGTGGTAAAATAATCAAAACGAAATGTCAAATCACAGGGGGATTGACTGTTATTTGCTAAATTGTGTATTCGCGAATTGTTATTGTACTGTCCTCGGCACAAAAATTAACTTCAATTATTATGATGATGAACTTAACTCATGAGTAGTGGTTAAATGATGATAAAATTCTTGATGCTTCCTGATCAACATGAGTTGATGGACATTTTTAATTGGTTGCACTACACTACATGCTAATAAAATTCCCAACTAATTACCTTTACATTTATTCTATTCTATACATATTAAATTTTAACATGAAACACAAATCGATTAGTATTAAAATTAGAAAATTCATATAAATAAAATTAAATATCAATAATAATTATAATAAAAATGCTCAAAGGTTTTAGCTATTTTTTATATATGTATATACTATATTTTTGTGTAGACTTTATTAATGGCTTATAGCATTAATAATTAGTTTATAAAGTTTTTTTATATGAAATAAACTTTTTATAGTACCCATTTATTTAAATACTGTATTTGTATTTTGTTACAGGCAGTATAAATCAGAATTATTTAATATACAAATCATTGTTAATTTGTATATGGCTTGGATGAATTAATACAAACGATTCTCTTCTGCCAACGTATAAATCAGTTGACGGGGACGACAGGTATGTATGTATTTTGCAGTAGGATAATAGTTTGGTATATTCAAGTCTATTTAATATTCATTATCTTCATATTCATGAGTATTTATTAATGAAAATTAATCGCAGTTTATGCTATTCAAAACCCAAATTATTTCCAATTCCATTTTTTACTTATTTTTAACAGAAAATTTATTAAACGATTGAGACATTGATCATAAGTAGTTTTCTCAAAAGTTCATTATGATATCTATTAATATATTTAATTAATTAGAGTAAAGTATTAATTGAATTATTGCAATGTGATTGGAGCACATTTAGCGGGATAATTTATTTATCCAAGGCCTTCTTTTAACAGCAAATTTACTTTGTATTCATTGAAATACTGTTACGGCATTTTCTTTTATTCACTTTATATACTTTGTTTTTATTAATTAATTATATATTTTTTTTGTAGATTTTCTTCCAACTAGATATAATTTTTGTTATTTCTTTTTCAATGTAATGTATTATGTTTAACATATTATTTACTCTATTATTTATTATCTAGTGAGATAACAAAAAAAAACATTTATCTACTCCATTCAGTATTATAATAATTATTTTTATTATATTAGTATTTGTTACTTTTCTTCTCAATTAATATATGCCTACTTTGTCGTATAATGTATATATTCTCAAATACGACATTTTTAAATATATTTATTTCTGACAAATCAATTCTGAAAATTGTGACAATTGAGTATTTACAAGTACAATGTAGATAAAGTCATTTTATTTGACACATAGTTATAGATGGTTGATTTATATATTTTATTGAGAAAACTACAACATTGCTTAGTTTGCATCTCACAGCCTAGAAGTCATTTTAATCCACATGACACTTTGTTTTTAATTTGAATTACTTTTTTTATATAACAGAAATTTAATTCGGTTTATTAACTAAATAATTCAATCAACAATAATTTTTTCAATTTTTCTTTTTTAATAATTTATAATACATATTTATATTATACAGGATTTTTTAAATGAAAAAAACAATAATAATTGTGCATTAAAAAAATAATATTTAAAGAAATAAAAATAAAAATTTTTTTTTTTTATCACAAACATACCAAAAAATGTATCATAATAAGAAATATTATTAGTTCATTAACAAAAATAAAATTTTCTTCCGTCTTAAAACAAATTTTTTGTCATATTCTCTTATTTCATAATAGATCTATTTGTTTCAATTAGAAATATTTGTTTAGAGTTTATTTTTCTATGATTTTAAAATTGCACATAAATTATATTTATATATATTTTTTTAATTATATAGATATTAGTATTCTGAAAATATATAAACTATAATAAAAAAAAAAACATAATAATAATCAAATGTACATGGCAACATTATTTTTTAACGATAGAATATAATTTATTCATAAACCTTCATATTAATCTATGTCAGCTTTGCTAATTAGAATACTTGATTTTTTTGTTACGATGCAGCAGTGAAATTGAATGCATTTATAATTATCCGTTGCTTACAATCGTATGTTACTTAAGATCCACTTTAGTATCTATACATAAATATTAGCTATTTAAAATTTCAGTTATTTATATCCTACAGAAGGACTGAAAGGAATTCATTTTACACTCACAAATGATACTTTACAACAAATGTGTGATTGATAGTTTTAATACCTTATTCATTAAAAGTATTATAAATTCTTTGAATAATGATGTCATATTAAATAAAATACATCAATTAAATATACGTTAATTACTATTGCAATGTCTTTTTTCTCATTACTTCCAGTATTAAAAAAAATAAGTGTAACCAATATATTAAATTTTTGACATTTATGTTGTAAAGAGTTATTTTCATTCTTTTCTATTAATATTTGTTAAATTTATTTGTTTTAATGATTTCAGATAATATTCCATTTAATGATTATATGTATCATGTTTAAATTTTCATAACTGATATCTATATAATGTACTTTCGAGTTTCTATAAACTATTCTCTTAATTAAACTGTGCACTTTACATCAACCTGTGAGAGAATTCACTATAGAATTTTTTAAATTTATCATCAATCAAAAAAAAAATTTCATATGTAATTAGTCACAATATTTTCACAATTCTATAGAGAATTAATTAATACAAACACCAATTAAGTTGACAGTATAGTTCCTATTGAATGAAACAATGAAATTTTTATCACTACAAAACATTCTCATTTTTTTTACTCTTATTTATTAATCAATATATTCTGTTATTTGCATTCTTTCAAGTTAAAAAGATTGATTTGATCACGAAACTAGTACCTGTTTATTAATATGTTTTTATATATAATGTAGCGAATGATAATCAAGATTAGTATATATAATTTAATTTAACATACATTCGCGTAATGTTAAATATTCCTTTAATATCTAATAGAAATAAATAATTTTTAGATGATGCATATTGCATTCGTTATCATTATAATTAATTTACAATAAGAAAAGGCGTCTGGTTGCTGTAGTATCATGTCGGCTTTCTTATTCTCACATAATTTTATTATATTATTCTTGATTCTTGTTGAGACCAAATAGGCCTTAGACCGTACTTTAATTAAGTTCTTAATTAAAAAGTCCTCCAACGAAATACATTGAGATATAAGACTTTTTTTCCGAAGAACAAAATAGATAATTTGATTTGCATAAACATCAGTCCAAAATTTTTGAAAAATTAACAGTTATTTTCAGACTAATTTTCATTAATTAATTTTTTTATATCTATTCATATACTCTTTTATACATAATTAAAGGTTTCCATTAATCACTTATAACATTAGATTAACTATTAAATTCTATCGAGCGAAAAATATACTAATTAATAAAAAATTAATTTGATATCAACTGAAGAAACATTAATTAACTGTTTTCGAGTAGTACTCAATATAATATTAATCGAAAGTTAATTACTATAAAAATATTTGTCACTCAAATGCATATGAGTAAAGAAACAGTATGTATTATTATTTCTCTTTTCTTATGGCACTTAATAAAATCTTTCCAAATAGTTAAGTGTTTAACGTGACCCATGTTTATGTCTAGAATATATTTTATTACATGTCTACTACATTTCTATGATCGTAAAATATTATGTAGAAAAAATGAACCTACGACAACGCCCGTGATTAAATGCGAAGCATTTAAAAAATGTTTTGGCAGTGATTTCGTAGATGCTTCGTTTTTAATCATGAATCGAATTTTGATTTTTATCTCAATGAGATACATAAAATACAAAGGATAAGAGTATGGTAAAATGGTAGTGTCTTTTTTCTTCTTAACAAAGATCGACTAGTTTTATCAGATTGCCTAGGAGTCTCCGATGTATTTTCATTTCTTTACTCTTTTTTTGTTTTTTTTTTCAATTTTTGAAATAGATTCCTTCTATTACATGTCTGTCGAAATGAAGCTTGTCACACATTACATTAATATTAATCAGTGATAAAATTATCCGTAACTTCAGACTCGTTTTTTTGTAGAGCGATATTCGTGACAAATTCTAACAAAGAGTGCATTACCTAACATATATTTTAATTATTTTTATTTTGTGTCATTTTATATCTTTGGAATCCACTCGAAGGAAACTTATCCTTGGCACGTTACTTTGGCATTATCATCGAAGCTTGTAACTTGTTTAGATATTACGAGGCCAGCAGTCAATGAAATTTCCATTGTAATCCTCGAGCATTCTTTATTTTTCTTACATGTTTATTCTGTTTTTATCGTACTTGAATAACTGAATTATTAAATGAAATTCTTTTGGAATATGAAACAAATGTATCAGTAGATTTTGAAAGACAAAAGTCATATCTATTTAATCGCATTAAGTGGCATTGGAGGAGCCAACAATAGCGTTGTGATATTAGTTCTATGTTGACAAATATCAAAGAAATTGAATTGTAAAATTCATCTTGTTCTATTAATTTTATATTCTTGCTGTTTCTAATCCTCGTCAAGTCACTTCACGAATACATTGTAATAACTTCGCGTCCGGCACCATGCACCATTAATACTTTTTCCAAACTCTCTGTTAAAACCTCAAGGAATTCCATATCTGTTAAAAAATATTAAGGAACAATAATTATTTTAAAATATTCATTTTAAATATTCATAGCAATGAAAATTGTATTAAAGGATCATTCAAGTCTGTAGCTTGGGACAATGAAAATAGCTAATGGAATTAAATATTATATAAATTGGATATTGTTAGTAACTTCAAAAGAGTATGATATAAAATACGTGGAAAAAGATAAAATAATTAAAAATGATAGAAAATGTTTAATTAGAAAAAATTTTAAACGTATTATGTTTTTAATAAAAAATTAATATAAAGAATAAATAAATAATTTGAAATGCATGATTTTTAAATAATAAAAAGTAAGGATACAGTTTGATTCCCGTTCCAATTTAGTGTCTCTTGGAGGACCAGGAAGATTCAGTATGACTAATTGAGCGTCATGACTCTTGTTGACTATAATCTCGTTCAGTTTTACTGCAGTATGCATACGTCTAACATCATCTTCATCACTAAAAAATACAAAAAATAATTATCAACCACTAAAAATCATGAATATGTTTAATTGTTCAAGTATTGATTAAAAAAGTTGTTATACTTACGGTGTGATTGGTGGTCTAGAGTTATTAGGTGATGTACCACTTTCAGACTTCTCAGTAACTTTTTCTTTTGATTCTTTGTCATCCTTTTCTTTAGCTTCATCTTGACATTTAGCTTCTGTATTATCTTCATTACTCTCGGTATTTTCATTTTCTTTTTCGGTATTTTCTGGTTGAACAAGTTTTTCCTGAGCTTCATCAGTTCCACCTGATGACTGTACACCTGGTTCCTGGAACCTTACTTTTGTTGCTGTCTTGACATCGACATTGTGATGATGATCAACAACTGCTTGTACCTAAAGACAATGAAATAAATATTAGAAAATATGAATAATCCAAGAATTTTATTTGAAAAAAGTTTATTATTGATAATGAAATAACAAAAATTGAATGTTCGATGATATTTGGTTGTTGTTTGAATAAAATTGATGAATGCAGAATGGACTTAAAAGCTGTATGAATGATGAAAAAAAATACAAAAAATATTTAATTGAAGCTTGACAGATGAATGTGCTACTAGAGCTGCAAAAAACGAATCTGGCGAAAATTTAAATGACATAGATTAGGAAGATGAATTTGAAATGTGGGATTAAGAATTTGATTTGTTGTGATGTGGATGTTCTATCTGACAAACCAGAGGTAATTTTTCTTCGGCGAGTACCTCGTTGAATTCCACCACAGACGGCACCTTATCCATGACGAGCGGAGGCAACAGAGAGATATTTATTTATATGTACATACGTTTATATAAATTTATAGAGCAATTAGCATTAATCTTTACATGTCACTATTATCATCATCATTAATTTCAATTACGATAACTCTTAGTAATACACGTATAATTATTAGTTACTAGAGTTAAATTTTTTCATTGGAAATAAAACTTTTTCATACCGTTAACATCAATACTTACCAATCCTAGTGACTCTTTTTTATTGAGTCGCAATTCCCGCAACATTTGATTTCTTTGTTCCATCACTAAAGTTCTTTCGACTGTATAAGCTGAAATATCAGAGTCCATCTAAAATGAACATCATTTTAAAATTAAAAAGAATAATATAAGAATTTTTAATTTTAATATAATAGTAAGACTAAAAATTGATACCATTTCCACAATTTCAATCTCTCCATCGATTCGCAAATTGTATAACAACTTTTTAAGATCCTTTTTCATTTGAATAGAGTTATCTTCCATTTGTGCCACAGTAAAAATTCGCATTTTACAATTTTTCCAAGTACGATGTTGTTTAAGTAAGAAGGGTAAAAGCATGAGAAGTCCACCGTCATGTACCACCCACCAGACGTCAATGTAACCAACAACTTTCTCTGTTGAATCCGGGAAAAAGTTTATACCTTTTGGCACAAGTAAGGCCATTCGTGCGGTAGTGACATTTCGTACAGCTTGAATAAAAACTCTCCATGTTTTGTCGTCATTGGGCTCACGCCAACCATAAGGCCAACCAAGTATCACAGTATTGGGTTTCATTCCACCAAGACCAGTTGTTTGTATTAATGCACTGATACCGTCAGTTCTATCGCGTGCTACAAGTACTTCAACAAATCCTTTAACTTTCTCTTCATCGGCTATTTTACGAAGATTTTGTTTAGCTGCGAGAACTTGTCCAGAATTTTTTGTATAATCACCTTCAATACAACTAACACATACAGTTAATCCCCTTCCAGCTTTCAATTGGCTTGCAAAAGCAAATAATTTACGATATTTAGGCATTAGTGTATCTGTGAGCTTAACAAAGATCAGAATTTGTGGACGCCAGTTTTTGGTATGAGGTGGACCTTCTTCTAGTTTTAGTAGTGAATATCTAGCAGCTGAAAGTGCTAAACCACGTATTCCATCACCCCATTCTTTTTCAGCACCACGGTATTCGATATATTTGTATATACAGCCGGCCATTCCCATCGCAAGTAAAGCATAGTACCAGCTGGTCATGAACATGATAGCGATACATAGGGATAATCCAATGAAGGATAAGCTCCAGTGGTAGTACTTGAAACGTGGTCGCCAATTGGGAGTTTTTAGGAGAGTTTGTAGAGCACAAGCCAAATTTACAAAACCGTAACACATCAAGAAAAACATGGATAGTAAAGGTGCTAGATAATCAACATTACCCAGAAGTATACCACACTGACATATGATGACAGTGAGAACGAGTGCCCGAGTTGGTTCTCCACGACTCGAGCTTACTGCAAATGGTGTTAAGAATGGTATTATTTCATCCTTTGCTATAGCTTGAAGTAATCTAGGTGCTCCTGTTAGAGATTGTAGTCCAGCTCCCAATGTTGATAAAAATGAACCAATGAGAATTACCCATTGATTCGGCCAGGCAATGTTTGCTACTACTAACTTGCCACCAATACTTTGCCCAAACTTGTCTCGGAGTAATAAATTATCCACAGTACCGGCAAATAGTAAAACACTTGATAAATAAACTGTCGACGTTGTTAGTATAGCACAAATTGTACCAATTGGAATCGATTTTTGGGCATCCGCCAAGTCTCCCGATCGGTTGGAACCAGCCATTATACCTATTAATTCATTATTTTTATTTATTTATAAATTAATGAATCATCAATCTAATTTTTTATATATAGGTAAATTGTTATCATTGTGCATTAAAGCTCTTCAATCGAGAATGAATAAAAAATGTATATTTGAAGCAATTTTTAGTACGATTATATTGATAATAGAAAACTTATATTTACCTGTTACGGATGGAAAGAAAATACCGATCAAAATGGTGAATGCAGTTGTCAAATCATTTTGAATAAAATTGTAAGATGACGGAGTCATTTTATCAATATCAATTGGATCATTTCCGTAAGAAATATACTGTCCTTGTTCTTGAAAACTACCGAATAAATTTTCTAAAAATATAAAAAAAAATAATTTTTTGTTTCTTTCTCTGCAAGTCAAGATCTTATAGATCATTATTTAATTTAATTTTACCTAGAAAAACTCCACTAGCAAGTCCTCTAATACCAGTGACAAGTGATACATTATGGGTATTGTAATAATCATCACATATTCTAGTTTGGTTATTACAGAAAATGTTCCAGAGAGTTCCAGATTCATTTTTGTGACATTCACTGTTTTCAATATCTTTCAACAAGCGTTTACCTAGTACGCAAATTCTATGAACAGAATTGATTATATGAAAATGGGTTTGAGTAAAGAGATGAGTAGTGAATATATATGCACTGTGAAACTTACTTAAGAGATTCGTTGCCATTGATATTGGTAAAGAGACCCACATAAACCGCTATTATAGAGAATATTACGCAAGCGAGAGCAACTCCAGCAAATTTGTTGACGAACTTAACTCCAATAAAAACTATGGTACCCATTACCACAAGTAGACCAGTACCGTAAACTCGGAAATTGTTGTACATGATGTTCGGATCCTTTGTAAAGTCTCCAAAGATGCTGAGCGATGGTGCCATATATGTCTGAAATAATTAAAACAACACCAGTGGTTTATAGCTACATTTATTATCACAGTAAAGAAGTAAAAATAACTGAATAATAAAAAAAAACAATGTACCAAGACTATTTCAACTGCTCCAATAATGTACATAGCAGCAGCTAACGTGGTACCAGTGTAGAAAAGCATACCCACAGCACCACCAAATTCAGGACCAAGACTTCTTGATATCATGAAATAAGAACCACCAGCTGGCACTACACCATTGGTAGCTATTGCACTCATACTGATAGCTGTCAACATAGTCTATCAAATAATTCATTATGCATTTTATGTTTTTCTTTAGTTTCTGCAGGGTAAGATGTTTTCAAGTAAAAGTACCAATTAATGATTTTATCTTCATCAATAGCTTTTGAGAACTGGGCCAATATCTTAGGCAATGAAGGTCAACGATGATCGAATTTTTTGGTAGGATTTTCTATTTCATAGTTAAGTGTAAGGTGTTTGATCGTCTATTGATATAGTGATGATGCTAATATGTTGTCATTGAGTGTTAGATTTAAGGGTAAATCGAAAAAAAAAAAAAAATTCAAATTGTTATCTAAATTAATTTCATTCTTTTGAATTTCATTATCTCTTTTCAACATTTGCAAAATAAAGTAGATCTGTCATCTATGGTTGAATAAATTAGAATATTTTGAATGTATTCATGCAGTTTTTATTTCTTTTATTCTTTCACCCATTGTTAAATTTCCACAATTGTTTCCATATTTTTCAAGCAACTAGAATTATTACAGATTTTTCTTATTAATTTTTAACTGCTTGCATGAAGATAAAGTTTTCAATTTTTTATTGCAACTATTGTTCTGACAAATACTTTTTGATTTTTATCATTCTTTTATTTTAAATAATTAAAAATGATAAATTTATCTTATAATTTTGAGTTTTAAGTTGGTTTATTTAAAGCAAAAAGCAGTGAACCGGTTTTGATTTAGTTTTTTTTACTATTTATAGCTTAGTTATTCCCATCTGCTTCAGGCTGTTTACTTTCATATGAGGTTACATAGGGATAAAGCCAACTATCCAACGTAAGCATAGCTAATATGATGTAAATATTGAATCCTTGTAATATAGTAGTTTAAAAAATACTACCTTTCTGTTAAAAAGAAGTAAAAAAATTAAAATTTGATAATAAAAAAAAAAGATACAGAGATAGCAAAAAAAATTAAATAGCTTATAATTAAGTTCAATTTAAGATTGAAATATGAAATGAAAGAATAAAGGAAAGTAAAAATATTGGATACATTAAACTGATCAAATATTATCAAAAAGTAAACATTTTTGTAATTTGATTTGTCATTGGATATTTATTATTGAGAATCATTCATCAATAAAAGTATCAGTTCTTGTATATATCAATTTAGTGGACAGGATGTTTACTTTTATTAATTACTTTTTTGATGATATTTCGAATATAATTTTAAATTAATATCAGTTTATAAAATGAATAATTTTGATTAAAAATCAATATCGGGTCTTTTGACTTATTTTACTTGTATGAATCAGAATGATAAATTTAAAATGATTAAATTCAATATAAAAATTTCAAAGTTTGTTACTCCACAAAAATAAATTATTTTATTTAAATCGTCGATTTTTTTTTTCTACAACCAACTCAATTCAATTCTGAAAAGTTTTTAATTTATTTTCGATCAACGTTTTCGTGATAATTATTGTTCAGAAAATTTTAATTAGTTTTAATTTGATATAAAAGACATAAACATGATAATGGGTAATTTACTTGAGAATGTAAAATTTAAAATTACTTACAACAGAGCAACAGCACAAAACAATTAAGAATCCTTGAATAGCACCAGCTGTACCAACGACCCAGGTAAGACGGATGAATAGAATAACACCAAAAATGTTTTGGATGCAAGGTAAAAAGACACCCACTAATGTGCCCATTCGTGCACCACCGCCATCACCACCACCTCCTGCAGTGGGCGTTGGTTTACTATCAGGATCAGTAGCAACTGGAATTGTATTACTGTAACTTGCCAAATTATTAAGTAAAGTGGCAATACGCGGTCGATCATCCAAATCCTCCTGAAATTGTATCAAATTATATTGTATAGTTATTATTTTATTTAGGTACTTGAGTTGAATTAGACAACTATATTTAATCTTTCTATAATGAAATTTAATATAATTGGATTGAAGGCTGATTTTAGTTGCAAAGTTCTCGTGTCAAATACAGTAATTTGTTTGAATTTTTTTATAACCAAATAATTTGATTTTTATTCATATAAAAAAATTTTTCACAAATACTATTAGCATTTATTATACAAAATGAACAAAGGTTTTCTTTAAATTTTAATTGGTAAGAAATATAATTGGCTAATGGAGTATATGATTGTATTGAAAAAATATATCATTTTTTACTATTGTAAGTTTTTATGTGGTGGTCTATTTTGGGTGAATGAGGCCAGTAATATTTGAAAGATATTAATAATGTCTGAATAAATAAAGTGGTTTCGGTTAATCTTATTAAATTATTTCTCGTCGTAATGCTTTTACTTGATGATGAATAGATATAAAACTATCTTAAATATTTAGGATAGAAAAAAAATATAATAATACCTTAGGGATGATATATTTGATCAAATATTATAAATTTTCACAAGTGAAAACTCATTTTGGAGAATATCATGTTTATTTAATAAAGTTCTTATTAAAAACTTGCATAAAGTAAAAGAAAAATTATAAAAAACTTTTTTCATGTTCTTTTGATTTCTTATGAAAGTGATGAGACATGATTAAAAATTTCCAATGAAAGATTCTGACTACTTATCACTTGGTATCACGAAAGAAAGACATGTTCATTTTTTCCTAAAAATTTTGAGATTTTTTTAAAAATAATTCTGTCGTTTTAAGAAATATTCTTCTAATATAAAATCAATAATATATTGACACACTTTATTTTTTACTAAACTGCTGTCACATTAGTTATTTATTTTATTATTTTTTTTTTTGTTCAAATTGAATGTAATATTTAAAAATTCAATATAATCATAGTATATCCTACATCAATCCTTTTAAAAAGCAATAATAATAATAATAGTAATAAATTTTTTGTCTCTTTATTTATTTATTCAAAGGTACTCACACTATACAAGTAGAGATTGGTTTCATATCCAGGCTTTTTTTCGAAATTGCCACTACCAACGATGGGCTCGCCATCACCAGCATTGCCACCATCACCTAAAAACATTGAATTATTTATATTTTAATAAGTATTATATTTTTCCAATACATTTATTAGTTATTTCTTTATACGGCTATACATTTGTCCTCTTAAATTTCACAGTAAATCATGGAATATTTATTTCTCATTCAATTTTAACAATTTTACAAAATTTTTTTTTTCTTTTTATTTACAAAGGTAATATATCGATCATTGAAACATAAAAGTAAAAATAAAAAAAAAAAGTAGAACAATTACGAGTACGAAAAATTCTCAACGTAAATATCGTTCTTCATTTCGTCCAAATGAAAGCTATTTGTACATGCAAAAAGAAAAATAAAAAAGAAAAAGATGAAAGTTAAAAATGATTGGATAGTATATATGTAGAGTACTCCTATTTATATAACGCAATGATAGGATGCGCATATGAAAATGAAATGTATAATTTTTTAACAAAATACAAAACAAAAACGTTCAAATAAGGTCAATGTGATTTGTGTTGTCAGAAAGATGAAATAAAATTAATATTTGCTAAATGACAAGGTCTTCCTTCACTTATTCCTTGTTCACTCTCATTTTTCTTATTAAGCTTTATAATGTTGTTGTTGTTGTTGTTATTAAAATTATTATTATTATTATTATTACACTGAATATCAATAACTTATATCATAATACATTATCGAACAATGTCTAGCAGTATGTGGAATAATTTTATCGTTTGTTATTTATGGGAAATCTACGATAATTATATTATATATCTATATATAATAATGACGTAAATACTTTACGGAATATATTCATTAAAAAAATATATTACCATATAATACTTGCACAATTTGTTTACATATTATTATAAAAAAACCACCTTTTTTATTGTGATGGTTAAAAATGATCAAATTAAATTATAAACAGGAATTATGATTTATCGATTCTTAATTACACAATTGTTGCATTTATCGTTCATTATTGTTGACACACTTTTCTGACATATTAATTAGCTGTTAGAAATATTATAAATTTCTTTTTTACTTTAAACATATAAATTTTGAAATGAAACCATGTCATCTGCTGGTATGATATTACAAGAGTTATATCAAATTAACAATCTCTTATAATTAAAATATTAATTGATTGGTAAAAGTTTGAGATAATAAATAACTATTTTCTTCATTAAACTGATTTATTGATGAAAATGTTGTTTTTTTCTTAATACATTATAAGTAATAAGCAATTGATCTTAAGAAAAATTGTAAATTGAGTTATTTTTTTCTTTCTTAAAGACAATAAAGTTTCAGTGATGGTATATTTTATATTGAATTATTGATTGACAAAAATCTGCTGAATTAAAAAAAAGTAATTTCTCAATAAATGAATTAAATTTTCATGATAAATTGAACAGAAAAAAATCTTTTAATGTAAATAAATATTTATTTTACAAATAAAAAAATTTATTTGAAATGGCATACATTATATGATACATTAATCAATATTTGTTGAATAAAAAGAAATATTTTTTATTCATTTTATTTATCATATGTACTCTCTGTGATTGCTAAAAATATAATAAATATTCAATTTATATTACAAAAACTTAGAAAATAATTGAAACATTATAGCTATAATATTTTTTTTTAAATTAATAATTATGCAAAAATAATTAAACGAATAGATGAGTTACTTATAAGAGCTTAAGTTATATAAGTACAGAGAGTAAACAAAATACATAATATTATGAAGTCAAATGTATAGAAAAAGAAGGTAGTTGACGATATAAAGTCAAAGCATAGAGAGTCTGAATAGCGAAATTGTATTACAGATTGCAATAGGGCGAGGCTTTATAGAGAACTGGGTCGGTGGGTCTTTCACAGGGAGACAGACAAGATTATAAGCGTGTCTAAAGGTGAGAAATGTAAAAATAGTAAACCTTTTGAGCATTATAAGTGCAAATCACAGCATTGAGTTGGCAATCTTCAAGACACGTACGACTAAAATATGACTATACATACATAGAGATAGATACAAGTATGTATTTATTGATTTTTGAATATCATTTTTTATTTATTACTCTACTGTTTATGATTCGTTTTATTTATACAACTTAGAGAAAATAAATAGATAAAATATTATTATAAATAGCAAAGAGGTGAAAAAAGAATTGATAAAAAATAGACTGATTATTTGTAAGACGAGAAAATGATATTAAATAATGGTACATACAATAAACAATAAGTGGCTGATGTAGTAATGTATTTTACTCTATAACGTGACCTTTCAATTATTCGTCCGTGAAACTAACACGTGCGCGCGACGATTCACCGTCTTCTTGACAGTAGTTAATAAGAGGGTGGACGATCGATCATTCGATCGCTCTTGCAAGCTCTCTAAACGAATTGGAACACGAGCGAGTGGAAATACTTGGATTTGTGATGGTAAAGTATAAAAAGTATATACAGATAAGCTTAAAATTTCTCTGTCAGCAATTATATACAACTTTTAGTTAACTATTTTATCTCATTAATTGTTAAATATTATTGATGTTGCATTCTATCTGTACATAACGAGTCAGCAATATTTAAAAGACACAATTTGTTCACTACTTACTGATCAGTCAAAATTACTTTTTATTTATTTTTTTTCATCTAAAAGAAAATAGTCATTATACCCGACCTGGATGTACTTAATGATAGACAAGATGTAAATTGAAATTTTCAATTGCACATTTTTTTTTAATAATAAGAAGTGAAAATGTAAAATTTATTTCAACGAGTGAATTAAAAATGAATGATATATTTCTTGATAAGTATGAATGAAAAGTATTTTTAAAATAATACCGTTAGAGAAGGAAATAAATATTAAAATGAAGGATGAGTTTCTTTCAGTTTGGATAAATTTTAAATAACTTTGTACAATATTTATATATTATATATATAAATATATCATTACCAGGTAAATAATAATTTAAGAAAAGAAATTTTTTTTTATTATTAAAAATTTGAAATTAAAGCTTAATACACATTTATTATTATTGAAAAAAAAGATATTATTTTTATATGATAATTGTTTATTCAAAGCCTATGAATGCTAGTGTTAACAATGACAATAATAATGATGATTATGATTTTTGACTATTTGATCTTTCATTCGATTGAATGCTGCTTAAGCTTTTTGATTCAGAAAGGATTATAATAATCCGATTGTATTATTGTCAATGAAAATTGTTTCTTGAAAAAAATATTATAATAATAATATCAAATAATTATTAATAAAATGTATGAAGAAAAAAGATAAACATTTCAAGAAGAAGATGAAATATTTTTTTCAACTTTATACATAATTTATAATGTGTGTCGGATGTTAAAAAATTATTTAAGATTAATTGCGAATAGATATGTTTTAAAAATAATAGCATACCAGATTCCATTCTTGATGCTGGATCACCATAACTTTTTTCGGTTCCTTCACTCATTGTTTCTCAATTAGAGTTGGCAAATGGTGAATATATCAATATATTAATGATGATAGAATATCAATTTTGAATTGAATAATAAATTAGTCCGCACTGGTTCTATTTAGTAACACTTTAATTTAATTTTATTTAGCATATCTACAATTCTATAATAAACTATCAATCGTAGATATAATAATATATATCTATGATAGTAATAATAAACTCTGAATAAAATATCTCAAATGATAATAAATATAATATGAATACATCAACAATAAATCAATAGAATAGAGATATATTTAATGTTAGATAATGAGATAACAACACACGGCACTAAAATTTGAAAATTTTCTAACAAAATAGTACTGAAATATATATCTATGTATATATATATATATTTGTAATTAATAATAATGAATCGGACAATTGGATGTATTTATTGATGAATAGTTGTTGATATATTGGGATAACACATGTAAATAGGGTGCACTGTTGGAGGCACACGAGAAAAACAGTAAAAATTGTTGGGAACAAGTCACAATGAGCGCGAGTAGGCAGCGAAAGACTGTTCACCCTCTTTAGAGAGTGCTCTCAAGTTGGTTGCAACCCCCGGGTCTCTACCAAGCGAATTGCGGCCTCGACGCAGCTTCCATCGAGGTTGCCGAACGTGGTCGATAACTCTAAGCGGACCATATAACCAGGCGTTTCCTTGATTCCACTAATTTTATCTTTTTCTTCTCGCACTTTCCCTCAATCGTAATGTTTATAACCGTGTCACCATTTATCAATGGCTCTATTTCTCATTTGATTATAGCACTCAACCAACTTCATATAATAGTCTATTCGCAGGCTCGTGTTGTGTTAATGCAGCTGGCCTGGTATGTTACTGGTTACTCGATTGTTCTCATCTCTCCTCCAGCTTTGTACCATACAACGCGACCCATGACATATCCCGGGCGCAGTGAGCTAACCGCTTTTCCATCTTCCTTTTGCGCTTGCGCCTTTTCCGGGACAAAAGTGTTGTCGTCGTCCTCCTCCTCCTCCTCCTCCTCATCGCCGTCGACTTCTACTCCATATCTCTTATCTGTGGCACGCGTTCAACCTTCTCGAGCTGCTGATGCAGATGATGTGCTACTGCTTCACAGCATCACCCAAGTTAAGAGGTAAAGAGTCGATATAAAATATTACTGATCAATCATTTTATTTATATCCGTTGAAAAATTTTTCATATCATTTTGTAGTAAATAACCTATTACTCTATATAGGTATATGAAATTTAAACTCAATTATAGTTGCATCACTTTGATCAAAACTTGTTCCTGACCATCATAAATTGCTTTTAAAAACTCATTCCTTTGTAATAGCATTAGTTGCAACCAGTAAAAGTTACACCGAAGGATCAAAACTTTTTGATATTTTTCCCTTTTCTTATTTATTTATAGGGTAAGTTGTTTTAGTTGGAGATGCATCGATGGAAAATTTTTTTTTTTTTATTTCACACACACACACTTTTTCAAAAATAAAATACCTTTTTTGTGTAGTTTAGATTTTCATTATGATATTCTTATA